CCATCTTCAAAACACATTCGAATATCAGCGTACGTTGTGTAATGAGCCAGGGCAATGACGTCGGTCATCCTTACAGGTGATCAGTGGGGCTAGGTTATTCGAGACTGCCAATAAAATAAACCATATACCCTCAAGAATGCAAGGGGCTTTAAATTACGCGACTGAGCGGTCTTCATGACCGCCAGTCCACAATAACTGCTCTAGTGGAGAGCACATCACCGCAAAGGCAGGCCCACTCGAACACTGCAGTACCAGTTCAGAACACAACCGGTTCGGCGAAGCAGAGCGTTGAAGTCGGCATGTCAAAAGATGAGGCATATAGGGTATCTACCACAAGCTTGAATTGATGGCAACGTCGTTTTGGATGTGGGTGATACCCATATACCTATATCCCCGTAAAACCACTGCCCCCCTCTCTCCTCTTTAAAAAAATATGTTGGGATGCTTGATTCTACCCCCTTTTTCATCAATGCCTGCTCAAAACTGACGATTCAATTTGAGATCATCAAAATCACCGTTACGGGTTTTGTCCGTGGAGGCAGCTCAATTTGTCTCGCTCATAGAGCCTATTCCTGACCAGAGATTCAAGTGCCCAAACAGTGAAGGTACATCTCTTTGCTTTTCATGAAGTCCGTTGCCGGGCGACTACGTGACGTCTAATCCCCAAAACTTAGAGCATACAGAAGCGTGTTCCACAGAACAGACGGAGAATGAGAGAGGTAAGCCTATTCTGGAAGAATTTTCGGGTCTCTCGAGTGGTATGATCGAGATAATGACCTCGCCATAGTGACTGTTACAGTACTTGCTGAGGAATTTAAAGTAGAACTGGATTTATCTATCTACTGATGAGGCCGCTCCAGGTAATCCGAAGTAATGCGAAACCATCGAGTCGACGTATATTCCAGAAAACAAAGGACTCTGAACGTCAGCACATCAAAAGACCAAAGCCTGTTGGTGCCTTTGATGCCTCAGGCATGTATCGACCCTAGCCAAGGGGTGAGTAAGCTGGTTGGTAAACATCTGGACGCATGCCGCGCTGACGGCAACTCCTCCGCGCCAGACAGCGAACCCCCTACTATGTTGACTTCGATTTGCGTCATTTTTATTATTTGCTGAATACTGACTTTAACAAGCGATGGAAGAAACAATCGCCGAGCTACGACGTCAGCTTGAGAAGGAGAGACTGGCGCGAGAGGAGGCAGAGCGTCGTGAAGAAGAAGAGAAAAAGGCGCGAGAAGAGGCAGAGCGGCGCCAGGGAGAGGCAGAGCGTCGTGAAGAAGAAGAGAAAAAGGCGCGAGAAGATGCAGAGCGGCGCCGGGGAGAGGCAGAGCTGCGAGTGCAGCCCAACACACTGTTTCGCCTTCTCGATCGCTGTCACAACTCTTTATCTCAAGCGATCCGAGTTGAGACGGATGCGACCCTCACGACCCAGGGCGACGCGACCGACCCAGTGAACCGACTTTACCCCCAGCGCATAGTCCCTTGGCTTGACTTCCCTCAACTCCAAGAGCAAATCTGGGGGAAATTCGACCGCACGGGTGCCTTCACCTCGCGCCCCCTCTTCCCTTCTGATACCCAAATAGATTATGTCGTTACGAATACCCAGAACAAGCCGATCTATTCGGAGGCATCCCTTCGGAATTTTGAGCGAGACACGGTGGATAACTTTGTCGAAAAGGTAATTAAGGCTTTGAGAGATGATGAATCCCTTCGCCATGAGTTTGGAATCCAGGGCCAAGTCACCTTCTATGACCGCGCGAACCCATCGGAAACTTCGCTGGAGAACAGCTTGGAGCAAATGAATCTTCAAGACGCACGGACACCCCAACGACCAGCGAACACAAGGCGTGGGAGAGGCAGAGGAAGAGGGAGAGGAGCGCCGCAGAGACAGAAGAGCGCTGGCACGGCACGAAGACGCAATCGCCGCGCGGACCAGTTCTGCGTGCACGTTGTGGCCAACGAGCGACAAAAACCAGTGTACGCAGTGGAGTTCAAAGCGCCGCACAAGGTGACAATCCCCGAATTGGTGGCGGGTCTACATCAGATGGATCTGGCTCGCGATGTCATTGACCAGGAAGGCGACACGTTTGAGTTCTATGCCACCTACCTCGTCGCCGCTGTGGTCACTCAGATATTCTCATATATGATCGACAATGGGGTTCAATACGGCTACATCTGCACGGGGGAGGCTTTCATTTTTCTCCATATCCCGAAGGATGATCCCACAGTTGTTCAATATTTCTTGTGTATCCCGAATCAAGACGTGCAGGCGGACGATGAATGGCGCCTCCACCGGACCGCCATCGGTCAGGTGCTTGCATTCACCCTTCAAGCTCTGGCCGCCGAAGCTCCGTCTCAAGAATGGCATGATGCGGCACACGACAAGCTAAAGACCTGGGAGGTCGAATACCTGGACGTGTTGAGAAAAATCCCCGAAACCCTCCGTAAAGACCCGCAAGCCTCCAATTATCGACCCTCGCACTGGAAGTTAGAGCCGAAGGCACACAATACACGATCCCGTGCTCGCTGCCAACCAGGTATGTCTACTCCGAAGCATTCGTCGACCGAAGACAGCGGCAGTGATGAAGAATCGCATTCACCATCCATCGCAGCAGCGGCGCGCAGCAGGTCGAGCCGCGGCCAAGGCAACAATCGTCAATCGACTAAGGAAAGCGAAAGCACTCGAGCCGGTCGGAACAGCGAACAGACTTCTCGAAAAGACGGGAAATCTACACGACCCTACTGCACAATTGCCTGCATCCGCGGCATGGTCAACCGAGACCCTCTGGATAAAAAATGCCCTAACTGGGAACTCCACGGTGGCCAGAGACACTCCATGGGGCCGCAGGAGTTCACACGCCGGCTTCACCGTCAACTTGCCCGAAACCGAAACCATGGGTTTGAACAACTCCACGTCTGTGGTCGGACGGGTTATCTCATCAAAGCTACTCTTTTATTACACGGATACACTGTGATAATCAAAGCTACCACGGCGGACAAGCAGCATCTCATTCAAGCAGAGGCAGGCAATTATCGTCATCTCAGGAGCCTGCAGGGAAAACAGATCCCCGTCTGTCTTGGGACATTTACGCCACGAGTCTCATATTGGTACCATGGCGAATTAATGGCGCAGATGATGATACTGAGCTGGTCTGGAACACGGCTTCAACATGTCATTAATGATGAGAATTCCAGATTCTTTCACCAGGAGCGCGACAAAGCTCTGACCGTGCTCCGGTCGCATGGGGTTGTCCACAGCGACAACGAGTGGCGCAATATGCTATGGGATGACCTGGGTGGCCGTTTGGTTGTCATTGACTTGGAGGACGTGAGGTGGCTGAAGCGCCCTCGGACTCTCGAACCAACCTCTGGCAACACGCGGCATGGCCATCGCGTCGGGGCGGGGAAAAGCAGACATAGACTCCTGTCCAGCTCAATCGCTGTCTGCACATGACGGCCCGAGGCTCATGGACGTTTACGTGCGCCTTCAGACCACATAATCTTCTCGTGATGTCCGTAGGGAAGAAAGTCCAGTGTCGATGGAGCTGGCACTTTGGTTTGCCTTGGAAATTCACAGATGACCAGGAACTCAGGGCCTTGGGAATCATTTACGTAGACTCTCAAGGTATGAATGTCCTTTGGAATGAAAAGCTCGGGCGGGCAACAATCATCCTTTCACCGCTCTGCAGTTGCTTCGACAGTAAAGGTCTTTTCAACACCAGGCGGGCCACTAGGAAAAGTCAGGTATGGAGATGCTCCGTCTGTCCACGTACAGCGGAAACATGAAAATAAATTTGGATCTACATTGTCGTTTTTAAGAGTTGTAGAAGGCATTTGGCGTTTATGGTATTATTTACTGTGATTGGAGCTTCTCCCAGCAATGAGAATTCACGACGTTTTCCACACGAGCTTGCTCCGCCCAGCGGCTTTGGACCCCCTCCTAGCCAAAACGAACCTGTTCAGCACCCAATCAGATTGGGCAAAGATAACATTGAGAAAAAGAATGGACGATCGAAAAGATATTGGATTCACGTCACCAAGAATCGACATGGAAAGAGAAGACTGGAGTACTACGTGAAATGGAAAGGCTACCCTTCTTCGTGGCGGCCCCAACAGGACCTGGTCCCAGGGAGTGGCGAGCTCTCGTATGAGTTCCACAGCCAGGACCCAGAACGGCCTTCGCCTACTGAGCTATGGTGTCGCAGGAGCTCCTAGTTGTCTAGGAGGGGGGTAATGTCAAGGATATAGATGAAGCATGCGGAACGGATGGAGATATGATCCGGACGGGACCCACATGGTGTACATGGGTTCCCCTGAGCGCGAGGAAGCTACCTTTCTTTTGCTTTTTCGCGCTACGTCTTGTATCTAGAATCAACTATAGTTGTTCTTAATATTGATTGTTCATCGTGAAACACTATCCACCTCTATGTATACGTGAGAACCTCACAGGGAGTGTCAGAGATCGAGCATATATAGTAGCTTGGGTGTTTGGTCGCTGACCAAACATTGTGCCTTTCTGGCCGGATGGCGTAGTGGTAGAACCCAAGCATCCATGTACCGTCACAGGGAGCCCATGCAGTCCTAGGAGTCCATACTTGAACCCCAGGAACCTAGCAGCCTCCAGCCGTTGGTAAAGGTGGACACCTATTGGCTATAAAAACGCTTAAGTAACATTGATCTCTATCATACAAGTCCGTGAAATGTCCTGAGGGACCCTCGTGTTCCTAGGAACCTGTATTGCTTTCCTAGGAGAAGGGAAAAGCGTTCAGCACGTGCGGGGAGCTTGATTAGCTAATATGTACCAAAAATCGAGCGCTTACAGCTCCTCATTATTGGAAGCTGGTTATATCGTGGAACCAGCAACTTCGCTACTAATATGCCTAGTCTCGCCTCTCCCTTCGCTCTTCATTTAATGCGACCAAGTGAAACCATTATTTCCCATTCGCCTAGGACGGACGCATCGTGAACAAAACACCGCGGGTTGTCGCAACGAGTCCAAAATGTCTGGGAGGCAAGCACCGTCCCTTCTTTCTTTGCCCATTGAAATTATCCAATTGATCCTTTCCTACATCCCGTCTCAGGACCTATCCCAAAATGTGGAAATGACTTGCAAAGAACTCAGGAAGGCCATGATCCCTGTCTACCGAGTTAGATACGGGCATGAGCCAGCGCCTTCTGTCCCTATCAGTAACAGTTGTTGGAAACGATTTGCCATCCAGAATGAAGTTTATTGCAGCCACAGCGATCACATGAGAGATGAAGTGGTCGATGATTTCCTTAAATCTTACTTTGAATCTCCGGACCATTATATCTCGAGGGGGGCCGAAGATGTTGTATATTACCTTCACAACAATCCTCATATTCATCCAAGAGGCATTGAAGCAATTGTTGCCGCTCTCAATATACAACATCGCTGTCGCGACTCCAACGTTTTCTTGCTCAGATATCGCGATTCTGATGTTATGCCATTTCAGTCTATGGCTTTACTTCAGGCACGCTTCAACCTGCAATTTTCTGTTTCTTGGTCTACCTGTTCTTCAGAAGTTTTGGAACGTTGCCTATTTGCCGTGGCCACAAGTGGTGATATGGAACTGTTTGTCTACTTAAAGCAGCTTTTGCTCGAGGATGGCAAAGATATTCAAGTTCACCGCGCAGCCACAGCAGCCGTTCGGTCTGATCGAGTGGAGATTTTGCAAGAATTACAAAGCACTTTTGGTATCGAATCTCATACCTTGCCATTAATGGAAGTGGCAGCGTATTCCGGCAGCGCAAATGCAGTTCAATTTCTACTCGAGCTTGGGCCTACGGTTGATTTGGAATATCACTACGAACTCGCATTACGCTGTTGCAATCTTGATGTCCTTCGCCGGCTCAAAATGCATTCTCTACGCAACAGGGGCTCATATTTGCGGAATGGGCAATTGCAAATTGCAGTCATCTTGACAAACCTCTTGGAGAGTTGGGCAAACAAGAGCAAGATAATTGAATTTCTTGTTAAGCATGCTTCTGTCGACATTAACGCCATTGGAAGGGATGGGCTTGCTGTCGTACATATTGCGGCCGTCAACAATCAGATCGATGCGCTCAAGCTTTTCGAAAACCTTGGTGCCAACATGATGTCTTTGGGTGAGGTTGAACAGACGCCAGCCGAAATTGCCCTTTGTAATGGGTACAACATGCCATTCCTCGAGTGCTCTTCTCTCCCAATAGAGCTATTCGCGATGAAGCGGGACCTGGCAAAAACTATCATTGGCAAACATTGCGATGCTATGTTCAAAGGCCAGCAGAAGTGTCCCAGCTTCGACCGTGCTTTAAATGACGCAGAAAGCAAGTTGGCGGATATTTGGGCAAAGTCGATCGGATTGGAAACGTTGCGTGAACTGCTTAACATAATCGACACACCGTTGTTTGAGCCAGTTGAGAAGTTGCTGAGGATCATCATGGAATTTGGTCGGGGGCCGGTTAAGCCGAGAGAAAGGCAGCTTCGAGATGTGGATGACATCAAGGACATTTTGAACAAGTTTTTCAATCAGCAATATTCGAATGGGGTTCTTACGAATCTTGCATGTTATTTGGAACCAAAGCTGGACCGATCGGATATCGAGCGCCTAAGGATTTTCGTAAATTCGAGAACTGGCCGTGCCTTGCACCTCAGAAGATGTTCCTTTGCTCTAGAGGAACACAGAATCTGGATGGAGTTCAACAAGGCTGTCAACAAAATATAACTAGAGAGCCGCCTTTCCTTGAACCGTTCATCTACACGAGCTTGCATGTTCTCCAGTGTTTCCTCTAATTCTTGGGTCTTGTCTTTGAGAGCTGTGGTTTCGCTCAGTAATGTCGCGTTTTCAGTCAATACGTCGACAAAGCCATCCTGTGTAATGTCATTGATAAAGTGTTCGGTTTTCCTATCAGTCTGGCTAACATGTTGATTTGCTCACTTGGAAAGCAGGCTCCGGGATCCACCCATCACGAACTTGGCTGACCACTGTGAAAATCATTCAATACAATGTACGTACAAATGGCAAAGCTTGCCGCGTCTGATCTTATTTCCCTCATAATTTTGAGTACATCATCATATTGAGTGCGCGTCCGTACTTAGCATTCCCACGAGGCTGGGGTTGCGTTAATGGTACTTATCGAGTCTCGTAGTGGGAACAGATAAAAAAGCCCTACGCGCCCACGTTCGGAGAGTAGGAGCCCGTGAGGTAAATTTTGTGCTCCCCCTGGCGGCGTGCAGCACTTGATGATCATACGTCGATATCGAGGAAGCTAAGACATGCACAGAACCTATTTATTATCTTATTTTCTTGATTTGCGCATAGAATCTCATCTTGAGCTTTACTCTATGCACCCACAAGACGAGCTTTTGACATGTTAGACATAAAAAGTGTGATTTCAACCGAATCAATGTTCCTAGATAATTGTTTATCACTCAATATTGACGTAGCCAACCCTGTTCACCAATACGCGCTTTGGTTTAGTTTTATTTCAATGCATCGGAAGAGTTAAAAATTCTTCCACTGTACCTGTACAGAAAAGAACTCTGAAGTAGGATATGTCCCCATGAGGTGTGGTGTGGCGCATGCCGAGCCACCTCAAAGCAGTAATTACATTTGGCAGGCAGAGTGCGATCTTGATTCTACCAAAAAGTGGTTAAACAGGGGGCGCTAAGAAAGGGGGCTAAGTTAAGCAGAGCGGTTAAGAAGCGCGGTTAAGAAGCGTGGTTAAGAAGCGTGGTTAAGAAGCGTGGTTAAGAAGCGTGGTTAAGAAGCGTGGTTAAGAAGCGTGGTTAAGAAGCGTGGTTAAGAAGCGTGGTTAAGAAGTGTTGATTATTAAGTGATTCTTCAGTGTTCATGTTATTGAGGGGAGCTGATTGTTTGTTGTGTTGCATGTTATCTAAGATACAAGTAGGCTGGTGAACAGGTATACATATGTATACACGTGATCCCAGCCTCATTATTATCTCAGTAACCGGGATATTTCAACAAAACGGTTAACAACAAACGGTTAACAACAACGGTTAACAACAAACGGTTAACAACAAACGGTTAACAACAAACGGTTAACAACAAACGGTTAACAACAAACGGTTAACAACAAACGGTTAACAACAAACGGTTAACAACAAACGGTTAACAACAAACGGTTAACAACAACGGTTAACAACAAACGGTTAACAACAAACGGTTAACAACAACGGTTAACAACAAATGGTTAACAACAAACGGTTAACAACAACGGTTAACAACAAAGGGCTAATTGATGCAGCCTGCAGTGGTAGTCCTGAATGACGTTAGAAATTATCGAAGGATGATGGTACATGGTCTTGGTTCTCCCCCAGAATTAGTTCGACGGATGCAAGACCACATTTCACCGAACGAGTGGGCTAAACAGTCCGGTCTTGCCCGCGCCCCGGGCAATCAACATTTCAAGGAAAAAGGAAAGGTGAAACCGTTGATAGAAATACTGGCATTTCGGAAATCTCTGCATAAATTTACTGAGCCGGTAACTGAAAATCTGCAGCGTGCACCATTCTTCATCCTCAAATTTTCAACAACAATATATAGAATTTTGAAGCGGCAATACATACTATCTTTCATCTATCGATCAATTCGCAAATCTCGCGCACAGATGTGAGTACCAATAACAAAGTGTTATCCTCCCCTATAATGATCTTGACGCCCTAAAGTTAAGCCCTGCAACTGTACCCTCAGGAATCCCCGGGTACAATGATGGACTCTCTGCTGCAGGGCTATCTTCCCAAGTTCAAGCCCCATCCTCTGGGGTGGGAGGTAGAGTCTCTTATGTCCTTGAGCCCTACACAACAGATGTGTTACTACGATGGGAAATTGTTTGGCGGATATATTGCTCTGTTGATGGATCAAATTCTTGCCGATTCCTGTAAAAGTTTCTTTGATAATGGAAGGCTTCATTGTTGCGTAGTTTCCGACTTTCCTAACAAGTAAGCCAAACAAAGCATACTATTATTCCCAATATTTTGGCCTTGTAAACAAAGCTTCCGTTTTGATCGCGTCAACCCGATTTTGCGAAGTCTTTCCTGGAATCTGGAGAGATCCTTTCAAGTAAATCTTGCGACCTTCAACCCTATCAGCCAAACGCGAAGTACTATCGGAGCGGTTGGTGGGACCGATTGGAGGTAGACGTGTTCAAGCTGGCTGTCACTGCAATCTTACTTATCTCCAGGGTGGGGTTGGAGTTACTATTATCTTTGCCTGTGGGTCAGCGCCTGCTACTTCCAGGCGTCAGCATTAATTGTCGTCTATTTATACTATTAGCTGGTAGGCGTATCCTCAGATTGTTTCGGAATCATATATCTGCCCTGCCGCTAACGCCTGACTGCGATACTAAGTGCAAAGTTATACCTGGGAAGCCATGCGGGCGTTGAACGCCGGGTCTGTAAAGTCTAGGCCGAGGTTGTCCATTGTTTCTAATAGGTCATCGACAGATATTTTCTATACCCAGCAGAACTTTGTAAGCGTTGTAGATACTTTTTTCAACAAATTTCAAGAAGACAGCTTACAAGGACCATATCTTCTGCATCCTCAAGTGAGAACCGCGTTATGTTGTTGACTGACTCTTGACTTCGAACAAGGTCTTTCATCCATCGGTCAATGGCGCTTAGATCCCATTGACCATTGGCGAATTTCAAATATGGGTATTGCTTGGTTGTAGAGATGATTTTACGTTCGATGGCGCCGAGAGAACGATCGTATCCTCGACGCAGAAGCATGCCCCGGATCGAGTTTGGACGGATGCATCGGGCGAAGAAGTAGATCGTAATGACAATTTCCTCATTCAACCAATTTAACATGATAAACACATTCTTCACCCTCCAGGTGCCTCCCCTCGGCCAATTTATACGGTTTCTCACGTTGCAAAAGCCTCTTCAATGATAGTACGTTGGCAGTCAGAAGAATGGACGACTTGCAACGAACTTTCGGCTTACCTTACTGTACTGCATAGGTTGTAAAAATTGTGACGGTGAAGACGACCGATCCAATTGTCCTCACCTGCCCCCGAAAACGCCTGTTCATTCAGATGAACCGTTTCTTCCTCACCAACAATTTGTAGACCACGACTTATTTCCTGCTCGTTGAGATGCTTGTTCATGTGTAGCTTCAACAACTTCGTCCGCCATTAGGTGCTTTTAACGAATTCCGGTCCATTCCCAGTCTAGCATATAGGCTCCGTTATGCAGATATTTGGTGGCTTGTTATTCGACGGAAGGCCAAGATCCCGCCCTTGCTTCAAGTTTAGGTAACATTAGCAACAGCCCGTTGCACGGCCGACGCCTAGGTCTACAATAGGGCTCACTAGCGCTGAATTTGTAGCAATCTCTAGATAACGACAAGCAGTAGCAAATAGGCAGCAATAAATAGCCTACTACATGTATTACCGCATTGCACTCAGAGAACCCGACCGCCGTGGACACGCCAACGGGCTGGTATCGCATCAAATGAAATCTCTTTCTATAAACTAGCTTGAAGACTAAAAGCTTCGCAAATAAACCTTGACATGCCCATGGTTGCGTTCCTTGGCGATGGCATATGCTGTCTGGCCATTCGAATCTTTCAGTCGCTTTTTGACACCACGCTGATTGGCCAACAAATGTACAATCTCATAATGCCCATTAGCCGCAGCCCACCAGAAAGATGTCCTCTTCTGATCATCCATCGCATTCACATTTATATTGGGATGCTCCAATAACATTCTGGCAACTTCCAGCCTACCTTGAGCTGACGCGAACATGAGCGCGGTAAAGGAGTGACGGTCTCGGTCATTGATCAGCAAAGTTTCTTCGTAGCTGAGAAGGAGACGGATAATGTCGATATGCTCCATAATGATTGCAATCTGAAGTGGCGACACCCCTGATGGGCTTTTTTGGTTAATGTTGGCTGAATTTTCCAAGAGAAATTCCACCACTGAAAGCTGCCCTGCGCGACATGCCGACCAAAGCGGCGGTAGTGCATCGGCAGATTGAGGGCTTATATGAAGCCCCGGCTGTCGGGAGAGGACTTTGACCAAGGCTAAAGAGCCATTTGCAGCAGCATTTGACAACGGTGTCTGGCCCAATTTGTCCGTGCAATTCAGGTCCAGATTCATTTGTTGCAAGAGCAGCTCAACCAGTTTTGTGTCGGAATTGTCGACCGCATACCAGATTGCGGTGCGTCCATTCTTATCTTGATAATTAAGATTGATGCATGGACTCAAAAGCAAGGCTTCAATGATAAGCAGCCGTTTGTTGATTGGGAGAAAACGACCGTATCCTTTGACAGCCAGAAGCAACGGAGTTTCCTGTTGGAGGTTGAAACGGTTGACATCAACGCGTGAATTTCGTACGAGCATTTGAATCGCCCCATAGTCGCCAATTTCTACCGCAATATGCAGTGGTGTGTGGCCATGATGATCGCTGATGTTGACATCTGTCCGCTCATCAGACAAGAGAAGTTGGAAGATATAAGATTGGCGACAAGCTAGTGCGGTTGTAATAGGCGCATTTCCATCCATGGATTGATTATTGATATCAATGTTCGGCACATTGATGAGTCGTTCGACAATTTTGACGCTTCCATGCAGAACTGCGATGGAGAAGGCACTTTCTCCCAAAGTATTACATTGTATGACTTTCACTGAATGATGGCTTAATAGCAAATCAACAGCGTCTGCGTACCGCAACTGTGTAGCCAACATGAGAGGTGTAAAGCCAGAATATATTTCGTTGATGTCTGTCTTTTCCCAACCCAGAGAGTGCTGCAGGATGCCTAAGCATCTATGTTCGATCGCCCAGTGAATTGGCAAGGAACCTTGAAAGTCTATGCAATCAAAGAGGCTCTTTCTGAAGATGACGTTGAATTCTCGAGACGTAAGACACAGATTTCGAAGGCCTTTCTCGTCGGTAAACTTGCCAACCCAGAGAAGGATTTCCAGTGGAAGACCCAAAAGCGGCATCTTCGGGGAGTCCATGAACACCTGAGATATAGGCACGTATAGGCACACAGTGACCCTATGCGGGTGGTAATAGGAAGAGGCTTCAGAGTAATCGTTTATTCTGTCATCTGCAGAAGTTGAATGAGGAGGTCAATTTTTAGAGGCGGTGGCTTCTATTTAACTATTTCCGGGGGTAGTTGTCAATTGCTGACGTCCCTGTAATAAACTTCGGTATCATCGTTGCTTACTTATGATGTCGAGCCGCTAGCTTCTAGGATCGTGATACATGCTCCTGGGGCCCTACAACTGGCTTCTAGGAGCACTAGGAATCCCGGGAACGGTTTTCTTGTTCCTAGGAAACACCCACCTATTCCTGGAAGGTATACATCGAAGCTAATATAATAAACTGGAATTATACTGACGGGCATGTCAATCCGAGCCACCTAGCTCCTAGGAATTTTGGTTCTTGTTGTCAGAGAACCGAGTGACTCCAAGACGGATAACCAACTTGAGCAATTCTGTAGCGCTTAGCAACGAAAGTACTCCCTTTTCTATTCCTGGAATATTATCCATATTGAAGACGTATTATACAAGGTCAAACAGATCCTTTACAATACATTACATACATAAATTACTTGTGGCGGTGCAGAATTTGTAATGGTAATGTAAAATATATCTGCATTGTGACAAGATTGTACTGTTGTTCCGTTCATCAAGCGCCAATACATGTCTTGACATTTTAAACTGAATCTTAACAGGGTGTAGCTATTTCCAAACAAAGTTGGTTGAAAAAGGGTCTTGAATAGGAGGCGTATGCTTCCAAAAGTCTCCAGCTAAAATTATCTCCTCAATATTAGATAGTGCTAGAATAGGTAAATCGATAATACTAGGTGCATAAAGATACATGACTGGGAAAACATGTCAAGAACGGGCTAAATCCGGACAAGTGTGCTCCTCACATGGTGGATTTGCCTAGCTAAAAGGGAGATAATGTACATTTTAATTAAACCACTATAATATACTACCACCTAGAAAGTCCCATCGCTTTACTTGACACTTGATCGGGTACATCGATCAGAGAGCTTCATGTCCGTCCAAGCTTGACGCAGCAGGACCATATCAATATCTGGGAAATGAGGTCCAATTTGCCTCAGTGTCATGTTTTGACTCTTGAAATCACGCAGCTTTCGTTTCTCTTTTGCGTTGAGTTTCTTCTGTGGTTTGTCTTTGTTCAAATCATCTGGACAATGCTGAGGCGGCTGTTGTCTTGACTTGGCCCTAGTGAGAGGTCCGCGAAGGCTTTTACCCTGATCCTCACCACGAGGCGTTGTTTTATCTTGGTTGGTAGGAGGAGGGTCCACACGCTCAAATTTGGTAGAAGAATTTCCATTGCTGTCTGTCGTGGAGGTAACGGAATATTTTGGCAAGGCTCCCTTGTCGTTTGCTTCGCTGGTCACAAGGCTCCAGGGAGGGTATGGCGATTCTATTGGTTTGATTCCAATTTCACCTGCAGAGCAACTGAGCAAGTTCAGCTGAGTGGTAACCTGATCACAAGTCTGGCGCACATCCTCCGGGCGGAGATCAGGAGTATCGAGGATTCGATGATCACTGATCTCAGAAGCAGGACTGTGTTGAACGGCGAGACTTTGGCCGGGAGGCTGTGGGCGTGTCGCATCCCCAAACAGTTTGTTTTTGATGTCATGCTCATGCAGGAGGGTTGGTTGCATGAGAGCTTGATCACAAGGTTGAGTTCCCTGGTTCTCATCGATCGTATAAGGCTCGAGAATTCGAGGATCAATAAATTCCTCCAATCCGGGAGTCGTTGGATCAGAACTGCATGGTGAACTTGAACGGGAAAAGCAAGAAACAACTGGACTGTTTCTGCTGCTTTTAATTGGCTCGTCACTGAAACTTGAATAGAAGTATTGTTCCGGATGTTCCTCGACGAACGAATGCAATGTGGGAACCGGCATGAATATGTTTTCTGGCAGTTGATACTCATGTTCAAGACGCGGAGGTGGGTAGCGGTAAAAGCGGAGTTTCTTCGGAAGCTGGTCATCCCGCTCCATGGAAGAATCTTGCGCTTCTGCCTTGCAAAGACGCTTTCTCTTTCTCGGGAGCTTTGGATTTGACCAAATAGCTTTGTTCAGCTTGTGGATGTCATGCAAATGATGTCGAAGGCCACGCTCATCGGCAAAAGCTTTGCCACATCCACAAATTGGCTCCGCTCCAGGCCCCTGGTTTCCAGGCATATGCTTTTCTTCAATGTGTTGCTTCAGATTGCCACTTTTCGGCCATTGATGTAATCGGTCTTCTGCTTCGAGGTCTATGTTCCACAAGCAAAAGGGGCAGTATCCAGGTCGGATCACTGTATTTCGGTATACAATCACTTCACAATGCTGTGTCCTCCATGACTGAATATGAGAAGAGCAGTGATCTCGCCATTGGCTTGATTTAAACCATTCCATGCACTCGTAACAGAATTTCAGCTCTTGTTCTGAGATTTCAAGATCTAGAGCCATCTCACGTCGAAAACAGTTGTGAGTGTGAGCACTTCTGTCAGACTTTTTCATACTAGAAAAATCAGCACGTATTTCAGCATTATATTTTGGGGCTACTCACCATTTGATTTCTTCGAGACAATCTCTAGCGGGGCAGCGATCTTGGATGGGGCTTTCCCTTGGAAGATAGGCCACGTCGACATCGCGTTCGCAATAAGCTTTTAGGTCATCCACGAAAAGAAGCATTTCATCAAACGAGAGCTCCCTGTCAGAAGACATGAGGGCTGAAATGTGGGCAAGTTCGGGCATAAGTAAGGATTGAGCCCGCGTGGAAACGTCGTTGTCACTTATTACCAGCTCTGCTTTGCCCCTATTGAGGATTCTTTGGTCTCGTTTCTCTCGTACCCAGCGGTTCTGGTATTCCTTTAGTCCTGCAAGGCGGAGTCGAATCAAGGTTTTCCTGTAGTTCAGCTTCTCGGCAACTGCAACCCTTTTGTCGCTGTGTGATGCTTCAAGCTGCTTGATTCGACGTCTGATATCGACCACTTCTGGCGTCTGCAGGATACTCGCCTCAATTTCAGCCGGCAGTTCCCCTGGAAGTCCACGTTCATAAAACCTCTCAAAGCCTTGGAAGTACTCGATATGACTCGACTGCTCTTCTTCTCCAAGAACGGCCGAGACTGTGTCAATCGAAGAGCAGTGTAACAGATATTCTTTGGGATATGTCCCCGCGTCCTTATGGCCATATATTTGAGATACCAAGGCAGAACCATGTTTTCCTGTACTGGAGTCAGCAAATTTGTTTCGTTTAGCGGTTTGTGGGCTTTGATTGTCCTCACCTTCAACCACGCTTCCGAGATACTTTCGAATTATATGAACGGTAAGACTCTTGTTGTATCCCGCGGTCGTAACTATTCCTCTCAGTAATTCACAAAACCGTTCTTTGTGGAGTGGAACATCTTGCGGGCCATCAGCTGTGACATTTCTGAGAACAGGCTTTTCCAGAAATTCCTCCTTCCAGCGTAATTCAATGGGTTCTCCGCTTGAAAGGTCAAACCTGGCAAAGTCTTCAACCGTTTCAATGCCATACAGGGCACCGTGCTGGAGAGCAATAGCTAAGAGAATATAACCGGAGGCGAATTGTGGTCTCCTGGTGTCACGAATACCGATTCCGAACCTAAAAATACGTTAACAAGTAAGCCCTCAAATCCAAGCTAACCCTCTCAAGGGTTTTTAGATTGCTTACACTGTATAGTCTGGGTTCCGGTTCCCTTTGAGCCACACTTGGTTAATTTTCCATTCAACCTTCCAAGGTGCCGTAGAAGATGGAAACAAGACTAGATCGATGTGCTTGTTTGGAAAATCAGCCACGCATAATCCCAAGGTCGTAGGTTCCTACCTTATATCTCAGGCCTCTCTCGTATCTGTCCTCATGGGCCGGTATGAATGCTCCAATCCTTGCTCCGGTGAAGAGATACAATTGAAGGGCCAACGTCATGATAGCCTTGAGCAACCCGGGCATAAAAATGCGATGATCTGCTTGCCACATAGAGGATATCACTCGGAGAAAGTCCTTCTTTGTAAAGCTGTGGTCCGGATCCTCGACGTTCTCAATCGTTTTTTCATTTTCTGTCAATGTTCTCCTTATCCACTTTGTCGCAATTAGCTTGGCTTCCATTGCGTAACACAAAAAATAAAATCCAAACAATGGCTTACGCTGGATATCTCTTTCCTGTCTTCCAACACAATCTTGATTTGCATTACTTCTTCAAATCCTCCAAACAGTCTTTCTGCGCAATTGAGAACCGATGTCATCACTGGTCGTCCATTTTTACTTTTTGTCCCACGCGCGAAATGACTGTACCACCGAAGAAATTCTTTGATGAGTGTATGGTCTGGGATCGCAGAGCCTGGCCCCGGTTTGTAGCCCTCGATCCCATACTGTCCAACGAACCTGCACCAATCAGTAACTCATTGTCCCGGTATTTTTCTAGTACAACTGCATATCAACTCACTTCATCCAAAGATTAACAGCGTCGCAATACATCCTCTTGGTTTTGGGCACCCTTTTATCTTTCTCTCGGATAGCGTCCTCATCTGCATGGGCGCCAAAAACGTAGCCGCTCTTTTGCAGTTGATTGTGGCGCTTTTCTTTGGCGATCTCATCTTGTTGAGCAAAGAACTGTTTCCTACCCATAGCCAGTTTAATTTCCAACGCAATGCAAGAAAAATCTGAGAATCTGAAAGGACAAGTTAGAAACCGAGAAAGCTATTTTGGAGGATTAAAGCAGGAAAATAGTCCCAATTTATAATTCAGTAAATTGATATGACCCAAGACTCTTCTCCGGCACTTCGCCGTGACAGGTGGATTCTGTGCCTTCCAGTTTTGCGTCATCATGGCCGAGTGCGCTATTTTTGAGAGGGGAATGAGACTGGAAGATCATGCACCCCCAGAAACAGGAGGAGCATGGTGAAAATTGAGGGCCATCAAAAAGTAGCCGCAGAGTAAATAGTATTGTGGGGCAAAGTGCTTGCTACTTTGGGTATGGTCTGAATGTAGACTGGGTGCTCAATAGATGACTCTGAGCGGTCTCTGAGTTATCAGTGAGTAATCAGTGAGCGATCAGTGAGCATCCAATCAGACTCACTGAGCGCTCACTGAGCGTTCATTGGACCTCACTGGTTTATCACGTGATTACTCTGAGCAGCTCAGTGACTCTGAGCCCGGACTGAAATCTACTCAGTGAGCCTGACTCTGAGCGCCCTCATAAAAGCGGCGGCAGCTAAGATAGGAAAGCCCCACCCGGCAGAGGAAATCAAGTACGTATAGCTACCTAGGTATACTTTACCAAATTTTTGCTACATTAAAGAAATATTAGTACATGTAATTAATAAACCTGCACTGTATATTATAATTCCCTAGTCTCGTACTCTTATAGCACAGGTGACTAGAAATGACCTTCCGACATATGAACTACATACTAGGTACCGTTTAAAGTGACAATACACTTTTTTACCAAGTCTAAATATCCTCTTTCCCCCCCCCCCCTTCTTCTCGGGAGGAAATAAATGAAGGGACCAACATCCGCAACCCTATGCATCGGCCATGCAGAGCTGATGTTAAGCGGTAATTACAACTCAGGATCCGAAGAGTTGCCACTTTGAGGGACAAAGCTGTTACTTGGCGGATCAAATGGATAATCATCACCCGGGTCGTCAGCGATTTCGGATCTGCAATTTCAAACAAATTAGTTTACTGGATACAACCAAAGCAAAGGGTGAGGAACGCACCGGTTAGATTCGTTCATGGTCTTGAAGCTTTCCGGCAAGTGTTGGGCCATGCTCTCGGTAGCGGCGGCGTTTCGGATCTTCTTCCAGAATTGTGACGAGGTGCTGGATGCGTAAGAGCTCTTGAGAGGCAGCTTGAACTGCGGCATGTTAGCACAAGTGCCTCACTACGTCAAGCGTCGAACTTTGTGCGACACACCTCTTGGATTGCCAGAATCATAAACGCCACGGCAAAACTTATCCATCGCTTCGTCCTTACTGGGCCTCTGAGGCATCTCCCACCTCGAAATTCAACCGTGCCGATCGCCGGCTCCTCAGTAAATGGCATACGCGTGACGTTGTGGAAGTTCCAGAGTACCGGGCGGTCCTTTTTCGACAAACCCTGTACAAGTTCGACGAGTTTCTCCTTGTTCTTTACAGCGTTGATCAACGCCGCTACTTCGCTTATGCTCTTCCCTTTCAGGTGTTGAGAATGTTTCTTGTTAGGCATACAGTAGTGGTAATTTCTCCGACTTTGAGGGAGAACTTGCTGGACTTGCTCGTCGAAGAAGACGACGGCAAAGGCGATTGCCTGCAGCTCTTTGAGGTTGAAGGTGCCTCTACCGGGGGACACGTGAACATGGCTACCGCATCTCAACACGCGCCGGGGCATGTGGAATACGGCCCTCATGGCGGCCCAGTATGCATCGATTTCATCCTCCCACCGCTTGCGTGTTTCCAGCCGCGGCGATACGGCCTCGAAAGGCACTGGACACAAAATTTCAGCCTGTCTTAGGACGATTGAGTTAAAGCGCGAGATTCGACCTACCGCCAGGATGCTTGGGCCAGTCTGGAGCAATCAGCGATCCATCCCAAGTAATCCACCAATTAAGGTGGCGCTCCCTCGTCTCACGATACTGGGTCCTCCGGGATTCAGCAATTACTTTCAATGGTTGTTGGTCACAGCCCTTCCTGTTGCGCAGAGCTTTGGCAATCTTGCCATACCAGAGGTCAAGGTCATCTTCCACCGGTGCCGGTACCGGCTGTTGTTTATTGTGCGGCTCGACGATGACCTCTATCTCGACGCCGAAGTAGTAGAAGCTCATATTGTGATCGATTACCTAGGTATCACTGCTGGAATCGTTCAGCTGGAGACCTAAACATTTATATATCCGAAGCAAAGGCTGTTATTATGCAGCAGACAAGAGCCTCTGGCTTTGCCTTAGGCCAATATATATCCTAAAACGCCTCGACAAAAGGTCACATCCATCCAAAGCCAGCACCAGGCACATGTTGGGCACAATCCTGCCGATTTGTGCATTACTGCCGTCCCCCGCCGGATCAGGAGGCCGCAGTTCCAAGGCTGGTGTTCCTAGCTGCATCTGCGTAATCTGACACATTGCTCAAGAGGAACCGAGCACAGTCAGCCCCATTCCAGCCTCAAGTATGTTCGCGAGGAGCCACTCCGTTCGTGCCGCAGCGGACGAGGCTGTTAATCTTTAGTCCATTGCCACGTCCCTATGTGGACTAATATCATCGTGGAAGGCTGCTGCCTTGGATTGGGCCATTGAGGACAGTTCCTGTAAACCACCAGGGCTTGTTATTTGTGATGAAGGCTTCCTCAGCCGAGGCGCGACTACTCGCTAGTTAGTGCGCCACGGCTAGGACATCTAGTAAGCCCGATGGCATTGATGCCCCACCACTAGTTGTGCCCACGGACCTTTCTGTATTGCAACAAGTAACCGTGCCAGCGCACACCAACACCCCTGCGGCGCTATGAGTGGGTGGCGGAACGTATGTGTTGTCGGCGGATACCCTGGACTGGGGCAGACTAGGGCAGACACTTGGGGCAAAAGGGCCGTAGCCTTTTCTGCCCGTTTTGGATTCGTCATTTCGGTAATTAATACGATGTCGTATAATCTACATACATACATATAACTTCCATGGTTCACTGTAAGAGGCTAATCAACCGAACTACTTATCTTACTATCTATATTCATCATAGTATCTACTAAAATGGCTGGGTAACTAGGCATAAAATAGGAATAGTTATAGTTAGCCTTAGCGACTGCGTTAATTAGGATATAAGTCATATTCGGTGATTAGAACCCATCTACGAGATTCAATCAGGAAGGCAATTACATACGATGACAGACCACTTACGATCTGATGCCTATAGATAATACTAACAATAAATGGAACATCAGAGACGGACAAGGGCAGCAAGGCTCGGGACACCGATGCTGGAGAGTACGAGTAGAGGGGTAAAAGAGAAGTTCTGTACGACGCGAGTATGCCATAACATGACTTAGGGCGGTAAGGCCAGCGGTGAAATCTTCACTATAGGCAGAAAGGGTCATGGCCCTTTGCCCAGAGGCTGCCATACCCACTCTAGTGCTGCCGCCTACTGAATGTAAACATCTTGGAACTACCCACAAAACATTCATCTAGCACATATCTGCGATTTTTGTTGAAGTGACTGGTTAGTGCACTATATCTCATACAGCGCGATCATTCAACTGTCCTTCAACGGGGTTTCTTCCTCATCACATCGCCATGGCTTCCAGATCGGCTAGGAGGCCGGATCGCTGGTACTATTTTGCATACGGTAGTAATATGAGCCTAAAGCAGATGGCAGAACGATGCCCGTCGTCTCTATTCATGGGAAAGGGCAGAATTGATGGATACAGGTGGCAGATCAACCAGCGTGGTGTTGCAAATGTTGTCGAATGCCGGGGAGACTATGTCGAAGGTCTTATTTACCAAATCGACGCCAAGGACAAACGACAACTAGACCGCAGCGAAGGCGTAGCGCTAGGTTTTTACAACGATGAGCATCTACACACTCTGTTCTTGCCCTTGCCAAGCTGCGGGATCAAGACCTTCCATGTTGCGAAGGAACTTGAGATGGACGATCAGCCTGATCTCAGAAAACCAGAGCACGAACCATCCGCTCCCGGACCCAAGAGGAGCAACGTATCAGAGTCCACTTTTGTTGATCAAAATCCATCGCACCAACCAGTATCGAGGCATCCGAGACAAGAGAGCTTAGAGATGGTTGATGCCCTTGTCTATGTTAGCCGCGAATACAAGGACGACGGATTAATCAGATCAGAATATATTACACGCATGGAGAAGGCGATCATCGATGGACGGAAGATGGGATTGTCAGATCAATTCTTGAATCACCTCGATCGTACCATTCATCGGGAGCTTCCACGTCTGAATAACGATGCCTTCCGAACCAGATACGGTCCTTATGCGAGAATGGAAATTGGTGGTACAAGCCACCAGCCGTACGGGGTCTTGGAAAGCACTCGACCAAGACAGGAACAGGACGAACGAGTGTCGACAATTCGGCCCAGCTATCCAAGGTACGCGAGGGTGATAACTATCCGGCCGAGGTATCAAGACTTCCACGATCTCGGTGGCAATCCCAGATATGCAGATGAAAGACGCCATCGACCGACTTACGATACTGGAAGACAGCCAGAGACTCAAGAATGGAGCAGGGGCAGGTCTCCGACGAGATTCATGCAGAGTCGAGGCTGGGACGAACGGGGCGGTGCAGGATCAACTACGCTTATCAATTCGCGTTACCATGTTGGAGGTCATCCTGAGCAGGTTTTTGAGTACCGCCGACGCGGTAGCTCTACTCCGTACTAAATTAAACTTTCTTTTCCGGTATTCTTCCTGCCTTTCGATCGAAGGCGCTGGCTACGAAGAAGGAAGAAACCTGCAGAGAATCGATCATATTCGCTGCTCTCAAACAAGAAAGAGAGGGAGCGCGCGTCACCAGTTCTTCTGCCGTTGACCTGGGGGGGTGCGAGACTATTAGGAAATGCACGTGATCCGAGGACTGGGTCGAGATGTTGTTCGGCCAATTCTTTTCAATTACCACTGCCCTCTGCCTGAGGGACATTTAACACACGCCGGTGAGTTAGTAGTTGGGTGGGTGACCACCAGCGAATCCTCACTGTTGTATGTTTTTGTTTTTGCTTCTTCTTGGTTCTTCTTCTTCTTATCTAGACATGATGAAACCATGAATTGGGTGAGCAACTTATCAAGAGAAAACTGGACTGGTCTTTGGAATAAAACTATACTTCGACTGATCCTTTCGCAGTAGAAAACGTAGCCAGAATGGACGAATACTAACGTAGAGACTACTTGGTTTGGCGGAGCTTTCCTATGCAAATTTGGGATGAAATGTGGCGAGAGAACGTCTGAAGCATGAATTGGAGGGAAGATATTTAATGATATAGCAATTTTGGATGACTTCACGCCACTGTTGATCCCTTATTCTACCCAGTGCTAGGAACATCTTCGAAAGAGAAAGGTGGTTCAAAGACTTCCTCGTCTTTTGTTTTTGTTGTCCTTGTTTCGTGGTGGTTAACTATCGGAAAAAGACGAAACAATGTTCAGTAGGGCTTTGGAGACTCCATCTCCGCTACCTTTCCAATTGCCTACGGGATTTCTCCTTTATCATCTCCGCCTCATGAAATACCTCATGGTTCTCTAGTCTCACTTCCGATCGATTGCATCATTCGCATTTTGCGAAGCTGCGATAAATTATCTCTAGCGATCGCTCTGTCTTCCACGTGCAAGCACCTACACTCCGTCTACTCCTCGAGTTCGTCAGGTGTAATTCGGCATGTGGGACCACGCGAGGTTTTTGCCTTCAATGAGGCCTTGATGACAGTAGGGAACATCCCCTCAGGCTATTCAGTCAATGTTAACATTTGGTAATAGACCCGCGCAACAAGAATCGTGGTAGAGTATTTCGACAAGGACAATTCCCACCACAGCCTTTCCCACTTGATTCACTGAGTACCCCCGCAATTTCCTCGGAAGATATCCAACAGGTCTTTGATTGGGAATATCTTATGAGATGCATCGAAGATATCTACTCGAACAATGTGGAGTGGGCTCAACAGATGTATGCCGAGCTAGGCATACCCGACTCCGAACAGCTTTCTCCGGACTGGCTCATTTGGAAAGAGAATTTCCGTCGCTCCATGTATCATTTCTTTCTCATGGGCGGGGTCCTATGTCGGTTCTAGCAGGAGCCTCTTTCGGAGTCTCCCGACCTCCTTTTCCAGGACAGAGACAAACGAGTTAAACAACCAGATGATGAACCATTGCTGAAGAGCGAAGAGATGGCGCATTTACTGAAATACTCGGTATTTAACTTCGAGGATTACGCTCGCCATGAGTCCATCTACAAGGGCCTAGCGGAGTTCTTCAAGAAGCAAACAGAGCACCGCCCATCAACCCTTGACAACCCAGAGTTACTGAATGCGTACCCGGAGGATGCCGTCCCTCAACTAGACAGGTGTCATGCCGAAACCCTCCATGTGGAGATGATCCAATGCCTTCTTTCAAGTTTAACCTTATTGGACCACACCGGACAATCACAAATATTCGAAGAACAGGCCGTGACTGTCGAAGAGCCCTCGAAAAAAATCACAGTTGTCTGTCTAGGGTCATTCTATCCCGAAACCATCGCCTTACCAGACAATCCGAAGAATGCACACAAGACTCTCCTTTTGAAAAAGGCTATATCCGAAACCAAGGATTCCGCGTGGCGCTCATGCTCTCCTTTCATGAGTCGCATTCTCGAGATCATGCGTGCGTTCTCTGGTCAGCCAAATCATTACAAAGAGCAATACCCCATACCACCTCCTCCCGTACAGATATTCCAGTACATCTTACGGAAGTACCTTGGACTCCGATTCTCAGAGGATGCATTTGAGTCAGAGGATCTTGACGCCCCACATCATCTCTTTGTGCATCATCTAGAGATGGGACATCTTCTTTTGGACGGGTGGCGTGAAGTGGTTCCAACATTGTTTGACCTGGACGACGGTACCGAATACGAAGCATACTACGCCTGAGACAGGTTGGGTGGTCTACGGACCTGCGAGGAAAGTTTCAGCCCCAAAAAGAAGATATCGAGGTTTACCTCGGACCTTGCATTGCCAAGAAGCTAAGACTTGCCGAGGGGCATGGGAAGAGGGCTGAAAACGCCCCATTGCGGGTGTGCCGTAACGGGAGGTTCCAAGGAGTACGGTGCACAGTTTCAGAATCCATCGAAAATACCAAAATTACCACACTAAGATCCCTGAAGCGCCTTCAGGGAAGTCATTGGGGGTTCGCCCGCGTGCCTAGGCTGGAGATTCTAAAAAATATCAGTAATCGCGGACACGCTGCTGTGGTCGGTGCCCCACTTGCAGTCTGGCTTCCTTACCCTGTACCCCGGACAGTGATCCGCAACTGTGATACGCAAAGACCAAGCCCTGTCAGGTTACCATACCGAAGGAACGGTCTCCCCTCCCGGACACAGTATCCTGTGCTCGCAAGAAGCACGACTTGAACAATGCCGAGATGGTCATTTGGTCGTTTGATCATTTGATCCGCTTGGCTTCTCAGACTCAATGCAGCCGATTAAGCCCATTCGATCGCCTCAGCTCGACTAAGGCAACATGGGGTTCGGACGGCAAAGTGTACAGCTGTTTTGGTGTCGCTGCAGGTGGTAAAATCAGGCAGCGGCGGTCCAAGGCCTTCCCGGTGATATTGATTGAGAAAATGCCGCAATTCCTTGACTTCAGCCGTCTTGGCTGCACCTGGTGAGCCAATTCGGGACAACACATGGCATAGTTTCTCTTTTAGCGAGAATAGAGACAACAAAGGTAATCCAATCGGTTTTACCCGACCGTCGCGGGACGGACCGGTCTTAGCAAATAATATCTAGTGAGCCGCTGACGGAGTGTGTTATGCATGCTGTCGACAACTAGTACTTGAACATGTCCAAGTTGATAAATTAAAGATATTGAGATCGGTTGAGCGATCTCAAGGGTCTCTATATTTGAACTATGGCGTGTTATGACACCATACTAGGAGGAATTGGGTGAACGATGAATAAGCGTATCCTGAAGGGTCCTAGTGGTAATTGATCACTTCCTCATTTCGTCAAAATCATAAAAAATAACCAACAACAGAATATTTTCGATCAACAAAATATCATAAATTTATTGAGATATATTTCCCGCTCCTACTGTCAGGGGTTCTGGTCGTTGTGTTGCACAATTTCCCTTAGGCGATTAGTCACAAAATGGGTTACGGTCGGCCTTGGTAGCTGAACATCAAGGAAAAGGGAGGAGAAGGGGGGGGTTGCCATTGCTTGTTCAAGGGTATAATTGTGTGGCTAGTAATTAAAGCTATTCGGTACACTGCTTCCGAAACCAGTGTCACCACCTACGCTCTTTCACTCTTTCTGGAACTGCCAAGGATCGTCAGTCAATCTTAGGTTTAGCATAGTCTCATAACACGTGAGCTTCTTCGTATTGTGCCGTGCAGTCCGAATAGGAAATGATAGTACATACAAACATCATTGCAAACATGAGAATTTCTGTCCTCGTAACCCCCACAACGTCGGTCACCTCTTTTGCTGCATCATCCTCTGCCTCCGAGCCCATAATCCCGCGGCAGCGGTTACCGCTCGTCTTGCCTGTTTGATCGAGCCAACCCCTCCTCAGAACTCCTATAGATTAGGTGATAGGCATGCAAATTGCTCCAATAAACATATCATTGTTATCAAGTTCTACCACCCAGTTATCACGTCCTCGGACCACTTCCTAAACCACAACTCAAAATGAGCAGTGGCTTCGATCTCTGCGAGCAGATTACTCAGGCCGTTCGTGGCCGTTACGAGACCTGGACCTTCATTCGCGGTTTCACCTCTCACTGGGTAACTCCGCTACAGGAGGGTGATGGACACAGTGAAACAGACCTAGCAACTGCTCAGGAGCGGTTAGGCATTCAATTTCCCGCAGCATTAAAGGAGGCATATGCACTCTTTGGTCGCCGTTCAGATCTCACTCGCAATCGAGAATATCTGCTGGAACCAACAGCCCTCTACCTTGACCATGGTGCCTTGATATTCCGACACGAGAACCAAGGTGCCTCAATCTGGGGAATCTTGATAGCAGACCTGCAGAATCCCGATCCTCCTGTGTATCACTGTTCGTGTAGAGTGGATAACATAATGGAGGATTGGGGAATCTGGTTGGGACGATTCTCTCTTGCGTGCGTCGATCTCGTCCTGTGGGAATCGTTGTATGACCCGAGGATGGCGACTGAATCTCGCGATATCGATGATGAAGACCTGAAATTGGTTGGCCAATTGTACTCGGAGCTCCCCTCTTTCGAGGGATCTGACAGCTATACTCCCTTTGGCGTACGTTGGTTCACTGGAACTGATCTCCTTCTTTGCGATACGGGCATGGATCTCTCTGTCAGAGCCCGTACCCGGGAAACACTACGTTCCGTTCGCGAAAACCTCCCTGGAGATTGGTTGAATGAATAAGGGGGATCACATGATTAAACCGGTCTTCTAAATACCCTCATGCAACATTGCAATAGAAAAGTTCATTGGGTTTCCCTAAACTAGCTACAAATTCCCATCGCCTGATTCTCACTGGAATCCACCGTCTGCATTGAGAACCTGTACGTGTTAGCCTGCAACCTCAGATGAAAGAAATCGCCCAGCATACGCTGGCAGTCACAAAGCTAGACTCGCTACGCAGCAAGAATAGAACACAATTAGCAATCTCCTCCGGCTGAGCCGTACGCTTCAATGCCGTCCTGCTAAGCAATCTCTCTTTCACTAGTTCAGCTGGACCCAAGGCTGTAGCCAACGGAGTATCAACCACACCTCTATTAGCACAATCCCCACGAGTTAGTCCTGTCAAACTACAGGAATAGATTCGGAAAACATACAGTAAGTAGTCGCAGTACTATTTCCCGACTGGAACCTACTGCCGTCAACTGGTTTTCTTATTCATGGAAGCAAGATCTATTGCTAACAGCCCTTTTTCTGCCTTGAGCAATATGTGCGTTACTTTTGGAGCTTATCATAAAGCAGTACTTGGCGATAGCTTTGTAAACTTCGACCGAAAGTCTGGTGCATGGTAGCTGCAACGGAAAAAGACAACCTGTTGTCAATTAAAGTAATGTAATTTTCGAGTTCAGTTTGACCTCTCTTTAAATTTAATTTCCAGAAAATAAATCCTAAATATGCGACTTCTGATTGGATGTTATTTTAAGCGCTTACATCTAGACCGCTTTCAACGATAGTCTATGTATCTTACAATACGTCTTTAGTACCATAGGAATGTGGAATTAAATAATCTACATAAATATCTTGATTAGATATTCAACAGATGCGATAACAGCGCAGGAGAAATGATCAGCCATAGATACCGCCAGGGCTTACTTCTAAAGCATCCTCAACCTCTCCCACTTCTCGAGCGCTTTGGTATACCGAGACTGCAGCCTCTCGAGCCTGGTTCGCATTCTCACATCGGATTGATCTTCTCCGGCTATAGCATCCAGCTCTTCGTCATCTAACCTAGCAAAGGTCTCGACGGACAGGGAGAGCATTGGACATCTTGGTCCCAGTATATGTCGCTCCACCACCTGCATCGCTACATTGTCAATAAAGCGATGCAACGCAATCCCATAGTACGACTGTAGCCTAGCACGGACAAAGAACATCTGGCTGAGAATCGTGGAGACAAAGCGAGGACCGTCGTCATTAACCTCGAGATTGCCGTTGACATCGCCATTCTGATCATGGTCTGTGGATGATCCTTTGGATGACCTTTTCCGGAGAAGAATGTTGCCTCGATTCTGATCCGCAATGGTCGTTTCTGCCATAAACAGTGGGTTACGAGTTATTAGCGGTCTGGCTTGATTATCCTCCAATAGCTCGGAAAGAGCTGTGTCTGCATGTTTGTGCCACTCTTCCAGCGTCTTGCCCATTATGCGACTGACCTCCAATCGCACTTTACTGTTGGGGATGGCAATGCGGATTAGAACATCATGGCAGTTCTTAACCAGGTCTTTTACATCATCGACAAGCCGGCGAGCAATGCCTTCCCAATGGAGAGACTGCTTGCGGAAAATTTTCTCCTCCACGTCTGGATGCACAGTGCCGGGAAGACTGCGGCCTTCGCTGATCTTAGCTTCCTTGTATATTTCAGCGTATAGACCGGGACCTTCCCTGACGAGTTTTTCCCATTCCCTTGGACTGACAGAGCTTAGGTTTTTCAGGTCTTCATCATAATTTGAGAACGGAAGCAGCATGTTTGTGGTGTTCGCCATATCCTTGAAGAATTGATCCAGGCGACATTGCACTTCGTATCGAAGCATGATCCTCGGATCCTGGGAAGGCACAACCTGATACTGACCTCTGAGCGTTGCCTCTGCCATGCGCTGCATCTCATTGCAAAACTGGAGGACAAAGTACCGCTGGGCTTTCGGGCTATCTCGAGCTTCACCCATGCTGCTCAGATCAGATTCGCATTCCCTAAGCTTCTGACGAATCTCCGCCACAATGTGCGGGATACCAGACTGGATCTGCGCTCGTCGTTCTTTGTCGACATATTGCATCAGCGCTTGTATTCCAGTACGGTCTTTCGCGACTTCTTGCCAGTCTTTCTTCATGAATTCGGCACTTTCTAGTTCGTCCCGCTCCGCATCGGTGATGTGAGCTTCGTTAGGGACTCGGCTTCGCAATCCGAACCACCCATGATCGAGGCGAGGAACAGTAGAGAGATCGTTCTGAAGGAGCTTGATCATCTGACTTGGGACTTAGCATGACTCGTTAGGGTGGACTCTAGAGGAAGACATACCCATTCATCCGATCCCTCTTGTTTGCGATCACACTTGTTCAGCACGCCAATGCATCGCTTTTCCAGGCCTGGAATCTCCTCCATCAGTTCGAAGATCCGGAGGCGCTCCACATCCACATCATCAATGACAACCCTGTTTAGCTATCAGCCTGGGCGTACTGGAGAATGTTGTCCGGTAACCTACAAGACAATGTTCCGGTTGTTCGATAGATATCTGCGTGCAAGGTCCGATGCAACAGCTGCATTCATCCGCATTGATGTATCTTCCGGCCCGTCGCCATTCGCGCCGTTCAACCCATGCTCCTTTGGATTTTTCTTGTCGCCCCGTATGAGTCCCGGAAGATCGATGATAGTCCAATGCATCTCGTCCGGGCCCGACCGCTCAATGCGCAGTGTCGCATCGCTCAGACTCACCCTCTTTCCTGGCTGATGAGGGCCAAAAATACATTCTGTTGCCTGTATTGCCGATGAGACTACATCCAACTGTCCACGGAGCTAAACATACCTTCTCAATAATCTCTTTTATGACATTCGTCGTCAGTTCCTTCCTCTCGACTGCAAAGTCCCTGATGCGAGCTAACAATGCCCCATCATTCTCGGACTGTCGACCCGGCACGATCGTGGCTTTGACCGGCAATTCCTTCGCAGCGGAAGTCTGGCGAAAAGAGATCTGGATGGGGAACCGCGTGCAGGTCCCGTCTTTCACTGGAAAAGAGACCTCTGTGATAGCTTGGAGCACCGAGCTCTTGCCCGCGCTTTGGTCACCTACCACCACGAGCTTGTACACATTAGTATCGTCTCTACCGGTCGCAGTGATGAGATTGGCTCTGTGGACTGACCTCGGGTAGGTTGATGGTGCTACTTAGCCCGAGCGCCTGCAGCTCATCGATGAAGGCCAGCTGCTCCGAGCTCTCGACTCCGGCGAAGTGGCGCGGTCTTGTGCCCATATTGATACTGGCTTGGGATGTCTGTGTTCACGGCTTCTCTGCGGGACATCGGCTCTCTTATATTTCCTTCCGCTGGGACATATCTCTAATTAGTATAGCGAGCCGCCAACCCCAACGTCCACTCAACCCCTGTTCTAGAAGAGGGGAGGGGGCCATCAGTCCGCCGCAGCCGTGCCGCAGCCGTGCCGCAGTCACCATGCATGCATTAGTCGCTGTTCTAAACGCCGGTGGCGTTGATCCTGGTATCTTTCCGGTTTGGAATATGTGCATCATCCCTTCGCAATCCTTTAATGCTCTTGGCGTCGAACTAGCAATGGATATGCCTTTTTATAGCTACTGAACGAGTCGTCTACTGTACTTTTGCCTGCAGCTCGCGTCTCGCTTGCCGCAGACGCATAAGACGTGCTCGCGAAAGCGATACGCCTTCGCATATGTGGACAACTAACAGTGCCCACCTCGCAGCTGCGTCAGTAGGTAGTGTGGCTCCTGGGTAGATTGATTCCCATCATTCCAGTATATACAAACCTAATAGAAGCTAATTTTATGGCTGAAGTAACCCGCATGGCAGTCGCGCAATCAATTCCCTCTCAATGCTCCAAATGTGGTCCACAATATGATACTGAGCCAACCACTGACTACCTCACAAATTGTTAGAGCAGCCGAATGTATGAAGTATCTAGGCATAAATGTAACAGTGAACCCATGTAGACCAGCTTTGATTGGGATCTATTGTACAAATATCGTAGATATACAGTGCATCTATCGTGTATGGCCTGCCTCCCGAGCTTCTTCCTGCTGTAAAGCCATTCTAGCCATGACGTCCCGCGCCGCGACCTTGGCTTTACGCTTCTCATTCATAGCGACTTCGTCCGCGGTATCCTCTGGAGCGCCCGTTCGACTTCCATTCGGCGAACCAGTGAGGCGCTTGTTCTTTTTGTTGGGTGCTTGATGGGAATCGGACGCGCCATCTTGGCCATTTTCGTCATTTCCGCCAATGGATGGGTCGGGAGATGTTGGGCGCAGGCTGCGACGAGATTGCCGGCGTGTGCCTGGTTGACCAGTAGAATCGGTGTTAATCCCCTGAACGTTTGAAGGGGTGGTATTTGGAGGCTGTGGAGTGTCGGCATTGGGATTTGGGGGTGGGTTGGTTGACTTTCTGGGTCTGCCGGGTCTTCTCGGTGCAGGAGCTTGTGCTGGAGCTATTTCCGGGTTGTCGCCATGTGGCGGGTTGAGGCGCGGGCGTTTCGCTATGGATTGCTGTGCAGGTTGGGATTGGGCTCGGTTTGTGTTACTTGTCCTATTCTGAGGCGTTTGGGAAGCCTCCAACTGAAGCCCTGAGCCCGCCCCATATTCCGACTGGCCGCTGGTAATGGCACGCCGTTGTTGTTCGTTAAGCACAGCACGAGATTCACGAACAGCTGGAAATGACGGGTCCGAATCGTCAGTCATATCGTTTTCATCAAAGTAAGTGCCAAATGATTGGCCACGATCAATGGGGAAAGCATCGGGCCAAGGGCGCTTCCGGCCTGCCTGGAGCAAGCCCGGGCTCCGAACTTCAGGGAGTGCAGCGTTCATGTTCAACACAGACAAGGAGTCTTGCTGTGGTTGTGGCGAGATTCCTCCCATGTAACGGTTTTTTAATTTCAAAGCTTCAATCTCCAACTTCAACTTCTCAATTTCGTCGGATTTGGACTTGAGCTCCTTGAGAACCGTAGCAATCATATCGAAATCATGTCCCTGGAGGGTGGATCCCTCTCCAATATGCCTGTTTGGTCCGTTCAACTCAATTCGAAGAGCGGTGAAGGAATGCTTGAGGTCTGACATTGTATCTTGTAGGTGATTCACGGAGCTCGAGATCTGATCGATGCTTCTGCCTTGACTGAGCATCTGCCTTTGTACTGACGGATCGAGGTTGGCGGGGTCAGAGACGCCAGCTGGCACAAGCGCACTGTCCTGGACAATGTCTGAGTTTCGGCGTGGTGGTTCTTTCGGGGTGGGACAAAGGAGGCGTTCGAGGGTCCCCTGTTTGAACAGAGGCTGCACGGTCCGCATGGTAACAATTTCCCTAAATGCAACTTTGTTCATTTTCCACAGGATGTTCATTCTGAAAGCGGGTCAGCATGGAGGAGATGCGCTGGTGATTCAGGGTAGCTTACCCATTGTCGAATGGACACAGGACTCCAATCCTTTGTTGGCATAGTTTGCAAGAGACCTCCTGAATTATACGCCCGCGCAACAGGGTCATCTCAGAACTATGGGGAATCAATTTGCGCTCCGACAATACGGAGATGCGATGGAGGTCGACACTGAGCCATGCCGTTGGGATAGCGTAAACATTGGTCAGCTTTGCCCACTCATTCTCCAGTGCAGCCAGTGAGCTGGAACACCGTGAGCATTGGGACAATATGCCCGGCCGAGTTAAATGGGACAAGTCCATGATGTGTTGGGAGTAAGAATGTGCGGACGTTAAGAAAGCCATGGAACGCAGCCAGACCGCTGAGTCAGCCAGTAGTGCCACCGGCCACGCTAGTCCCAATTAGGTTATCGATAAGGACTGTAAAGTGTCGTCATCAATGGAGAGAGAACATTCACTCGTGTGCCTGAACACAAGTTGTCTTTGTTGCACCTAAACCGATAATTGCGTGCTCAGTCCCCGATCAGCGTACGAAGTTGGTCTATGTTGCACCTACTCTTATCTCCCCGCATGATCACGTGCCAGGTCCCCTCTTTGCCCGTTATTTTTGAGGGACCAATGCTACGCTGACACAGAACTCATGAATCGCGTCTTACAACCGGCCCGTCGCTCATCTTCGGCACTTTGTTCGCTACCCAGATCAACAATACATCCTAGAATTGTCGTATCACAACTCTCAACCCGCGCAATGTCTACTACCTCGGTACCCGGCAGCGATAAGAAGCCCAACACCTGGCAGGGGGCTGGCGCTGCCGAGTTTGACCTCAGAAGTATGCTTCAATCAGCAATCGGAGGACTAATGTATACTAACCTACCCCAGGTGATACAATGACGAAGCCTACCGCATCCATGCTTGAAGCCATCTGCCAAACGACTCTCCTCGATGATGTCTTCAACGAAGACACAGTCACCAATGACTTGCAAAGCTACGTCGCCCAGATAACGGGGCATGAGTCGAGTTTGTTGGTTCTTTCGGGGACAATGGGAAACCAGGTGGCCATTCGCTCTCATCTCGCGCAACCTCCTCATTCGGTGTTGTGTGATCATCGATCTCACATCATTTGTTATGAAGCTGGTGGTGTAAGCGCATGGACCGGTGCTACAATGCAAACGGTTGTACCCAGGAACGGGGTTCATTTGACCTTGGAGGACATCCAGAAGCATGCTGTGCTCGACGATAACATCCATTATTGTCCTACCAAACTGATAAGCTTGGAGAACACACTTGACGGAATGATTATGCCCTTGAGCGAGGCGCGCCGCATCGTAGAATGGGCCCATGCTAATGACATCAAGGTTCATCTGGATGGTGCTCGGCTGTGGGAGGCCGTCGTGGCAGGTGCGGGTAGCCTGCCCGAATACGCCAGCCTGTTTGACAGTGTCAGCCTTTGCTTTTCAAAGGGTTTAGGTGCGCCAATTGGAAGTATCATTGTCGGTTCTCAAGACTTTATTAAAAAAAGCCCGCTGGTTCCGCAAGTCTATTGGTGGCGGTGCTCGTCAAACGGGTGTAATTGCAGCTGCCGCCCGAGTCGCCCTGGATGAAACATTTGGCACTGACCCTCAAGGCCAGACTGGAAAGCTTGCAGCAACCCATGCAAAGGCGAAGCAGGTAGCCGAGATGTGGACCAGTCGCGGAGGCAAGCTGGAGCACCCTTTGCACACCAATATGGTTTGGTTGGATCTCGAGGCATCTGGGGTGGGGCCGAATGATATGGCACAGATTGGACAAAAACAAGGACTGAGATTGATGGGCGGCCGGGTAGTGGTTCATTACCGTAAGGTTTCCAATTTACTCCTGGGCTGACAATTAAACAAATCTGACTTGTCACAGAGATCTCCGACGAAGCAATCGCACGGCTTGAGCGAGTCTTCGACACTGCGCTCAAGGGAGATTACCAGCGAAATGAGGATACGAGCAAACCGTATGGGACCAAATAATCTGAAGACAGGCATATAGAGCGTAGAAATGTAAATATTATGTTCCATTACCCTCAAATGTCCGGTGTTTTCTCATAGATCGAGTCCTGCTGGTTCCGTGGTTGACGCTTACTGCCTATCGACCAATCAACGTCACTGTTGCCTGATGAGTCAGCCTCAGGTACCACCTGCTGCCTGAGGTGTCTTCCTCAAGTCACGATTGTTGCGGCTCGTTCATGTTCTTGTTTCTCGGACGACGACCTTCCAAGGAGTGCAATTTTGCTCCGTCCCTCCCCATCTTCATCTGTCCGATCGAATACCGCAACCTGTTGACAGAGTGATAGGGAGTGCCTTAATCTGTGTGAGTTTGATTCCCTGGAATCAAGGCTAAACAAAGACCCAGCTAAGTTTCGAGATGAACTATACTAATCATTGGCTTCGCTTTTGCAGACATACCTCCTTGCTATTCCAAGATCGCCGAAACGGTCTCCCTCCCCCTGCATCGATAGTTTTCAATACGGAAATACCGCTGGTCTGCGTTTGATTGATCAGTGCCTCGACTGCCCGGAACCTTCCCTCCATTTAATACTTTTGACAAGAGCAGCGAACTTTTGTTCTATCTGGAGCCAAGAGCTGGGTAGTTTGCCTCTTGTTAACGACCCGCCCCATCAATCACCTTCATCCGCACGTGCTCTGAGATTACCTACAGAGGGACACCCCATTTGCAACATACCGTTCAGCTAGTGCCCAGACACCGACCTAGCCCGCTTGTATTCACAGACCAGCCTGTTTCTGCCCACTTGCTTGTCACAGCGTGGTACATACCCTGGCAAATCTGGAAGCGATCGGCGGGGATACAGGTGAGCTAGGCTTTGCCCGGGTGCTTGGCCCTTTGGTCTCATTGTCGCATTATTCCTGAGGTATATATACCACCTCACCCCGGCCTTTCCCTCGGCTTTTCGACTCATACCTTGTCTCTAGTCCATGACATTAATGACCCTGTTATGCAAATTGCTTTCGCTGTCCTCACACCAGCACATATACCCTGCATCCTTGGATCTTTATCAGTAGCTGTTTCCCATTCTTTTTCTTTTTCTTAGCAACTGCATTTGGTCCTAGGCTCGACTGCACCATAATGGCGGCCACACAAGAATCCACGCAACCAGTCGCCGATCCTCGTCGGATGGGAATGAATAACTCTGGCATTGAAGACCAAGATCTGTCCGACATCATATGTATCCTTCATCCCAATTCTCATGTTGCCCATGATGCCGTTGCTGCCACAGGGAAACTCGGTCCTCAACATATCCTTCAAAGAGATGCGTTGGACTATGAGTCTGAGACGGCAACAATGGATCTTGCCTTGAGGCTGTCATCCAATGTACAAAACCTGGGAATGGGTTTCTGCTTTGGTCGAAATCGAGCTCGCTGTGATGTTCTCTTGACAGTTAACGATGCAGCGAAGCGAGTATCAAATGCTCACTTTCGCATATATCTGACAGGAGACGGAATCCTCATGCTTCAGGATACGTCCACAAACGGGACCGTCGTGGACAATTGTCGCCTACGGAAAAACCAAAAGGAAAACAGCAGAATGCTTCTCAATGGGTCCATCATCCAGGTTGTCATCGGCGACCACGCCTCCGACGAGGTGCGTTTTGTGGTTCGTATTCCGTCACGAGAGGGATTCGCTGTCCAATACGAGAGGAACTTGCTCTGTTACTTTGAACGAGTTCTGGCAGCAACCCCTGCGCACAAAGATCGGACAGGCCCACAACCTTCTGTTTTGACATGGTCATCCTCAAAACCATACGGCATGCATTGGACAGGTGGTTCAGTATACAACGTGACCGGGCAAATCGGCAAAGGTGCATTCGCTACCGTCTACAAGATTGCGACCAAGCAACACGGCGCCGTATTTGCTGCAAAGGAGCTTGACAAGCGCCGCTTCATGAAAAATGGCATTCTGGACCAAAAGGTTGATAACGAGATGAAGATTATGAAGGACCTCACACATGTAAGTGTCACTTTTCATCGTGTCTCTTAGGTTTAACTCACTAACCCAATTTAGCCCAACATCGTTCAGTACGTGGACTATCATGAACATGACCGGTGGATTTACATCATCATGGAATACGTCCCAGGAGGCGAGTTGTCCACTTATCTTCAGACGCAAGGCAGAATCGCCGAGGAGATGGTGAGGACCATCGCGCGGCAAGTGCTACGTGCCCTCCATTATTTGCATAAACGGAAAATCACCCATCGCGATATCAAGCCAGACAATATCTTGATCTCTTCCTTGGATCCACTCAAAATCAAGCTATCAGACTTCGGTTTATCCAAGGTGGTTGAGCAGGAAACCTTCCTGAAAACGTTCTGCGGCACCCTCTTGTACTGTGCGCCAGAAGTGTATCCAGATTATGAACAATATCGACGCGGCGAGTTCCGAAAGAGACGTCGTGTTGGAGACCCGTAAGTATATATATTCCGCGGTTTGATGGACTCTTGCTGATCTTTAGACCCCCCAAAACGTCCCCATACAACCAGTCTGTCGATATGTGGTCTCTTGGTGCGGTCCTTTTCCACATTCTATCTGGTGTTCCGCCATATTCAGGCCGAGCAGAAGACAGAGGCGTTCAAATGCTCCGCACAATCATGACGAGTGATGCCGATTTTGAGGTTTTGCGTCAGGCCGGTATCTCCGAAGATGGCATTGAATTTGTCGCTCAACTTCTCAACAGGGATCCACTTGGTCGTCCAACTGAAAAAGAATGCTTCCAGCATCCTTGGATTGCGACCGTCCCTGATGTGGATGACTATGAGGATGATGACGATCTACTCTCTGACCGTAACGATGGGCTTTCGATCATTGGTGAAGATGCTGAGGACGAACTAGACGCTTCGCAGTTGTCTATCGCCGATGGTCCAGATTACGCCCATGAAGCCGCCGACGAAGAGCACAACAGCAGTGAAGCTCTTGCCAAAAAGCCTCGCATTGAATACATCCCGACGGATGTGCACTATCCAAGTCTCCCAAATATTGAGAGTTTCCAGGATGGGCAGGCCATTGTGGACAAACAAGCCAAACGCCTGTTTGGCGAAGTCTCCTCTTCAGCGCTGCAAAGCTCTCACGCATTGGGAAATTTTGGCGCATACGATTTCGACCACATCCAAATCGAAGAATATGTCTCTTCTGGTGAGTCGATGACGAGTGAAACCCCCAGCGACTCGATCATCTCCCTCCCGGAAAACCCCTTCGGCGGCACCGCCCCCAGCCTGATGGGCGCGGAGAAGCTCGTTGGACAGCTGAACATGAATTCCTTGCATTCCATCGTGCATTTCAAGACCGGCGCCGTTAACGAGTCATCAACGCGGCAGACCACTCCTGGGCACGCCAGGGAGCCCACGAGCTCTCCTAGTCCCAGTACCCGAAACCAGGATTCAGTTCCCCCGACTTCTAGCCCCCAGGAAACACCGAAAGCCAAATTCACTCGTCGAATTGATCTTGCGGTTCCCGACACAGCCAGCGAGGCTTCCAGCGATAGTAGTCCGCGGAACAGCCAGGATGATGCCGCCCCTGAGACTTCAGTCAAGCTTCGCGAATCAGTATATGATCCTGAGCTCGCCACAACTCTTGATGCGCAGACCGGCGAGGCCATCTTGGAACAGTTCCGTGAAGAATCAGACCCATCTGAGCCAATTGTTCATCAGCCCTCGATAAATCCAGACTCCTTCACCAAACCGCCAAAGCGATTCGGCAAATTGAGAAGCCTTCCTGGTTCGATATTCGATCTGACAGTATACCTGGAGAACCGACTCACTTCATGGGGTCGTGGCCCATTGGCGAGCGTCCAGCATACAGACATCACGGACACAAGGATCCCTGCCTACGCCTTGGAGCTTACATTCTGGGCACCGGGCATCGAGCCGAAGATTGCAACTGGTGAAAACTGGGAAAATATCCCTGGGGTCATGGCCATAATCTCCACGAAAGCCCGCATGGGCATATATGTCAACGACACTCTACTTCATCGGGGCCCACCAGGCGAAGGCGGACCGAACCAGTATCCATTTGGGAAACTCTACAATGGTGACATAATCACCGTGTACCAACACAAAAGGAAATTCCTCAAGCTTCAATGCGAATTCTCCTTCGGCGATAGTGCCCGACCCCGGCCCGCACACGAACCCTTTACGGTGCGGCAGGTCTTGATGACCAAGGCCGGAGCCACGAACCGGATGCCGACTCGGACGGCGCGGAAAGATCTGGATCGGAATTGATTGCGAGAATTGGGAGGATAACATCTTCGGCGTTATTTGTCTCTCTGCTTCGGACATAGATTGATAGCAATTGCATCGTTGCGTGGTAGTGTTCCTCTTCTCTATGGTTATTGTTCCGCATGCGGCTCTGTAGGGTCGATCTCCCGATATCTTGCATAAATTCCTCGATTTATGTTCATGATGCCTGTCATTATGACAGAAGTACTAATCCATGGATGAGAACAGAGCCTCGATACAAGGTTTCGGGCTATTCTATGCGATATATCCCAGCCAATCGAACTATCAGTGTGCTTTGCAATTGATCAAGTACCTGAAGTATTATACAGTTATAGGAACATATGACGATGGTAGTATTACATCCTGGCCGCATCCGTCAAGCTCGACCAGATCTACTTGCCAGGCAGATAACCAACTATCGACTAGCAGTGTAAAACTCGAGTAAATCCAACCCATCCTAATTGTTCATTGCACCTTCCTCCCTTCCTCTCTACCTCCTTGCATACGTCTGTGGTCACTCTGACCTCACCACGAGCCCCCATTCCAACCCCTTCCTTCCAAGCCTCCCTCCACTAAGCATCACGAAAAGCTCACACTCTCCCACAATTCTTGCCGTCACGCGCATATCATCTCCATGTCCCTGTCGCGATCACCCTCTCCCCACGCGGGCGGAGGGTGGTCCAGCCCGGGCCTCATTCCGGGTAGCGGCACTTCTTCGCCTCGACCAGGCACATTGTCACCCGGCAGTAGCATCTCATGGGCAGCGGCCAGGGCCAAGAGTGACGAGGTGCGCCGGTACCCTTCTTTCTCGACGCGGAATAGCGGCTTCTTCTCTCGTCAGAAGCATAAGCTCACTACTCGCTTGCCCATTCTCAGGCGACTTTCTTCCCACGAATATGTCGATAAGGATTCATATGGGAAAGATTGGAGGCCTAGAAATGGAGTTGAGCGATCATTCGGGATATCAATGAGAAGAGGTCGGTTCAGGGTGCTGCTTGCCTTGCTGTTGGTTTGGATCGGATATCTACTTTGCTGGCCAAGTAAGTGCTCAAATTTCTGTTCCGGTTCTTTTTACTAGTTGCTGACACATACCCAAGCAATCGTCCAAACATATCGTCGATCGCCGATGGGCGGCGGCAAGAAGTTCGTCTTGATCCTAGGATCCAACGTCGAAGGAGGCGTTATGGAGCTGAAGGGCGCACGCGAATGGGCAATCGAGCGCAACAGCATATGGAACAAGCAGAAGTACGCAAAGAAATGGGGCTACGAACTAGAGCTAGCCAACCTACTAGCCAAGAAACGTTATTCGCATGAATGGCGCGAAAGCTGGGAGAAAGGCGATGTGATCCGCGAAGCGATGCGCAAGTATCCCGACGCAGAATGGTTCTGGTGGCTTGATCTGAACACCTGGATCATGGAATATGAAACATCACTACAGAGTCATATCTTCAATCACCTTGAAGCCAGTGTATACCGCGACATCGGCGCTTACAATCCTCTCAACATCACACACCCACTCCCGGAGTTCTGGCTCGACGAGCTCAGCCGATCCCCCGAAGGCGACGAGAATCCCAATTCACTGCAAATGCTCCTCTCGCAAGATTGCGCTGGTTTCAATCTGGGATCTTTCTTTGTGCGCCGTTCTGTCTGGACCGATCGCCTTCTCGATGCCTGGTGGGATCCAGTCATGTATGAGCAGATGCATATGGACTGGGAACACAAGGAACAGGATGCCCTTGAATACATCTACCAGAGCCAACCATGGGTCCGCAGTAGCGTGGGCTTCTTACCCCAACGCAGTATCAACGCCTTCCCTCCTGGTGCTTGCGGCAATACAGAGAATCCAGCCGTGCATTATCAGCAGAATGCTCGTGATTTCATTGTTAACATGGCCGGCTGTATGTTCGGTCGTGACTGCTGGGGTGAAGTTTACTATTACCGTGAGCTCAGCAAATGGCTGAACCGAACATCTTGGATGCGTTTCAAGGATAGCCTCGGTGATGCGTATGCTAGATTATGGGGAAAGAAAAAGAAATATTGAAGGCGGCAGAGATCTTAATCTTCTTTTATGATTTCCTTCCTTTTCTCCTTCTTTTTCTCCCTCTTTTTCTTCCTCTTTTTTCTCCCGTCTGTCTTTCCTGTTCACATTAGTCATTTCTATGACAATGACTTGAAGTAGCGGATCTGAGAAATTGTGTAACGTTATTTGATATTGTACATTTCTTCAGCGGTTCGTGATTTGTATAATCCGGATCAGGCGTCATGTGGATGGCAGAGTTGAACACGGTACCTAAAAATATCATTTTCTGGCCAGTAAAGACTGGAACACTTCAGTCATGCCCTTATCTCTATAGAACAAATATAATATTCAACTCAACCAGGGAGCCCGTTTTCGGAATCTATAGATCTCACGTGAGCTCACGTGATTTAACCATCCTCTCTGATCACGTAACCAGACGTATTCTCCTCGACCAATGGCCCTCGTCGCTCAGGTGTAACTGTCTGATCATTTTCTATCTTCCAAGCACACGCAAAATACCGTGTGCTGACTAACATACAGGATGACTAAGTCATGTTATCTAATTACATAGATCCACAACTCCGACACACCCCCTCAGCGCTGGCACTCTCTGGCAACGCTGGACCAATTCCCTCAATTCCTCCAATTCCTCAATTTCCATCCTCCAATTCAATCAAATGCCTCACGTCCCTCAATCCTAGCATCTTAACGAAGGCTGTATGCTTTTGTCTCGGTAGCACCTTGGTGAGTCCATCCGCTATCATTTGTGCGGTGGGAACCCATTTGATGCGAATCCGCCCATCCTTGACCTCCTGTCGTAGCCAATGACCGTGGATGTCGACATGTCGAAGCTTCGTATCAAATGGTGTATCCTCGGCATTGATCAAAGCAATTGTTCGACTGTTGTCGCACTCGATTGTCAATGGTTGTGGGTATTGGAACCCAATCCTTGTGAACAGTCGATCCCACCACTGAAGAGCCTTTCCGGCGTCAGATAGGCCTAGTAATTCAGCCTCTGTCGTCGACGTTGTTACTGTACGCTGCTTGGTGGCCTTCCAATCGACTGGACCTCCGAATATCTGGCAGATGTAGCCGGCGGAGCTCTTCCTATCGCTGTGGTCTGCATATGATGCGTCACTCGATATCTTCACCACCTCGCTGTCTTCCGCAACTGGACCGAACTCGATTGCCATAAACCGTGTGGTATATAGGTAGACAATCAAGCGATCAACTGCAGCTTGGTGCTTAGGTCCCGGGTTCGTCATGAACTGGGAAAGCACTGAAGCCACCTTTGCGGCGTCTGCTCGCGTGATTGTGGTGCTATACTGTACCGATCCCACCTTCTGTTGGTAGGCATGAATCTCTTGGGGGGTGGCTTGTCCCTCGTATGCCTGCAGTGGTTCAACACCTGCTGGTGTATATACTGGCGCTCTCCCAGTGAGCTTATAGCGCTCAGCAACCCCTGCAAGGTAGCTGTCCTGCACAAGCCACAGCTTCCTCTCTATACGATTCCGTAGGATTCGAATACCGAGGAACCATTCAGCATCCCCTTGGTCAGTCAAATGCCAGTGCTTCTCGAGTTCTCGCTCTAGCTGACGTGCTCTCTCCTTTGCCATTCGGTGACTAGCAATTAGGATATCATCGACATAGAAGAACACGATGATCCCTTCTCCGACGAACACACATGGGTCCTCAGCAACCTGCTCGAGTCCCAATTTCCTTAGCACTGCTGCTGCGTCCTGCTGCCATAGACGCGGTGCGATACGCAGTCCATAGAGCGCTCGATGTAGCAGCCAGCATCGTCCGTTTGTCTTATAACCCTCTGGCATCAGCGTGTAGACCCGAGAGCGCAGTTTGCTGTTCAAAAAGGCATTTACTGCGTCCCGCTGACGTAGATCTAGGTCATATGCAGCAACCAACGCAAATAGCGTTCTTGCTGTGCGAGCTGCGAGCGTTGCAGCCCTTTTTTCTTCTGATGATATGGTCTGCAGATCTCCGCGTACACAGATGCGTGCCTTGCACTTGAGAAGAAACCCGTCTTGATCAAACTTATAGGCATATACCCACATGAGAGGCAACACCTGGATCCCACGATCCTTCGGCGTTTCCACTTCCTGGTACGTACTCTTTGCTTGTAGACCATCTAATTCCACCCTCATTGCCTTGCTGAACCCATCACTTAGCGGGTGCTTCCACACGTCTTTAAACCTCTCTGGCGGCGGTGGTAGGTCATCCCTATGCTGGCGACACGTGGGTTTCGGGGCAAATAGACCTGTTGCAAAAGCTTGGAGGGACACCGGCGTAGTATCGTCATCTGCTAACGCGGTTTTATAGGCAAACTCCTCGTCTCTCCGTTGCTTGCGTATCCTCGGTCCAATCACGATGTTTTCGACGTCTAGTCCATCGATATGACCCGATATCACCTCTTCATTCACAACCGGCGACTCCGTAGTATCATCATCTGCTTCCGACGTCGTCGATTGTATTGATATAGGCGATTCTGGTATCAGATCACCCTCAATCTCATGATTTTGGTTACCATACCCCACCCCCTGATCTGTGGCAGAATCCAAACCATTCGGCGATCGTGGTGGTGTGTGGGCATATGACTCCTGTCCCTTTGAGTCTGTTTTCTCTGTATCCCCCTGGTCTCCCTCCTCTGCAGCAGTTGGTGTGGTTGGCTCATCCGTGGCAAGATATTCACCCGCACCCCCTGCTGCTAGAGAGAGTTCTAGAGCATCATTTGTCCCTGTGACTTCTAGTTGTTCTGATAGACCCTGAAGAATTGATTCTATCTCCATGTCCTGTTCAATCACTTTTGGTGGTGTGGCCTGCGGAACTGGCATTTGGATCACCTCATCAATGACTATTTCGGCCGAAAAGCGCCTCGATTCGTCAAAGACAGCATCCCTTACCATCCGAACCTGACCACGATGTGGCATCCAAATCTTCCAGATATTTGACGCCACAAACCCGACTAGATATCCAACCTCTGCCCTTGATTGCATCTTGTTAAGGCGTGGAATCGTCGGAATTCGACAATAAGCTAGCGAGCCGTATAGCCGCACGTTGGATAACGACGTCTTTGGCTTCTCGCTATTGTCGATGAACTTGCGTGCTTCCTCCCATGGAATGATCCACTTCCCATCCACCCTTGTCGGCGTACGATTCAGTAGATATACGGCAGCATTAATGGCCTCGGGCCACAACTTCTCAGGCAATTTCCCTTCCTTAAGAAGTGCCCGAGCACGCTTAATGAGCACACCCCCTGATCGTTCGCCGGGTCCATTCATCTCTGGCGAGTATGGGACTGTGAACGTGTGAATACACCCCATTGAGTCAATCATCTTGTGGATTCGCATGTCAACCGACTTCTCGTTGTCGGAGTGCCATACTTTGATAGGCAGTTGTAGCCACTTGATAGCAAACGCCACAAAGCTCTGGATCGCTTCCTGACAGCCGTTCTTGTTAACGTGTGTCATAGTCCAATGGAAGTGAATCCCTTCCACATAGAAATGGGTAATCCAGCAGTGCTGGTTATAACCCATCGTCATCGGAATTAGATCAAAGTAGACCCGTCCATATCGTCCATAGTGCTTGCCAATTGGACGTCGAGATATCTGGCGAGGGGCATTGACAAGATTACAAACCTCGCATAACTCTGTCTCCCCTTCCGATCCATTCTTGATCTCGACTCCATTCACTAGATACGGCAACTGACCAATCGCGCCCTGATAGACATGCCCTAGTCGTCGATGCCACGTACTCGCTGTTGCCGACGATATCAGCGGCTTCTCAGACTGTCGTCGGGTAGCCAGCGCTACACCATCGTTTGACTTCTCATTCCTTGGCTGTAAGCAAAGATAGATATCCTGATCCGGATCCCGATATACCACCATCACCGGAACTCCTTTGTTATCGATAACCCAGCCTTTCTTCGTGTTCCACCATCCCCCCTTCTCCTCAACTCTAGCTAGCGATACTAGGTTGCAGTGGAAGGATGGCGAGTATAGGCAGTTCGAGAGGGATATGTTACGCGCCACTCCGGTAACTGGATCTATCCCTGTCATGATTGCAGTGCCAACACCTAAGGCGGGTGTTTGACCATTTCCTGTACGGAGATAGGTCTTGTTTTCCTTGTAATCAATGAACTTTGTACGGTCATTGCACACATGAACGCTCGCACCCGAGTCCATTACCCATTGATCCCGATACTGATCATCTAGCATCATAGTGGAGAACCCTGTGTAGGTTGTAATGTTGTCTGAGGCCTCGGTGGTAGCCAGATTTGCCGATCTCTGGTCTCCAAATCCACCCTTATTCTTGATCTCGTTCTCAACCCATATCTTCCATTCGGGCTCTCTCCCGAAAGCTTTGTTGATCTTCGCTTGTCGGTGATCCGCAACTTTCCACCCTTCTGGTCGGATAGTTGGATTCATCGACCAACAGTCGGCAACAGCATGGAACCCTCCACACGGGCACACACGCCGATCCTTGAATTCGATAAACGTCTCTGCTTGATTCCCTGGCTTAGCCTCCTTGTGGCCTTGCCATGTTGACGTTGCGAACGCTGGCTTAGAATTCGGCACAGCGGGCGCTGTCTTTCGAGTTTCCGTATAGGACGCACGAAAGGAATCGAGTAAGGCGACCATGTTTGTAGGTTGGCTTTCAATCACAATCTGTTGATATCGAGCCTCCCACCATACTGGTAGAACCTCCTTCACGGCCTTCAAGAAAAGAACTGAGTGAAAGGTGTCACTCTCAAGCTGCAGTTTGATAACCTCTTCACGTAGAAGCTCCCAATCTTCTAGCCATTGCAACACATTCGCACCCTTCTTCGGGCCTTTGATGTCCTCCTCTCTCCATCGGAGGAGCACATCCACATTGTACGAGTTTGATCTCGCAAACCGCTTGTATAGGAACCTCAGTCTCTCGTATGGTGTTTCCAGGCGGTCCATGATGCGCTGGAGCTTCACCTCAATTGAGTTGGTGATAGCTTGATCCACCAGACGGAGTCCCTTCTGTTGCTCCTTATACTCGGCTAAACTGAGCTTGTAGAGATCCATATCATCTCTCCAGCTTGCCTTTTCCTCCTTATATTCCTCTTTTAGGAGTCTCAACTGCGCCGTAGACAGGTCCTCGGCCAGTTGAAGTGTCGGTATTTCGGGCCGAACAGGCATCTCCATAGGTTGCCGAAGGGTGCTTCTAGATAGCTCCGGGTTACAATAAACCCATACATCTAGATTCTGGGCATACCGCTTCATTGCGGCATACCAAGAATGCCATTGCGCAGCACTCTTTAGCTTCTCTCCTCTCCATTGTGAGACAGTACTCGTCGAGTCCATGGTTTATCGGACACGTGTGGTCGTATATTGTGATCTCGGAGGTGGTTTCGACGTAGCGTATGCGTGCCTTGTCGATGCTCAGAGGAACTACTCAAACGATCCAAACACGTCTGAATAGCTTCAAATCCTTTCAACAGTCGATATCAGAGATAAGCCGGGCTCATAACTCTCTGATCACGTAACCAGACGTATTCTCCTCGACCAATGGCCCTCGTCGCTCAGGTGTAACTGTCTGATCATTTTCTATCTTCCAAGCACACGCAAAATACCGTGTGCTGACTAACATACAGGATGACTAAGTCATGTTATCTAATTACATAGATCCACAACTCCGACACATCCGCGCACATGATTTACTCCCAAGCCCACTGACCGCCCTCCCTTCACCCAATTACAACACAGGTAATCCAACCTTCAAGATCAACGGCAGACACCGCAAGCACAGATCTCAAGCCTCCATCTACCCTTGCTGCCATTGCCAACCGCGCCAGCAAGTAAGCGACACGTCTCCATCACACCCAACCACGAGACCACCTCTCGAACCATCCACAATGCCCACCGCCGAGTCCGCCGCCTTCCTCGCCAAGAAGCCCACCGTCCCCCCAACCTACGAGGGCGTCGACTTCGAGGACAACGTCGCCGTCCACAACGCCCGTGATGCTATCATCCGCGAGCAATGGGTACGCAGCATGATGGCCCGTCTTGTCGGCGAGGAATTGGGCAAGTGCTATGCGCGCGAGGGCGTGAACCACCTCGAGAAGTGTGGTGTATTCAGAGGTTGGTTTCGTTCGCTCCTTTTTTGCTGAGAGTTTCTCTCTCAGAACATATAGATAAATTGAGACTTCTGGCTCGTTTGAATTGAATTCGGCTGCATTTCAGACTTATTTGGAATTCGCATACTAATCTTCTTTCCTCCGCAGAGAAGTACTTCGAGCTCCTCAAGGAGCGCAAGGTTAAGGGTTACCTCGGCCAGGAGAAGAACCGATTTGGTGGGGAGTCGGCATAAGCGTTTCTTCTTTTCTTGCATGTTACGCTGCGCGATTATGGTTCGGGATCCGCGGGTTGATTGTCGATATCGACATATTCGGGCCTGCAAAATGGACTAGGTGGAATGAGGATAACACTACGGTGATTATCCGTGGACTTGACTCATTGCCTGGTTTCAGTTATGCCCACATTGGGTCCCGGATTGTGGAGGGATACGAAGAAATGGAGGGAGAGAGTTTGGAGACGGCTCTCTTTGTTCTCTTGCCTGTTTGTACTGTACATATAGATATCAGTTTGTTTGATCAATCTTCCTTTGTCTCCATAATTTGAGCTTTTGAGGGTTTCGTAATTATAATCTACGTACGAGGTGTCTAGACTCGATCTGCTACCTCATACTACGAGTGTATCATTATGCACCAATGGTTCTCCAAAAGTATAATTCAGTTACATAACTACAACATATCATCTACAGCTATATTTGGTATCAATCAATAGTAAACGCTAGAGGCCGTGGCACTGCGGTCTGGGAATCCCCCTGGAGGACCTCGGCCATCAGACGGCTGGGCTGCATCTTCGTCACTGTCATCATCGCTTCCAAATCGCAGGTCGTCTCTCTCCTCTGGCGGAGCACGCATACGAATCAACTGGTCCTGCTCTAAGGAAGAAGGTTGGTATGGTGCCGGCGGAGAGTGAATGTCTCGACCTGAAGGCAGGTTAGAGAGCAATGGAGTAGATGACGGAACAATTTGTGTGTTCATCTAATACTTGTTAGCATGGCAGCAATTATTGGACAATATCCCACTCACTGTGTCGTTCATTTTCACCCATTTTGTTTCTAGCATCGCAATCACTCGTCCCTCCTCGTCCCGACCAGCATCATCACCCGACTCCAAAGCGCCCTTCTCGTTCCGACTACCACCGGCATCTTTGGCTACTCGGCGCTCTTCACGCCTCTCCGTCCATTCGCGTTTTAATCGGGATAGCCCACCCTTCGAGGCCCCAGAGGCAGAGGCTTCCTCTTGAGAAGACGCAGCACCTCGAATTCCAAGCGACGTCCGCGCAGCTCTCAGCCAGGCAATACCCTCGCCAACCTTGCCTGTCAGTTCAGCTTCTACTCCAAAGAACCGACAGGCACGAGCACGAGCAACACGACCTAAGACTGAAGTGTAGCGAACGACATCCTCATCAACACGCCCTGTGCGCCCTGATGCAGTCCCAACAGCCCCAAGTCCAGCAGCAGCCTGGTCAGAATACTCGGCAGCACGAACGCAAAGCCGAGCAAAAAGCAAAGCGCGCACCTTTGGAATCTCAGGCGCGTGAACCATCCACTCTTTATCATTCGGATTGCGCGACTGGATACACGCAGCGATATAAGCATCATCCTTAAGAACCGCTAGCAGAGTAGCCTCAGCGAGCGCAAGCGACGAGAGCGCCGCCTGTGTCCCGGCATCCACATCGGGCACTGCCGTAGCGGAGGCCGGGGATGACGCGAGGAAGTTATGTACTGCGCTAGCCTGCAGTAGATAACGCGTCGCTGTCTGTACGGCAGCAGTGCGATCTTCCGCCGTCGGAGTTGAAGACGCATATAATGCGGCCACAACTCCTGCCCGCGCCATCCTGCTCAACACGTATCCCAGTGTTGTGAGCGTAAATGCTATTTCGAACTGGATGCCTCGCCCAGCGACCCTGCCATTACGTATGCGCAGTCCTTTCCCATTTGTATTATTGCTACCTGCTCCGATATTCAGTGCACTCGAAGATGATAATGTAGGTCTCCATGCGGACTCGATCTCGGCGTGGGGTGTAATGTCGATCTCTTCCCCGGCGCCAGGCGCGTAGGTCCTATCTTGGGCAATAAATGATTGTGTATCTGGGTGAACTATTCTCCCGTTTAATCCGTGGGAAATGGCAAATAGGTATGGAAGGTAATCGTTCAATGCGGATAGGACTGTTGGGAGATGGGCATCCTGACGCGGGCCGCGGGGTAGGCGCTTATGGGCTTTCAGCGCAAGGCGAAGGGCATGGCGGGATGTTGACGCCGACTGGGGGAGAGATGGGTGAGTTAAGGAAGAGATGAAAGATTGAAATGAGAGAGGTGAGGTTGTTGGGAGGGTGAATGCAAAGACCATTGTGGGAGTTGGGGAAGTGAGACTCGGAAGGGCTGATGTCAGATCACTGGGCACTACATAGGGCTTCGACTTACTCAACTTTATATCTCTTTGGAATCCCCTTTGATCGGAAACTGCATAGCGCTCGAGAACTTGAAAATGTATCTATTTTAGACGAATATATAAAAGACTAAGAACAAATTCCCCTAAGGTGCTGGACTTGCTGGCGGCGGTGGCGGGATACCATCTGGGTAAATGTCATTCAGATGAGGATGGTCAGCCAGAGGTGCGTAACTTGCTGGATTGAAAGGCATAGGGATCGTTCTCTGGGCCACCGTTGCCCTAGGCATATCACGAACCAAGGGGCGACCTTGGTGTATCCATAGACGGTGAGAATTATCAGGGGCCGTGTATGTATACAACCTCCGTCGCATCCACGGGCCACTCAGTCTCGCAGAGTAGCGTCCCAATTCGCCGCGTACTATGCACGGCACAGCCGTCCATTGGTCCACTAACATGTTATTCGTATTTGGATCCCGTATATTGACCTCGAGCATCCTTGAGAGGCCGAAGGACTGAGTGGCGTCCGCCATAACGCTGACAACCACTCCAAGGACCGGTGGCAATGAGACGGGTATGATGCTATTAGCATGCATGTCTTGGAGAAGTCTCACATCTGCACCGTATATTGTCATTGTGCCGGCTCCGGTATCATCTACAAAGTCCAGCTCGAGCTCCTGTTGGTTCATCCAGGCACCTTCCGAAGGAAATCGAACGGTAAAATCAATCTGCACAAAACATGTTAGCTTCCTATCACCTCAAGAGAGGAGTTTGATCACACATCAACCAGCTTGCCGAGCCTACCAGGCGTGGCGGACACATGGAGCATCTCAGGTTCCGGAACATGATTAAACTGTAAATTATTCCTTGTTAGCATGTTCCGTTCCTGGTAAGCGGAACAAGAGTATACATACTCCTTCCACCCAAAATCCAGTATGACCCTTGTGTTTGACGTTGATGTGCATGAATTCATCCATTTTGAACGGCCTCGGTTGGCAAAGCTGTGCGCCCTTGGACCAGTATGTAACAAGGTCTGGATTCCAATCAAGGGTTTTGTCTTTGTATGCCCTTATAATGGCTTTCACATTGTCCACCTGCTGATATTCATCCGTCTCATCTTCTTTGCCAAGCCATTCTAGGATTTTAGCTAGGACTTCCAAGCGCTGTACGACGGGCCAGCTAAGCTTTGGGTACACGTCCATTCTTGCACTTGAGGTTACTGAATCAGTGACTGCCAGGCCAAAGACCAAAGATATAACCTGGAAGAGGATGCCTTACTCGCGATCTTTCCACTTCTCTTCGAGCTCCTTCAGCCTGGTTTCAAAATAGATCGGCATGATGTTTTCTTCCAGTCGCTCCAGGCACCGTTCAACTTGGGCTTCATAATCACTATGTAGTTCATGTTAGTATATGTACGATATAGCAGGCACTGCTCAACAGCCAAAACTTACTCAGGATGAAGGTCATGCTCATGACGAGTCCAGCCCGCGGGTACCTTGCTCAACTCCGTAATGGCAGGATCTTGGTGCATATATTGTGTCCGTTGTAAAGTTGGCTCTGTCTTTGCAGGATCTGAAACTCGACCAGCGTAAGAGTTTTTCAGATCCGATTCAAGCCAGTCGGTATCCAAAGACTTCGATTCCTCCTTGCTTGTCTTGGTGCTCTTGGGGGCCACCCCACCCTGGGCTTGCTTCCGTTTTCGACTACTAGGCTCATCGACAGGGTCTGCGTAAAATGACTCCTGTCTTCGCGCGCTTTCACGAAGACCAGCGGCCCTGCTAGATTCCGGACGAGATGCCATTGTGCACGATAGAAATTATCGGAGCCGGGAAAAGTGATAGGGAAGATAAATTGCAACCAGTTTGAATGTCGATGTGCATGCACAGAGAGATTCAAGGTCGAGTAAATAAATATATCATAATGCAACTCTCTCAACTAGTCTATTTTTATCTTACAGCTCGTGTCAAAGAATATACCAAGACAAAGAAACATCTTCGAGATTTGGGACGCAAAGCTTTAGCTGATTTTGAAAGAACGATGATCTGGAAACCACAGGCAAACAAAGGGTAGAACCAGAGATTGAAAAGGTGGAAGAAAAGCAGGACTTCAGTGAGGGGCAATACAGATTTTGTCGATTTCTCTTTCAAGTTACATGAAGTACTTGCTTTCATTTTCGGTAAACCAACGTTTCATTTCCAATTCTATGTTGCAAGATGAAGATCTAGCCCGGTACTAACTCTATAGCTCCAATATCTCTCACGTTTTCTTCAAACTACTTGAGACCGTGGCGCGTTTTCAGCCTTCAAGACGTGTTTATTTTTCAAGAGCTTTCATGGCAATGGTGTTCTTTGTTTTCTTCTGTTTCCTTGCTTGTTCCCCAGTAATTTGCTTTTTTGCTGATTTTGCTAACAAGTATTCAAAGGCAGACTTGGGTGGACTTTGGGATATTAGGAAAATGACCGAATCTCACTTCCCATAGATCAATGGAAAAGAGAGTAACATACCTGACCAAAGGGACTCGTCGAATGGAGATGGGAAGTTATCCCGAAAGAACGGAACTCGGCAATGTACTCAGAAAGACAAAGGTTGATTATGACATCGCGTGTATCACGCTCATAGTGTGTTTGGAGTTTCATTATTTGGCACCAATCCATTTGCCCAATCCCACATTTGAGACGCCCTAGGAATCGACTCTTGCTATTGACGTGACTTGTCGTTATATACCTCTAATGAGAGAATGAGGCAGGATCAAAGAAACAAAAGCTAATTGATAAACGACGAGCTACTAGACTAATGTATGGATCCAATCACGGAACGCGATACAAGAAACCCGTCCTCCAGACCCTCTCAATTTCTTTTTCCATTTTATCGTTTTCCATTCCGCCTACCTTCTTTCTCTCCGGGTGGCTACTTGTAGGGTGGCGGTGGAATAAAAGGATCAGGTACCTGGTCCAAATTCACTATGAGACCCTGTTGAATGGCGAGTGAAGTGTCGACATTTGGAACATGGTTGCCAAACCCAGAATAGTTATCCATAATATGCATACGGTTTTGGCCATCCGGTGCCGTAGCGGTGTATAGCTTGTATCTCAACCAGGGTCCTAACAGCCTGGGAACGTCATCCACACCCCCAGCACCGGGTCTCACGGAACATTGAATAGTGTCCCAGCTGGTCATTCGTTCCGTTACGTATCGGTAACCCCCATTCGGGTCACGGATTAGGTGACCTTGATTATTCCTGGCCGGGCTTTTACAGTAGATGGTAACCTCGACTGAGACCACCAGAAAATCAGCCCAATGACCATCAGCCTGTGCAGCTTGTGCCATTCCCAGGCATAGTAATCGCCTCCCTCCTAAACGTTCAAGTAAACGCTTGTCTGCGTCGTACATGACCATCATGTCCGATCCAGTATCATCAATGAACGTGATGGGATGACCAGCAATTTGTGCATTCGGCACTCGAAGATGAAGGTCCATCTAAGAAGTAAAAGAGTGAGTCAAGAATGCTACTGGGATATTTCGAGAACTTACATAGTGGACGAATATATTGCGATTGGAACTCGGCTGCGTCTCGAAATGCTTGCAAAATTGAGTATTTGTAGGCCCAGGGCCGAACACCTAGAGTACACATGTTAGATTTGCCGGTACGCAACTAGACATTTGACCAAACTGACCCCCTCTACCCAGAACCCCTCATATCCGTTATAATGATTACCAATCTCTTGATGTTCTTCGGCAATGAAGGTCCGCGGTTGTGAAAGCTGGGTTCCATGAGACCAGTAAGTCACAAGACCATCATACCAGTCCAATGTTTTGTTCTCGTAGGCGGTTATAATAGCCTTCACTGTGCTAATGAGCTTATACTCGTCTTTGCCGCCTTGCAGGTTTTTCAGAGTTCTTTTAAGGGTACACAGGCGTTTCAAAACGTTGATGTCAGTAATTCCTTGGGCGCCGGCTTCTTTTACCATCTCACTAGATTCTCATTAGAAAGTAGCCTAGAGTTTCCTCTGGGGCTCTTACTTTCTCGACTCTTGACTCCGAGTGAGTTCTTCCAGCTTCCACCGGAATATATCAGGCATGATAGCCTCAACAATTCGCTCGTTGCATCTTGTAATTTGAGCAGCCCAATCTCTGCGACATGTGGTTCAGCATTAATCCAGCGACAGATATGGAAAGTAGAAGTATTTTGTTTAACCGGTAGCTCATAGAGAAAAGACTCACTCGGGGTCCAGATCAGGTTCGTCGTAGTTCCAACCAGGAGGTACTTTGGCGATATCTGTTATAGGTCTTGTGCCCGCAGGCCACGCTTGCTTTGCAGGCCGGGCTGGTGGATTAGGGGCCGTGGTGGCCGTGGTAGCCGGAACATAACTGGTGTTCAAATCAGCAAATAGTTGGGGTCCTGAAAACGGCGCCCGTTTTTGGATTCGAGACTTCGGGACCTCGCGCCCTTTGTCTTTGTACTGCGTGTGCGTCTCTCCGTCCTTTAGCTTGGGGTTTTCCTCCTTAACGTCAGCTCCGTTCCATTCATAAAGCCGGGGCTGGGGGCCTGAGTATGTTGGTTTTCCTTTTGGCTTCGGGGCAAGCTTTATTTTCTTTCGTGGTGGCATAGTTCCAACTATGTTTCTTTCACCATAGGGGCGGTAGGACTTAATATTTAAGCTTGATCATGAGAGGGTACGATCTATCAGTATAAATATATATGCCTCATCGTGTCTATGCCCTCAATCGCATCTCAAAGGAACAATATCTAAATAAAGAGACTGGGGCCATCCCGCTAAGCTAGCCCTCAGCCCGAGGAAACTAGTATGCGAGGACAAAGAAGCCTACCATATTGATGGAGCAGCCGTATTCCACCTTTTAGACTTGCTTTCAGATGCAGAGTCAAAGAAAATCATTAGTGCGAAGGATTCAGTTCATTCAGTACGTACCTTGGTAGTACCCCGGGGACCTAAATAACTATTTGTAACGATTTGTGATTGAAAATTGAATTTAGCATAATCTACTAATAATACTCATAATAATCATCCTCTCTCCGCACTCGCTTCCATCCTGAGACCCGCACCTGAGTAGAGCTCTCCGGTAGCTGTGGCTCAGTCTCCCTAGTGTCTATGTATCTGCCATGCTATCAATATAGTATCTTAGACATCTACTGTTTTTCTATCTTGTAGAGCCTACTGTTCGCTTGGATAACTCGCCCGTGCGGTACCTACTAGATGTATCGAGCGTTGCGAGTGTATCGACCGTTCATCTTTCCATTGCCATGTTCTATATACAGTCGCCTCGCCCTATCACCAGTAAAACGTCTCGTCGTCTCTTGATTTGAGATCTCCTTTCTCCAGTATAGTTCCCAATATATGTTTCATTCGAGATGCCGCCGCCCTGCAGTATTTCTCTGACCCCGGGGTAGGACCTACCTTCGTCTTCTCCGGGATCCGCTTTCAACCAAGGTATCTTGATTGTTCCTGGGGAGCTGGTAACAGCCTCGCGAAGTTGAGTGATAGCTTCATCATCATATCCGCCTCCTAGAATGACAGCCTTAGGAAGAGCCGAGTAGTTTTTCGAGCCCAGACTGCTTTTGTCGTTGACCGGGGTGGAACCAGACAGGATAAGGGGGAGGTTGCGTATACCATCTTCGACGCTCATGACGAAATACGTGACTGATTACCCTGTGAGATGCAAAAAAAAAGACCATGCTGGGTTTCAAGCTTTACTTACCTTCATAGTCCGGTTCCAGCTCTGAGATCACAATGGAACCCACTTTCTCCAGCCGGCCACAAAGAACAATTGGGATGGGCATATTGAATATTTCAAACGGGTGAAAATTCACTCTGTGTTAAGGACGACGAGAAACACTGCTGAATCAGGTTGACTTCATAAATTATATAGAAGCAAAGCGCAAAGCGTGCCAAGTCCCGGGGTGTTGCGGAGAAGCTTTGTCAGCGCTCGGGATTTCGCGTTGAATCTCCCCGACTGTCTGTCTCAATTTCTAATCAAACCCTGAAGCCTCGTGCTGGAAATTCTCTCAGATCTCCACCGTGAAAGTCTGTGAAATAATGGGTTATCTTCGCAGTAGTGAGTTAAGTATGGATACTAAATTACTCAGCAGATAGTGGATATCTTCCATCCCAAGAAAACGGCCCAGTTTATTTCCGACTACCGACGTCGGCCAAGGGAACTCCGACCCGAGTGAGGATGCAGCACAAGCATTATATCGTCGACTCGAATATATATTCACGGCGATTCCGAGGGGTCCCATCGTACTCTCGTTCAGATATTCACAGCCTGACAAATATTTCGCTATGGCTTCCACCACTTCTATCATCTTTGGCCCAACCGGCCACGTCGGCTCTGCCGCAGCTCGTATTGCACAGCAATGCGGTGCAAAAGTGGTCCTTGCTCTGCGTGATACCCTGAGGCCCGTTCCAGGCCTCACCTTAGAGCAGGAAAAGGCAGGGGGCTTCGAAAGGGTGCAAGCTGATCTCACCAAACCCGAAACGGTTCACGCTGCCGTGCAAGCGACTGGAGCCAAGCGTGCCTTCATATACCTTGTGCCGGGCACAACAGACCACATGAGACGCACTATCGAAGCTCTGAAGGCCTCCAGTATTGAGCTTGTTGTCTTCCTAAGCAGTATCAGTGTACACGGTGACATCAGGAGCATAACACCAGCAGACTTCATTGCGTATACCCATGCACAGGTCGAGGTCAACCTTGACGAAGTCTTTGGTAGTGACGGCTACATAGCGATTCGACCTGCATATTTTAGCACCAATGCAGGTTGGTGGGCGGGTATGATTCGCGAAGGAGAGGTGAAAATCACGTATCCGGATGCAAAACTCGACTGGATTTCACCCGAAGACATTGGTCGTGTGGCCGGGACCCTTCTTGTCAAAGAAATGCAGGCGAGCGAAGGCGCCGAAGAACGCAACTCGATCCCTCTTTGTGGACCAAAACTGGTCTCCCAGAGAGATGCCGTGGGAATATTTGGCAAGGTGCTTGGCAAAGACATCAAGGTCACCGAATTGGATGAGAAGGAGGGAGTGGAAAACCTGTTAAATATTGGCGTACCTGACTTTGTAGCTACGAGGCTGGTTCAGTCCTTGAAACCGAAGGATAGGCGCGGTGATGACTTTGACCCGTTCGAAGGAGAGGCGTACGAACAGGCTGTCGCTAATCTTCAAAAATACGTCGGCCGGGCTTCAAGCTTGGAAGAGTGGGCCGAGGCAAACAAGGAAGTGTTCAATTTATAGTGGAGGATTACAAAACCTACTATATTGGGCTTTCGGTTGCTTTACTGGTTCTTTGCGGGTGTGTTTGTGTCTTTCTGCTTGTTCTATTCTTTGAGTCTACAGTACCTAACTCTGAGAAATGTCACTCCTTTACGCTCTTTCATCTGGCCCCAAAGGCCAAAGTTGCACGATATCGGAAAAAAAAACAAAACTTGGAAATGTCCTGTTTGTCATCCACCGTTTACATGTCGGCTGAGTCAGGAAGCCTACTCGCACTCATTTATCGAGATGCTCCCAGCGCCAGTTAGATATCAGGAAATGGTGAAAGCTCCACACTACATAACATTGAGAGACTGCTTTCTGTCCCATTGACTAGTGCAAGTCACAGAAGCTCCCTTTCTTGGGTTGACGTCCTTAAAAGTTTTGTGGATTTCATGGAATTCTTGCCACTACTCGAAGCAAGAATAAAGTTGTGGAATATGAAAAACGAGGATCCCTCTAATCTGCGCGACTGTGCCGTTGTCTCTGCTATTAACGAGTTAGCCTCTTCGCATTACCAATTATACTTCTCTGTCCTTGCCCCTTAGATTCTTTTTCACTTCCTATCGACCCCAAATTAGAGCACTAGTACACTTTTAGAAATCACATTTAGCACTGGTGTCATCATTCGGTGTATATTTTAATAGTCTTTCGAGCTATATTAGCCTTTCAAGGAAACAATCGGTCAGCCTGGCAGAAATTAGAATTTGGCGGCATTTTGCTTCATATCCGGACGAGCACTCTACTTGCCATTGTTCTTCTTTGAGGCTTGATCTTCGCTTTGGTTGGAATATCTAGTCGTCTTCACTATTGCCTATGTCTGAAGCATGTTAGCTCTTTAAATATGCGATTTAGATACAGTCTTCGCAGTAGTAGTAGATTTCATTTACCCCAACCCCTTGCAAAGTTGAAACCCTTAATTGAGGTACAAGTGTGATATTGAATAGAACTATCTGAGGGCAGATAACGTTATTTGTAGTCAAGGTTGTTGCCTGCATCCCGTAGCTGCCTAATAGGCAGCTACTTCTACCCGTGATCTGGGATCCAACTTTGCGAGGGGTCGAGGTAAATGAAATCTACTACTGTTACTGCATCAGCCAACAAGCAAGGTACAAGGATGGCTTTGTTTGGATGCCTGGGAGAAATCCGGCATAAAAGTGGCCATGCCACGAGGATTCTTCCTAAGTACATGTAGAGCAGGATGAAATAGTTCTTGCAACAGACCTGGGGGGTGCCTGGGTATTTGGAAATTCGCGTGATTTGCACGTAGTCGTGAAGTTTGCCTTAAAAGGCTTTTGCTGACAGCTCATGTGTCACACCTATCACTGATCCAACTACGAAAGTCTTTATAGTAGCGACCGCTTTCACCTTTTATCGGACGTAGGGAGCTATTTCAAACGCTACGCTACGCTGTATATAGCTGTTTCTATATTTAAGGATCCGTTACAAGGCTAAATAGGATAATACTGAACGAGGAAAAAGACTTGGTGGGTATCTATCAAGTATTGCTACGGTACCACATCCACATCCACTATCCGTCACTGCAACTTATACAGAAATATAGTCCCAACCCACCGAAAGATAGCCTAAAAGTTTGATCCCTAGAGGAATCAGGTTACATATGACATAGTAGCGGCAGTAGAGCCCAACTAGATTTATAAAAGGCGAAGTGGCGAGAAGCCTACTGTAGTGAGCGTTCTATAATGCATGTAATGGGAGAGAGTGATGAATTGGGAGGGAGTGATAAATTGGGAGAGAGTGATGAATTGAAAGAGAGTTTTAACATCAGGACTACAGACTGCGTGTTGAGATGCGTGGCAGATCGATCTACATATATTGGTTTGTGTCCAGCCCCAGGAAGTACAACGCTCGTTACCACTTCTTTGTGCAAAGCTCAACGAGAGAACCGAAAGAAATTATATCCCATCATGGCCGATAGTGCGCTCCCCAATTTCTACCGGCATTATTCTGGCAATAATGACGACGACAACACCTCGCTCCCCTCCACAGAAAAAGGCCCCGACGAACCCCCACTAGTCGTCAGTGAAATTGGCTGTGATCTAGTTACGTTGCAATGGATCTCAGGACGGTCACATGCTGCGCTCAGAAATGATTCCTCCTCGAACATTCATATCGCTTCCATACAGGAGGGAGCCACTGATGTGTGGTACATCGATACAGTACTCCACCCAAGTCTGAATGCCCGATGCATCGGACTACGGGTCTGGATTCCTTAGTCCAGATCCTGGGAGAGATGGAGGTAACCTTTTTCACAGGGGAGCAACAAACCATTTGATCTGGCGACTTAACCATCCAGAGGTCCAATTTTTACCAAGTGGCCGAATCCAAGCAGGAATCAATGGTCTCGGAGGATGGGATTTATGTCTACGAACCGTTCTGTTAGGAAAGAAGATTGTCCGTCCAGAGCAGGGTCTACCCAGCAGTGAAAAAGTCCGTTACTTCTAAATTTCACAGCGCTTTAGTAATACTGTAGGCTATTTTCACAAGACTCTTGTGTCTCATTTGGCTGGGGAATCGTAACACACCTTGCATTTGGGCCTGTTATATGTTGCGTTAACGTCATTGGCTTGTTAGAGTATTGGATTAGTGCTTCTCATATTATGCCAACACTTCTGGCAATGACACCCATACACCTATTTTCGGAGGGGAAAAGAATTGACCGTTTATTCTTGACCGTTTGTTCTGAACTATTTGCTGTTCACCATCTATTGCTGACTATTTGTTGACCGTTACGATTTTAACCGTACGTATCTTTGCCCAGCATTTCTTTGTTGAGCTTTCTCACCGTCTCTTTTTACTGTTTACTTGACATGCAGACTGAACACGTGTAACTAGTTTTGCCTGCTACTCCGTCCCGTTCAGTGAACTGTACGGAATGCCAGTTTGATAAGATTTTGGAGAATCCCGTGGCAACGCGCCTAGAGATTCAAAGAAGCATTGGGGGTAAATGTGGCTCAGCTCTGCTTCTAGCCATAAACGTCAGTTGGGACAGAAACTTACACCAAGCAACAATGCAGAATAGGAAACGCAGAATCAAGCAAATGAAAATGGAGTATTAGCCAGCTACTCTCGAGCCTAAGGGAGTCACAAATTAAGCCTCTACTACAACGTATATATATTCCTTGCTATTGTATTTGTTCTCTGTTCCAAATTTTTTTTCATGTTTCCGCCGCACTTATTCAAACGGAGCATCTCTAACCGCTCGATATAAAAGCGAGTCCGGCTGGGTGAAAAAAACAAAAAGTGACGAAAAAGCACCTATAGCGCACACTTACGCTACTCAGATCTCCCTCGCTCACTTCTGTATAATTTAAAGTAACATTCGTGATAACGATGCTTTTAGGCGTTACGAATTGGGCCGTTCCAGATCCTCCAATACGCGACGGGATATCCGCAACTGTAATTTCCTCACAACTCCATCCGTTAAAGTTTACTAAAGCGCCCCGGAAGCTTTGGCTCCGCTATCACCCAATGCCTAGGAAACACCGAATGGCGCGGATGAAAGCGATGCTTGAAGAATGGAATTTACGCTTACGCATATAATTCCACAAAGTATAAAGCACATAATTGAAATGACTCCAACCCAGGATTAACCTGCGATGCTAAGAAAGCCTGATTTCTGAAACTATTTTGGCCCTCAAAGCCAAAGTACAGTGGGTTCTGTTTTTCCTTAGGCTAGTTCCACGGTGAAAGTACCTACTGAATGGGAATCCATTTCTTTTTCTGCTCAGAAAAATGGGACTGATGGCTAGTGGGACCCATTCAGAGATTGGCCGTTTTGACTTGTGACTACGAAGCAGGGTTCGTAGTTTGGCCAAACAGCTTTCATAATGCGATTCTATAATCACATTTCAGTGGATATACGAGATATTATGGAGGATCTTCAAGGGCCGACGGATGCATAACAGCCGCGTCATTGGGACGCGTAATATACTATTCCAGTCAATTGAGTTATCGTAGATGTCAATCTGTCAACTCACCCACCGCGAAGAATCATACTTCCTGATATGGTCTAGGAGCTACAATTTACTTATGAAATCATTAGTGACAGAAAACATATGTTGAAATAATAGTTATCGGACAGTCTTAAATAGAAAAAGACAATCTGTGCTCAAAATTTAGCAACCTATTCGAGAATCGAGTGATCTAGTCCCACAGCTCTCTATCATCAATATATTGCAGGATTTTCAATCCACGCGTTTGGTGTACCAGTTCTTGCCCTGCCAGTGCATCAGCACCATTGGAATGAAGCTAGCACCCATGATCAAAGCGGTAACAACACCAGAGCTATTAGCAATGCCAACGCTCTCAAACATAGATGTAAACCTAAAGAGACAATTAGCATTTAGTCAATGATTTCAAACACAACAACATACCAGAAAGGCCCAATGAATCCCCAGGTCGAGCGAACGAAGTTGATAAAGACACCAACACTCCCTGCATCCTGGGGATAAGTGTCGACCGCATATGTAGTAAGAACAGTAGTAACAACCTGGTTACCAAAGGCAGCAACACCAGTTCCAATGACAGGCCGAACATCCCATTTGCCGGTCGTCGCTTGCTCAGTGCAAACCAAGAACACAACCATACCAGCAATGCTCAGCAAGAAGCCAATGTAGCTAAGCCATAATCTGAATTCAGGTGCAGGCTTGTGGCCAATCTTTCGAGCACGAGTATTCATCCACATATCAGACATGAATCCACCTAGCTGTTCACCGAGCAGAGAACCGATGATCAAACCGAGGAATTGTAAGCCGAGTTGCTGGGCATTGAGTTCGAACTTGCTTTGAAGAAGCTGGGGGACCTCTACTGAGTTAAGAACTGAGGCGAAGAGGAAGACCATGGAGTAGGCAATTGCTGCTAGGAGGACGGGGATGTTGGTGAATAATGTGAGCGGGTGCCAGAACTCTCTCATCTTCATTGGAGTCGGGTCAATTCGACGGAGGGACATGTATTCTGTCTTGAATGCGGAGGATTTCGAGTGTATGTCGGCTCCGATATAGCGGGTTTCGGGTCCGAAAAAGATGTACAGAACTAACTCGACTGCGTTGGTCTGTATAAGGTCAGCAAGGAAGACAAAGCATCAGCTGGAAGAAACTTACGATTGCCAGGATCCAGTAGATCCAGCGGTATCCAACACGCTGGACAACGAATCCGAAGATGAAAGGACCGACTGGTACACCCAAGGTGACCATCAGAGTCCAGACACCCATATACCGCGCTCTCTCATGTTTGAAGAAAGTCTCTGTGACAACACCGCTACCGATTGCCATAGCAGGTGAAATGAAGAATGAAACGAGAGCTCTGCATGCCGCCATGGAAGCATAATCCGTACTCTTCGCACAGCCGATATTACAAACGCAGCTCAGGATCAACGACAACAAGAAGATAGGGCGTCGTCCAAATCGGTGGGAGAGAGGCTTCCAAAACAACGGAGCGCCTCCCAGAATTGCAATTTGCAAGGATGTCAGATAACTGACTCGCTGGATTGAGACACCCAGATCTTCCGCAATGTCCTCATAAGCACAGATAATTGCAGCTGCAGTAAATGTACCCATGCAAGCGTGGAACGCAACTAGACTCAGGTTGGCAGTTTTCTGTCATATTGTCAGCGTAAGCACTCAGCAACGCCTTTGTGTCTGCTCACCTTCCATGATGGCCAGTTGTATGGGTCTGCCGGATCCATACTAGGGATCGGATCGAGGTCTAACGTGCCATGTCGCTCAATCAGGTATGATTTATGCGTCTCAGACAATAGTGCAGTAGGGTCGGCGTAGTTCCCATCAATATTCTTCTCCTCGATATAATCAGAGTCGTATTTTGGCTGCTCAGCACCAGTGGCATGATCGAGTGAAGCCATAGTGGAAGATATCATGCGAGAATATGGCCACGTTAAAACTCCAGATCAGTGGAAAGGGTTAGATAAAAGGGGGCCAGTCGACCCCGCGGGGTCTGGGGATTCGTAATCGGCATTTCTGGGGTATGGGGCAGTTGTTGAGTCAACGGGTGGGACGGATTGGGGTCAGAATGGCCAGAGTAGAGTGCAAAGTCGGCGATAGGAGACAGCAGTGGAGCTCCGTTGTCCATTCGCCTTGTCTGGAATTGGGGAAGCGGCGTTCCTGGGAGTTATACCGTGATTGATTTGCCGGAAAATACAGGAATCAGTGGTATTCGGGGCCCTCCGTGTGACGGAGGTCGAAGCCGTCTATTATAGCGTGTCGGCTAGTCTGATACCAGGGCTGACCCGAAAAAAAACAGTCTGGCCGAGGCTTCTTCGGAATGCTGCGGCCAACTACCGATGCCATGTTCCGATCGTCGTTTTGGTGTTTCTCGGAGAGCGTTTGGACATACTTTCCAGGCCAAGTCGGCCCAGTCGGGTGGCGTTATGAGGCGGTAGCTTCGATTGATGTCTCAAATAGCAGGAGTAACAAATTTATGGAAGAGGGCTTGGAGTCGAGTAAATCAAACGGGCAAACCCTGGAGTGTCAAGCGGCAAATTGTGGGGGACTTCGGGGATTGTGCTTGATCCACTAGGAACCTCCACTCGGCAGTCTAACAGTGTGAAGTCTGCATTGGGTTTCGCCAGATCTGGGGTTTTAATTTTATGCGTCTGATTCCGAAGCAATGAGCTGTACATATTCTATACTGGATGTGTGGAGGGAGAATGGTTGCAAGTTAAGGTATCGCCAGGACACGTTGTTGATGTATAAGCTGGAATTCTCTACACAATATCAAAGACCAAGCTAGCATTGACATCTGATGTCAAACATTGACTGCTATCATTCTGGAAGAGGATCAAAGACAGTTCGAGCTGTCACAACTCCCAAATGTGTCATGCTCAACCCAGTATTGTCTCTCATAGGTTTGCATGCAATCCTGCCCCAATTATCCAAGTGCACGAACACAACAAGCAGCGGATGGTGATTGTTAATCGATCATGTCCATTGCATTAGCTACCAGATCATCTCTCGGCCATATTCATCCACCATGCCTCTGGGTTATGTCCAAGCAATGATTGACAACGTGCATTACTCCCATGATCCCCCGAGCTGCGAGATAATGTTGCCGGCGATGCACCGAGTGAAGTCATTATGGTGGCTTCTTCACGCAAAGATCGGAGTACGAGTGGGTATCATTCCTCGGGTGTCGGGTGGTCAAGCCTGACGAAAGCAGGAACCTTGGGGGCAAGATCAAGTACCACTGGGGTGTGAATCAAAGCCGAGAGAATAGTTGCTTCGGTAGGCGGTTGAGATTGGGTTGCCATCTGGCGGCAAGACCCAAGATGTTGGCTAATCGTTCGTTTGTGGGATGTGGTATCCAGGTCGTGGGTTTGTACAGGAATCAAATAGGTGTTGAAACGCGATCACCTTCACGCGCCGACCCCCTCCTCCTCGGAAAGGTGACTTGGGGCACTGCTCACACCGGATGTGTCGCTATCCATGGGATCGGAGGTTTGTGCTCGGATCTGCGCGCCCCATTCTTGAATGCTGGGGACACCGCCCTCGATGATGATCGGATGTTCTTCGGCACTTTTTCCCAGGACAGTTCCAGCATAGCGAGACTCTTCACCAGTCTTGCTGTGCTTCTTCTTCAAGGCTGTGAGGTAGTCCTCCTTTTCCATCGCGTCTCGATCGACCATGTCACCTTCGCTCGGGACGAAGCCCGCAACACGTCGAATTTCGCGGTGAGTTGGGCCAGTCATCCAGCCAAGGAAAGAGTCGAGGCCACGCATATCCTCCTCGCCCTGCCATTCTTCCTCCCATTCACGCAGTTGTGGTCGGATGGCACCTGCGTCCTGTAGAGCTTGGTAGATATCTTCAAGGACGGGAACTGGATCTTGTGGGTGGGCGTTTGCCGCGTGGTCGGCAGCCGAGGAGGCGAGGATCATGATGTACCGGCCAGTCAGGTCCTGCAGAGTCTCAAGAACGGACGGGCGCGTGGAATGGAAGCCTTGCGCGCGTAAGATTTGGATGATCGGAGGTCGAAGGAGAGCATTGTGAAGGTTTGGGCCCGACATTGTGGCGGACAATTAATGGATGAATAACCAAAGCGCCGATTGTATGGTTACTGAAGATGCGATAAAAGCAATAGGATCTTGAATCTATTGAGGTGAAAAGACGTAGGGGGTAAAGGGAGAGAAAAGCAATAGGAAGACGAAAAGACGGAGGTCGCGGTCCAGGGCGGAGAATTCCAACTCCCGCGTCGTCTTCTTTCACGGGTAACCCACCGCGGATTTTGGCCTTCATGAACCCACCTGTGGCCATGGGCAACCCAAAATACCCAAAACTGGGGATAACTCGTGAATAACACCACGACTCTATTGGAGAGAGCATGAGCGTAAATCCCTAGTGCTTTCTCGGCTTACACGCGACTTGCTTTCGGTTCCGGCCACCAGTGCGGGGCGTACAAAGACTTTTCAATAGTGCACGAGATATCTGCCATTATCGTCGAGGATCTCTTCATGAAGCGACTATTCAAGACTAATACATAAGCTAAAACACAAAGAAGAATAATGCTAAGAACATCAAGATGATACCCTCCTCTATGCATATTGAGCAACACCGAAAAAGCAGTCTCCAGGATCTCAGCGAGCCCAGTTGATCCATCTTCTTGTAAGACACAACCATTTGTCTCCTGCTTTATGTCGTCCCAGCACCTAGCATTGTATTCGAACTCTTCAGCAAATCCAGAGGCATGCCAAATCTCACAAAGGCGGTAGTGCGTCTCAAGAAAATCCCTGGCTGGGAGTGGCTTGTCCTGTCCGGCCGCCTGCCGGAGAGTGATAAGGGTACCGTTTGGGATTTGCGCATGTAGCACACTATTGAAGCGGGGGTACTTTTTCACTCTGTAGGAGTTTGGAGTTTCCTAGATAAACACAAATTAGTCTTAACTATTTACTTAGTCTTAGAAGCCTTACCATTGGTTCAAGGGCAATTCTAAATGCCTGAAACTCGATATGCACCAAGTTGTGTAGCGTGATACCGTTCTCGACAGTATTTATTTTTGAAGCTCGGATTGCTCTAATCCGAGGAAAGGCGGTATAAATCGAGGCCCATTTAACAGCGACATCACGATGCTCCTTCGAAATTAGTGTTAGTATTCCGTTATATCTCTGACTAGTAAGCTGGGTATATCATGGTACCTCTTTATCAAACCCCCCTAATGAGAAGGGGATTATGTGGTGCACTTCTAGCTTTCCCCAGAGCTGGCCCTCTACTTCACCTTGCTTCACCCACTCGAGTTCTGTTAAAGCTCCAGATATTACGCAGCGGTGATTATCGCGGTCGATGCATTCTTCAGCCCAAGTCGAAGAACGGGCCTGTGGGTCCGGCAGCTTAGCAGCCACTTTGTCCACGCTAGCCCGGCGGCTGTGGTGTGGAGATGGGGTTACCCCAGGAGTCTTTCCAGTGAACCTAACTAAAGGAAAAATGTTAGCAAAAATAGTCGTGTTTATCGGCTAGGCGATTATAATATAAACTTACTAGCTTCAATAAATGCAGTCCGTAAGTTATCGAAGACTGCGAAGAGAATCTCATCATCTTCTTCGACATCGATAATAACATTGGCCAGTTGGTCGCGACCGCCTTCGGGCAGCCAGTCTAACGCTGCATTAAGTGTCTTAGTGAGACACTTCTCGTGCGAACGCTCACACTCCTTGTATCTGCTAATCCGAGTTTGGGCTAGCTTTTTGGGTTCATGCCATGTAGTTTGGCTTGCGGGCTCAACCGAGGAAATACTCGGGGCGGTGGAGGGGGCGAGGGGTGGAGGGTTTGACCGACGCCGTTTGTTGGTGAGAGAGGGAGACGGGAAGTTGGTGGACGTGCCGGCTAGGGAAGGAGACGCGGGGCGGGACGCCGGGGGGATCGCAGGGAGAGGAGCCGCCGAGTGTTCCTGTCCAACATTTGCTCGCTTTCGTCTGGATCGGGTTTCCATTTTGATGACTAAAGACGAAGGGAGAGTGACGAACAAGGCAACGGACAGAGTGATTCATGAGCGTCGATAGGACGTGATGGAGGATGATGGAGAGACGGCGTGACAAATACACGAGCCTCGATGAGGACGTGATGAATCAATCTATTCTCCACATTGAAGATATCGAAGGAATCACCACCGACATCGATGACAAGCCTGTGAGCGCAACTGTAGGCGTCGCTCCTCATCAAGGCAGCCGTCTACCAAAAATGACGAAATATGAGCTGCCATCTATTGATAAACTCACCGGGGAGGAAACGGACTCGCCGAACTAGGTGATGCTAGTAGAGAACTCTCTCCAGCCCATGATGCTTGGAGACCTCAAGGACGCTAAGATGCCAAGACCAAATGAAGATGATCCACTCTATCGGAGATGAAACTTCTGGTCCTCGTCTGTAGCCGCATGGATATATCTCTAGGTTGATAAGGATGTTAGAACCAGACTGAGTGGCTTGGCCAACCGACCAAAATACACCGACCACTTATTCGATGAGCTACTTAGCTTGCTCAAGGTGGAGACCGCTCAGATAACGTCCTGATTGATGCTTTCAAGCTATACGATATGAAGAGAGATCACTATGGCTTAGCCGAAGAGTACATCAGTGACTACCAGAGGCAAGTGAACATACTGCGTCGATCCAAAATTGCACCACCAGCATTTATCTCAATCGGAATCATGATCCGAGAACTCCAAGATAAGCTTCCGGACATGGTCTTTACGCGTGAAGCGTTACGGAAAGTGAAAGAATCCCACGAAATTACTCACGAGGACTTCGACAAGCAATGCAAAGAAATGACGATCAAAGCTCGTCAGCTTGCTGTTAAAGCCAACAAGACCCACTCGGCCCGTCGGAACCCATTTAGGACCGATCGCCAAGACAAGAATACCACTGTCGTTGCCGAACCGTCCAATCAGAATAACCAGAACGTCCGAGGATTGGCAAGCTAGCGTGGCCGTGGAAGAGGAAACAACCGTGGCGGTCAGCGTGGCCGTGGACGTGGAGACGGAAGGAACGGGAGAGCATCACCCGGAGAGCACGCCGATCATAGAAGCTCTACGGCCTCTACCGGTGCTCGTGGAGCTCCGCCGAGAGGCAAGGATATCTACAAATACGCTAGGGAATGCTGTGAAGCCGAGAAACAACGCATCAATGACCGATGCAGCTTTTGCGGTTATGGCCCACACAATGCCAAGCACTGCTCCTATCTTCAGGAAGCGCCTGAGTGCGACTGGGTGCTCAGCTCGGCCGTATGGTCGCTGTCGAGTGCCATTCGTGATCGCAATGAGAAACAAGGAAGAGTGTCACTAGCTATCCAGACCTATATGGCTGAGAGCCCAACCACCCTCCCGACACCTAAAGCCACGGAACTAGCAATTGAAGAGCTAAACCCGAAACCCGTTGGCAAGCCGAGTCTCACGCACCTAAGACCATGGGGATGCATTACGTACGTCCACATCCCTAAGAGCAAGCGAGTCCAAAGCCGGAAGATCGCTTCATCGCCTCAAGAGCTATCAAAGGCCATTTGATAGGCTACGTCGGGAGATCATGGACATTAGTACAAGGTGTGGGACCCTATCTTTATGAAGATTCATACATCTAGAGACGTAGGTTTCCCTCAGCATAATGATGACGGAGAGCAAGGTGCCGCGCCCACCTCCTTAGGACCGAAGCCATTGATCCCCGACGGACTAGGAGGAGGAGCAGTTTCTTTTGAACCCCCGGAGCGAGAACACTCGCTAGCAATCATGCCGAAACCGAAGCCGAAGACATTCCAAATAGCACGCCAACCTCAGCAAGCTCCAATGATCACTCCGTCACCCCAGGGACCCCCATGGGGTCAGCCTGGACGCTTGACACAAAGAAGGAGACTGTGAGAGAGATCCCAGCGCGTCAGCCAAGCGAAGCACGCCAGCGCATTCAAATTGGAGGGGAACCGTAAGCATAGAAACCAAAGAGAGGTTTATTTCAACGAAGACCACCTCACGGCCCGAGAGCGTCGATTTTACCCCCGAGGCAACCAATGCCATCAATTGCTGAGACATCAGCAATACAGCCAGTGCCGCCACAGCAGCCAATCCAACCTTCGCTAGAGAAAGCCCAGGAAATGGCCCAGCAAATAGCTAAGAAGAAAGCATCCGAAATCAAGCTTAGAGAGATCAATGAGAACCTCTCTAGGATGAGCGCTGACACCGAAAATGCTAGAAATGCTAGCGAATCCATCGAGCCAGCCACCGAAAGCTCGTCCGCTGCTCTAGACACCACTCCCACACCAGCACCTCGTCGCCAGTCACCTAAACATCCACGGGGACTGCCGATTCCACGCGCCCATGGCGAATACAAATACCCATTCGAATACGAGAGCCCTATCCGACAAAGGACTATCATTGAGTCCGTCGAGCCGGCAAGCCGCTATGCTCCCCTATGGCATCATGTGCATCGACTCGATGTACTACGTGGACAAGACGGTGCATAGATCCTGGAACTCGATCTCCCTCAGCCACATGGCCTACCAGCTGGGGCTGCCTCCGAAGTTGGACTCCAGAACGATGATGATAGACCCCAAGACGAATGACTACGACCTCACGCAGATGATCATCTACAACTGCAGGGACTCCGATCTGCATGCGCTTGTGTCCAGACATCCCAGGATGAAGATCCCCGAGACCATCTGCTTGCTCGCGGGAACATCAAGAAGCACAATCTGGGACGCCATCGCGAACAACACCGGACTGATGGACTTCCGTCTGATTCAGTCCACTTCCATGAGCTTCGGGATGTGCCTGGATCTGAGCAGAACCTTCGGCGTAGACGAGACTGACTTCGAGGGCGATTTTGTGCTCGAACCCGAACCCTACTGCTTCAAGGGCGTGATCCAGATCGACGGCAACTCCCTCTACGGGTCCTTGCTAGCCAAGATTGGCATCTTCATCGACAGGTGCGCCAGGTCGACCACGGTCGAGGAGTTGGAGGAAGACGGGCCTGACCATGCCCACGGACATGCGGGAGATGGAGTACGGGGACGTGGTCGAGTCCTTGAAGGTGATTGGCATGAGGGACGAGTTCGGGTATATGGCCATCGTTAGAGGTTCGCCCACTATGCTCAGCGTGATCCTGGACCAGCTCATCCAGATGAGGATGGACGCGAAGACGGATAAGAACTCGGAGTTGGCCTCCTGCATCAAGGCGCTCGTGTGCAGCTTCTACGGCATGCTGGGGAGCAGACACGGAGCCATGTCCTCGAAGACGTGCGCGGAGATCACCACCCACCTGGCTCGATACTACCTCAAGAAGATAGTCAGGGTCACACAGTCGTGCGGCTACAGAGTCAGATACGGGGGCATGGGCTCGATCTTCTGTGAGGTCATGGGGTAGAATGAGAACGAGTGCATGAACAGAGGGCTACAGATCAAGAAGCGCATCTACGAGGAGATGAGGGGAACCGTGTTCGAGAGCATCGGCGCGGACATCAAGGGGAATTACATGTCGATCCTAATCCCGAGCAAGAAGAAGTACGAGGCCGTGAGCTGGGACGGAGAGGTGGAGACCAAGGAGCTGGCGTCCGTGAAGAAGGACACGTTGCCGATAGTGAAGTTCGTCGTCAGCAAGGTTCTGACGGTGATCAACAGCCCGATGACGAAGGAGAACAAGACCGAGTCCCATGAAGGTGGACGCGTGGATGCAGGTGAGGAGGTAGATGTATATGTACACGAGGTCCATAAAGCTATGGCCGGTCCTGCGACTCGAATTTCGACTGCGCTTCTGATACGCGGTTATGTACTTCTAGAGGAACAGACATCGGCTACAAAATCGCAGCCAGATTCGACGCCGCACCCCAGATCACCACCTGCTGGTTGTAGAGATACTGGTTCAGCTCGGGGCTCGTATCCGTCATCTCCTGCCCGGCTCTGCACGCCTCCACGTAGCTCTCGAACACCTGATCACGATTCATGACCCTTTCAGGATTCTCCTCCGCACACGTGTAGCACGTCATGTAGACGAATAGATCCCCTCCGAAGAGGTAAGCGAACCTCCACTTCTTGCGGCTGCTGCAGTGCTCGATCCTGTTGATCTGCTCGAAGGCGGGCGTGTAGTTGACCTCGCATCCCACGCAGACCACGGTCGTGAGCTTGTCATTGTATCCGGCGTACTCCATGATGGCTCTTCTGAGGGTGGCCATGTAGATGGATCCCTCCACCAGGGTGTTCATGATCATGTGGTTGTTCTCGGTGATGCACAACTACAGCTAGCCTAGTCGCCTGTGTTTTCGAATTCGAACAGCGTGTGGACCATGGTCGTCCTCATCACTCTCCCACCATGGCCACCACTCTCCAGCTCTTGGTCAGATCCCCGTTCGGGCCCTTGAAGCCCTCCACCTTCCGTGATCATGCAGTCGTTCGTGTTCAGGAGCCTGAGTACATCCGGGTGGAACTATCTACATGAGACCGGCCCCACGCTGCTCAGCTCCACCTTCTTGTGGATGATTTCGTATAAACCCATGAGATCTTGCCCGCCCATGCTCCCGAAAGTGACTCCGAATCTTCTCGCACAGCTGCCGCAGGTTGTAACCATTAGTTGAGCGCGAGTCACCTCCGTGTCCAAGCTCGTGTTCGAGATCATGGTTATACAGGCACATACGTCGCAGAATGCCAGCGTGGTTGTAGTCACGGGGATGCTTCCAGTCATCCCGTTAGGCGTCAGCCTCAGCATGTCGTTGATCATGGCCCTAACCTCGAGCAAAGATCTCTCGAGCTTGTTGGAGCCCCAGTTCGTAACGTCGGCGGCAGCATGGGCCTTATCAAATCCAATGCCCCAGATCCTGTCGTACGGGCTCGCCTCCACCAACTCCTTGTCACTCGCGTCCAGGAGCATCTTCATGAGGTCGCGATTCTGTGTGAACTTGTAGAAATTGCCGTTAATCACCACGTTCCTGCACCTGCGGAGCCATACGTGCTCGTTGAAGTTCCTGACCATCCTTCCCATTCTCCTGTGCACGTTGGGGGTGATCGTCGGGTGTGTTGATGGTCTCCCGCATCACTTCGGTGTCGTCGAACATCTCGGCCTTCTTGTACATCATGTACTGCTTCGTGTCGTGAACGTCAGGTTCTCGCACACGGAGACGGACTTGTGCCACTGGCTGAACTCGCCGAATGCCTCGTTGACCTTCCTGAAGAAGACCGTGTCTCTCCTCACGACCTCCTCGGTCTTGGTGTTCTTGATGTGCTACAGAAACGGTTTCATCTTCGTGTTCACAGGTGGGATTCAGTTCGGTCGGTAAGCTGGCTCGTCCGTCCTGGCTCTTTTTGAAGTTGAGGAGCATCTCGGTGTTCGGCACCTACTCGAAATTTGCAGTTGAACTCCCTGTTCGAACCACAGCTCCGTATTGATGATTCTCGATCGACAGCACACTGAAGGTCGTGAACGTCGTCCTGGTCGTGACGGACTGCATGATATTCCTCCTGGCCACGAACCCTGATCTCTCCCACATCACGTCGTCGTACCCCATCTGAGTCGCGATCTTCTGTCCGTTCAGCGACCTGCACATGTAGCGAGCCATCCGCATCCTCAGGACCTCGTAGCTGAGGCTGTCTCCCGGATCGACCTCGTTGGTGGTCGCGATGAAGAAGTCGTTCAAGCACTTGTTGCACATAGTATAGACCACCACGCAGGTGCTGTTGTTTGGATCGGGCCTCTCGGTCGTGAACTCCATCATGGGCATGTGGGTGAGCTCGATTCCCCTTGGACACATCATACAAATCGCGACCAGGCTAATGCTCCTACCTAGGCTTCGTCTCACTACTTCCCTTCGCGTGGTGCTAAGCAACCATAGTGGACAGCAATTCGACAAGCGTACTTCAACATTTAAAGTCGGCGGCTTCTTACCCAAGTAGAATAACTATTCCCTCTTCGACAAATCTCGCATCGTGATAATCGGTGTTGATCCTGTCGATTTGGCATTGGTCGACAGCAACTCGAACAAAACTTCGATGTCACTCGCTCTCCTTCAGACTCCTCTGTCGACAGTTTAGGCATATCGCACGACGTTCTCGTGGTTTCAGAGGAGATATCCTAACTGAAGTGTTGGGACAGAGTGCGGCGAGCTTGCGTGCCTTTCCCATCAATTTGGAAAGAATTGGAATCAGAAAAGCCGCGGTTTTGCCCGATCCTAAATCAGTTAGTATTGTAGTTCAACAAGCCATGGAGAAAAGTACGTACCAGTTTGAGCAATGGAGATTAGCTCATGTCCTGCGAGAATCGCAGGGACAGCGTAAGACTGCACCGCAGTTGCGGCAGTGTACTGGCAGAGGCTAATATTCACTCATGTTGGCGTAGATCTCCGGATGCCCGTGTTTACTCATGGTCAGTTATATGCTGCGTTTTCCCGTGTAACAGATGTTGCAAATCTGTCAGTTTTGCTTCCCTCACTCTCTACACGTCTACATATCCACCGACATATCAGTCGTCCGAGAGACCTGCGACGACATCCGACTCAGACAGTCAAGACGTTCCCGCGTTAGAGCCTATTACAAGCTTGGGTTGGTCTATTATAAGTCCAAGTCGAATTGCCAGTCGAAGATAGACACCAAGCTATAAACCACCATTAATATATATATATCGTATATAATATCACACTGATACATATCCTATACTCAGTTGCCTCTGCGAAGGCATACTCCCATTCATTTCCTTGTTCAACCAAGCCTTGTAGAGCACATACATCGTAATACCACTCACATGGAACACCATTCATAACATAGAGATCCTCGAAACTCGTCGGTCCACGAACCACATCCAAAAGCATCCGTAAGTAATATACCTCACCCTGTAAAGGGCTTAGTATCACGTGTAGTGCGCGGTACAGTCGCCTCAAAACAAAACGTCGTAGAATCCCTATTAGTGCGTATGCTCGTCCATCGCAATGCCACCCCAGAGCCGATGGTTCTCTCCATGTTCGTGCTCTCGATTAGCAGTATCTTGATGAACGAGCTCGTGTGCACGATTAACTTGTTGTGTCTGGTTCACGTCAGGTTCGTGTTGAACTCGATCTGATCTTCAGCGTCTTCCAGGGGAGATGTTACGGAACGCAGATCGCGAGCTTGTTCGTATGCCTCGGGACGACATTCGAGCTGTCCATGATGATAGGGATGACTTGGTCCGTGTTGATACCGTCGAGTTGCTCTCCGTGCTCATGCACCGCGCCGTTCAGCGTCAGACTCCTCATACGAGTTAATGATGAAGACCAACATGAACACCGTATCCAGCATGCAGATGATCATGAACGAGAACGACAATAAGAGGCCCTTCACGGCCACGAGGGTAATTAAGCCCGGGTCCTCCACGGTGACCGCGCCCAGAGTTGTGAGCTGCTACTGGTCCCTGATCAAGGAGAAGCTGCACGCGCCTACGATGACGATGGAGGGGTTGAACGGCAAGACCTTCGTTTACAGCTACGTGATCAGCCTGCGGTTTCATTTTCAAGATCAACGTGATGATCAAACCGTCCTCCTGGTCAACTTCTACTTCGGCATGCATGGCACCGTCGTATGTACGCCCTCTCGAGGTCCCGGTTCATGCTCTCAGTCTCCAGGGCCTGCAGGGCGAAGCGGATGTCGTAGCCCGTGTTCGAGTTAATTATCTCCTCCAACATGTAGACGGATCTCCTGACGAGGTAGCATCCGCCTCGACGTGCGCCGCTGACCGGGTTCCTGAGCTTCCACTCCCGCCTGAGGTTGTGCCACATCATGAGCAGCCTGGCTCCCGACTTGTCGATCAACCTGTCGTTCATGTTCTTCGTCGCATGCCGACCATCAGCTGGAACATCATTATCATCGTCCGCCACGATAGTGAAGTCGACGTGACCGTCACACCTGATGGTGGACTCCAGAAGCACCACGCTATATCTGACGCACGACGGCCCGTGTTTCAAGCTGTTCTTCAAGTCTCGGATGGCCTGCACGATGAACTCGAGGGGAAGGAAGCGTCGCCATGTCCCCGCTCATGAGGTCGTAGGTGTGCATGCCGCACCGGGTGTTGCACATGGAGATGACGAACGCGAACCCGAACGTGGACATGTTGAAGTAGATATTCGTGCTTCTTCGGGTGTACGTGTTGATGCGCACGTTAAGTGTACTGCTTCATGGTCGTCTTCAACCCGGGATACTACTGGACTCACAACACGCAGCTGAATACACAGGCCAACACCATCAACATGAGCAAGAACACCATCACTAACATCATCTGCGTCGACTGCAAGCGCAATCTCGTGGTCAGAAGTCTCCAGCCGGTCATGAACATGAAACCGACTCCGAAGCGGTCTCCGGACGTCAACATGGTGGTCTTCACGGAGTGCAGCTTGTGTCTGGGCGGGAGGATCGCCGCGAACATGAGCATGAGCGTGGAGAGGATGGAGAAGAAGTACATGGACTTGGTCACGGAAATCTACATGAAGATCAGCCCGAACATGCAGTTGTCGTACAGTATCAGTCCGAAGCCGAAGATGCAGGACGAGACGAAGAGCTTTGCGAGCATGCCCTGGATCTGAGACGTGAGGTTGTCCCACTGGAACATCCTTATCATGAAGGCGGAGGAGATCAAGCAGAGGATCATGCAGACGGTCTTCTCGGTAACCTCTTTTGACGAGGATGTAGAGGGCGATCCCTGGATTGACTTCTTCGCGAGGAGCGGCTCCGACCTGGGCCACTTCGAGCTCAAGAGGATAGTGGCGTTCGTATTCGAGCGCATCAACGCGCACTGCATGTGGTCATCCCGAGTGAGATCCCATCACCGAGACCGCCATGCAGGCGTACCTGGGGCTGAGGTCGAATGTCGATCTGACCACCTGTGCCGACAAAGCGATGTACGTGAACAGTACATCCACGAGAACCATGAGATCTACAGGACCATCATCATATGCGACGAGTCGGTCGTGAGTGCGTTCACGAACCGCAATCCGCCGAAGAATGTGGACCTGAATCTGGTGCTCAACGCCAACACGGTCATGATCGAGGAGACCATTCGCAACGTGAGGATGAAGATTAACATGCTCGTGGAGATGTGTCCCTGCTCGAACCCCTTGGACAACACGGTCAGAACACAGCTTCGGGAACAAGACCATGATGCCGGTTCGATTTCGTCGTGACGACACACCCATGTTCGGGTTCAAGAGGTGGTACTTGGTCATGATCAGACGTATGAAGATGAAGACGATCTGCTACGACTGCACGATGGCCTTCGAACTCGCCTATGCTGTCGCACATGTAATGTCGGGCAGGGACGTCAACACCGACGAGATCGTGAAGAGGAACTGGACCGAGAGGTTCTCATCAGTCGTCCAGCTAGATGAATCCGCACAGTAGCACGAACAAGATCATGGACACCAAGTTAGGCGCGAAGATCATTAGAGAGTTGAAGGATGTTGCGACAGTGGACGTAGAAACGACAGGAACCAGGGTCTCGAGCGGGAACGTCATCGTAGTCGATGTCATGAAGTTGAGGAAGGTCATGTGCGGATACGACTATCTAAGGGAGATCGTGCACAAAACCTGGTCTGACTTGCCGCCTCCACCTATGATCGAGAGGGCGCAGGTGGTCGTCTGGCTGATCGTCTGCAACAACTACTGCATCAATCACTCCACAATCAAGTGGCCCGGGTCGAGCCCGAACACGTACGTCCATCTTTGGTCCATCATGGACAGGATCAAGACCAGCCTTACTAACATCGATGCGAACTGGCTCGTGGGTTCGAGGGACTGCGTGGAGTACTGCATGATTACGGGGATGAACAAACCGATGGACTAGTACATGTACGGGAAGGAGCACATTACGCCTGATCAGATCGAGGCTATGGAGATGAACCCGGAGCTGCTGACGTACGAGAGCGTGGGGGAGGACTTCGACTCGTTCTACGACTTCCACATGAGCACCTTTACGCCCAAGCAGAAGGAGGTGTTCAACGTCTCTATGCTGAACTTGAGTCAGGAGATGCGTGACATCTACCTCAGTCGGCGCTCATAGTCGGATTGTACTGTGCGAGTTTGCTCTAGTTCTTCTTCTCGGCCAGGTCCTGCATTCTCATGTCGGTCGTCATTCGAGTGATGGTCTCGCTCGGGGTCATGTCGCTGATCCTGTACTTGACGTACTTCACCAACGCCTGGTCCTTCAAAATCATGCACCAGGACTCGTACGGGTTCGGCTGCGGCGTGATGTGCACGTTGGAGTCGATGGCGAATACTGGGGCACCATCCCGAAGCTGAATCGGCTCTTTGAGCAGATACGGGATCAACTGTGATACAGGATGCACCATCGCCTCGAGAACCCGCTTGGCACTCGAGATCATGAGCTTGAGGATGACCATGATGTCGCGCTTCTTCTGGGTCTTCTCCAGCTTAGCCCAGTCGCCCGCGTCCGACTCCGGGACGTCGGTCTTAGTGGTACGCGTCATCGCCTGCGACAACCTAAGCGTGAGTAGACTCGAAACCGACGGCAGAGGCTTGGTCATGAACGACTCGTACAGCACACCCACGAGCTTGCCGTAGACCGACCCCATCTTCGCCTCATCGATCATGGACCCAAGTTAGGTTTTGGAGAGGTCTACCTCGATGCCCCGCTTCCTTTTTTAGCAAGGCAGAACGTTGAACAAATAACTAAACAAACAAAGAAATAAAGCATCTAGAGCAAACTAAGCGAGAGCCAAACCTTAGTGACGTTCTTATAAGAAGTTGAATCACTTATGCTCTACCTTTTCCGTGGGGAAAGCGACTACTAGGCTCGCTTGCTAACTATTCTTAACTATTCATGGCCTCTCTAACGAACCTCCCAATCCCTATATAGGCGTTGTTGATTGTAAGCGCGACTTGAATCTAAAATCGCGAGAATACTAGCCGTAAGCTCGTCTTTAGATATACTAGTATCCATTAACGCCGCGACCACATTGTGAGACCACGTAGTAGTAGGGTGCGTCAGGACCAATACCTGACTAAGGATGTTGACTCGGCCTGTGTCAAGCATTAGCTTAAGTTACGAGGTGCTAGAATTCAACGGGACCCGTCATTAGTCACCATTTTCGGTCCGGGTCAAACTAGTACCCGCTCCTACACATCCCCGTACCCTCAACATCTCCTCCCTGGCAGTCTCCTTTCTAGGGAGATATTTCTCTTGCTGGCATCATGTCAGATGCTCCGCGGCCTACACTGAAGCTGAAGCTAGGGAAGCGGCCGGTCCCCCCAGCTGAAGTGTCGGCACCTACGCCAGCGCCAGCGCCAGAACCAACACCAACACCTGCGGCCTCCGAAACTCCCCAACCGCAGCGCAAGCTCACTCTCAAGATTGCACGCAAACCACAGCCCGAAGAAAGTGAGGAGAAACCGAAGAAGAAGAAATCGACGAAGAAACGACCCGCCGAAAATGTCTCCCTGCCTGAACCCGCCGCGACTGTCCAGCAAGGTCCGAAACGCCTCAAGCTGAACCCCAGCAAGAAGCCAGCTCTACAGTCCATCCGCATCAAGAATAAGGGCGTCGTTCCTAATCGACCGGTTGGTGTTGGCTACGACTCGGAGGCCTCAGATACTGAAGCCGACCCTGCGATTGAAGAACAATTTATCTTACGAATGCAGCCAGGAGAGGACTGTGAAGCTCTGCGTCAGGCAATCAAGGACCGGAATGTTGAAGGAAATGGCTTCGGATTCAAACCTCTCAATCGTGAAGGCCGCCGCGCCATCTTCACTGTCAAAGGCAGGCAATATGCTGCAGCGCTTGTGGACCTACCCTGTATCATTGAAGGCATGAAGAGTTGGGATCGACGTGGCTGGTACAAATCGGCGGATATCTGTCAGATGCTCTTGGTTTTGGGACGAGTCAGCAATGAACAAGAAGCACTCGAATACCCACTTCCTCCGGACGTTCAACTCCCCGATGAGAAAACCCTACAATACGCACACGGCCTCGCACCTCCGCTCCGTTGGGTTCGCAAGCGACGTTTTCGTGATCGCCTCAGCACCCGCACCATCGAGCAAGTCGAGAAGGCTGTGGAAGACCTGCTAGCTCAGGATGAACAATCGATCTTTCCCCCGAAGTTTGAGCTTGTGGACAGCACGTCACTCAACCGTGCCGAGGGAATGGTACAAGCCGACGACTATGAGGACGAATACGATGAAGAGCAAGATGCATACGGCGAAGCGGATGAAGAAATCATGGATGACTTCGAAGACACCCTTGCAGCTGAGATGGAGGCTGCATTGGCTGGTGACGACGATGCGCCCGGGGAACAGCAGGAGGCACCCACTCCATCCATGCCACAATATCCATCAGCTGGAGGCCAGACAGACCGCGGTGAGTCATCAGGCGGCGATAGCGACTCTGATGGCAATGAAGATGAATTGGATGACGACCAGCTGGAGGAGCAGCAACAGCTCCAGCAGCAGCGCGAGGAAGTCGCTGAATTGGAGGCACTCATCCGCACTGAAACAGCACAGTGGGAGAAGGTCCAGAATCATATTCTTCGCAACAAGAAGGGCCGGCGCATTCAGGAGTTGAAGAAGGATCTTGAACTCAAGAAGGTCTCTATGGGCATCACGGATGATCACGATGACTGATTTCTGATTTCTTTCGGGATATTATCCTTTAATAGCACACATTTTCGCGCTTCGGTTACTTTATCATACCCATTCCTCGAGATCAAAGTGCATACAATGCCGATCCCATGTTCATGCTAGCTGCAAATAGCTAGTTTGCAATTATTAATGAAAGTCATGTCCAAGCAAAATGGCACTGCAACATTTGTTGTCATACACAAGCGCTATCGAGGCTAAATCCAACGATCTAGTGACCTACAACAGGATCACCAGTTGCCTCCTTGACAGCCCCCTCAACATCAATGCGCTCATCTCGCTCCAACTTCTGCTGTCTAGCAGCCTCCCTCTCCACAGTCTCCACATCCGGCTCAGCAGGACTATGACCGACCCTCTCCCCCAATATCCTCTCATGTTCAAACATCTTCTGGTCCATATTCGCCATCAAATCCCCCTGTTCCCCAAATCCAGGATGGCCAGGACCCCCCGCGCTCCCAACAGGCCCAGCATGGGCACCAGCTTGTGCTCGCTGAATGCCCATACCTTTCCTCTGGACCGAATCTGCGATATATCCCTCAGACGGTTGCTCCTCAACGCCGTATTCCAAATCGACGTCCGGTGCATTCCCCAATTTCTCCTGGTCTCGTCTGTGCTGATCATCGAGACGAGCTCGAGCCTCGTCGCTAGATGGGTTTGACTTTGCAGTACGGGTTATGGCTGCGATGGAATCGCCATGGTGGCGTGTTGTCTCGGCTGGTGCTCGTTGTTCCTGTGGTTTATGCGAGACTGGGTTCGAGGCTTGTTCATATGCTGCCTCTTTTGGCGGTTGGGGGGTTGGCTGATTTGGGTTTTGGAGCGGGTCTGCATGGTCAAATGATGTTTATCTAGTTGGATTGTTATAATGAGATGTTTCTTCCACAATTGATGTGTTATGTTGGGAGTTGTCAGAAGCAGGTTAAGCTGAAGAAAAGTGACAGGCAAGGATATCCACTGCGTGACGTCATAGTCTACCAGCGGAACTTGCACGTGAACCAGTGTTCGGGTGAGCTTAATCATTTCTTGGGGACTATACAATTAGGTTACTCTCGGTTTCAAACTATAGGATATACTATGTTTGCACTACATTCTACTGTCCCACATAGGCCAAAGCACTCCGCGCTCTCCCACCGAGAGGTAACGCAGACCCGCCGCACAGATCGTCGGGACGTACCAATCCCCCGGAACTGCTATAGACATCCTGCATAGTGTCAACGAACACCTCCAGAAGTGGCGCAATACTCGGTGAAAAGGCAACCAAGGGAAGCAAAGGGCAACCCACCAAGTCTCCATCATGTCTCCTATCTCCAATCTCCTGTTGACCAACAGGATCCAACTAATCTCTCGGCCTATTTACAAAATACCCGCTTAATTAGGGGAACTTTATCCGACTCCACACAGGCCGCTCCCCGCTCGGTTGCTCGTGATATTCTTCTCCTGTTTCTGGCTCACACAATAGCACAATAATCCCGGGTATTTGTGTTTCCGCCATGGCGAACACTCTCCATTGTCTTCCTGCGGGCTCGCGCATCCTTGTTACTGGAGCCAATGGCTTTATCGGGAGTAATGTCATTCAGTGCTTGCTTGAATTAGGTTTCAGGGTGCGCGGGGCTGTTCGTTCGCCGAAACCATGGCTCGATGAAATGTTCCGGGGGAAGTTCGGGGAGGATTCGTATGAGTCGGTGGTTCTTGCTAACTTTGAGGATGTGGACTCACTCGTTGGCGTTATGGAGGGTGTTGCTGGAGTTGCTCATGTGGTACGTTATCCTAGATGGGATGTCTGGGGATCAACTGTCTGACTAGCTTCTTTTAAACTTGTAGGCTTCAGATATCTCATTCGATTCGGATCCAGGAAGGGTTATACCGTCGGTGGTGAAGGCAACTCACAATGTTTTGGAAGCTGCGTCTCGCCATAGTGAGATCCAGAGAGTGGTTTTAACTTCTTCTTCGGTGGCGGTTCTATTCCCAGAGGCAGATAAGGAGGGTGTGAGTGTTGATGAGAGTGAGTTGCTGCAACAGATACATTGAATTGAACGGAATTGGCATAGCTTATAAGATGTTTAGATACATGGAACGAAGACTCTGTCAGGGCAGCCTGGGACCCGAACAGCTCGCCACAGCTAAAGGGCCTCTTTTGCTACGCTGCCTCCAAGACAGAGGGTGAAAAGGCAGCGTGGAAATGGATTGAGGATAACAAACCTGGCTTTGGGTTTAATACCGTTCTTCCAGAGTTTACAGTACGTTCAGTGTTGACTTTCTGCTAAAGCAGGATGTACTAACTGGTAATAGCTCGGAAGAATCTTACACCCCAAGATCCACGGCTCAACAATGGGCTGGGTTCGCAGTCTTCTCAAGGGTGGCACAAGAGTGTTCCAGACATATGTTCCACGTAAGTACAATCTGTAATGCTCGGGATTAATAGTTTTGGGCGTGAAGCTAAATGATAGTTCAGAATACTTCGTAGATGTCGTCGACATCGCGCGTCTTCATACAGCAGCCCTTCTCGATCCAAACACAGTCTCCCAGCGGATCTTTGGATTTGCTGCGCCTCTCAATCTGACTGAGATGATCGCCATTGTTAGAAAGCTTCGGCCTGATAACACCCAAATTCCTGACCCGCCTGCTGACGGCCATGATCTAACCAATGTCATACCTGCTCGCAAAGCCGAAAAGCTGCTCCAGGATTTCTATGGGCAGCCAAGCTGGACTAACGTGGAAGACAGCATTGCCGCGGGTCTTAACGGCTGCTAGATATCTTCTGCCTTATTATATCACATTTGATCAACCATGCAAGGGTATGATGTACAAGATCTCAATTTCTTCCACATAATACAGAATCTCCCCTAAGTCACCTGAAGCTCCTTTAAACTCATCGTCTCTTCCTCGGCCTTTTGAAGATACCCCTTCTTCAAATAATTTCCCAACAAGGGAGTGTAGTCAAAGATCAAATCACGAATCTTAGCAAGAGGCCAAGGCAAAGAGTGAAACATTCTTCCCAAGAAGCGAGCAAATTCCATGTTGTGGTTAACATAGTCAACTCGCTGCTTTTCGTAAAGCTCAAAGCCGGCACTAACAGCCCGCAAATCCCGCAGGTCAACACCATCCAGCGACTTGGCAAGATAGTAACCATCTTCAATGGCCATTCCCATGCCATACGCCGCATATGGCGATACCGGGTGCACAGCATCGCCGACACATGCGACCCGGCCCTTTGACCATTTCTTCATGGAATGCCTATTGTAAATCTCCCATCGATATACCTGCGTATCGAAATTGGTAGCTTCCAGGAACCGAGGCATGGGCTCTTGCCAACCTTTCAGGATGTTGCCTAGATGCTCCTTTGGGTCATCAGGCAGTGGCTTTCCTTCCCACGATGGCTCAACAACCCACCATTCGAACCCAGGTTTTCCATCGTGAAGCATGGGGAAGAAGCTAGCCTGGTGTTGCCAGTCGTGAGAAATAACGCCGTGCCTTTCGGGAATACCGGGGATATGATCACACCAAGCGAGCCAGAGACGAATTCCTGTGTGGAAAAGGTCAGGCTCGCCAAATGCCTGTCGCGAAACTGGCGAGCGGATTCCATCTGCGCCAATGAGGATATCGGCCGTGACCTTGGCTCCATTTTTGAACTCGACCTCAACACCATCTTCAAGCTCGGTATAACCGGTCACTTCATGGTTGGCCTGGATAATACCGCCTGGCACGCGATCCAACATTTTCTTGAAGATGGATGATCGCAGGACTCCGTAGTGCCAGCCTTTGATTCCCATGCGTTGTTCAACCTCTTTGTTGAAGGGAAGCTGGACACGCTCCACTCCGGTATTGTTTTGGAAGTGCGTGACTGTGTAGGAGCCCACGTTGTCTAGACTCATCCCGTAGGATCGCAGAATCGCCAACACCGGTGTCGACAAGAGGACGGCGCCACCGATTGCCTTGCACTCGGGCTGTCGCTCGAAGATACGCACGTCGTAGCCACGCTTGAGGAAGGCAAGGCCTGTCGAGATAGCTCCTGGACCTCCACCAGCAATGGCTACTCGTTTGCCAGGGCGCCAATTCTGTTCGGACATTGTGAGGCGTTGGTGAAGAGATGTCGGCTAATGAGAATCAAGTGTGAATGAGAATAGATAATAAAGGAATCCAAGAGACGAACGATCGCTGACTTAAATATACTTGAGTGGAGCTTAGATATTATGTGGACTAACCCTGAGATCCTAAATTATAGCCCCTCTTCGAGTTGCCGGTATGATGCTTTGCCACAAATATCGGAGATATACTTGCTATAAGTAAGCGGAGTCTTCAAGTGCAGTTTCTGTAGAGACTTGGACTATCCTAGACAAATCGAATCAAGCGTGTTTAGGCGGATTTTCTTAGATTTGAGATGTTAGGCGAGCTATACAAAGCTAGTGTCCACTTTTCCGAGAAGCTGTACATGGTAGCTTCACTGGGCCGTTGTTGGTCCACATTCCCGAGAAGCTACCCGCTCGCTGGTTTCCACGAAATACCCGCTCTTCCCCAGGTTTGTCCACGAAATTCTTATAGTCCAGTCAATTCTCAACGCGTTTATTTTCTATTTTCTTTTTCTCTTTTTTCCCCCTTCGCTCACTTCACTGTGGTAGTTTGACGACTGCTCTTCCTGTGACGCCATCCACTCTTAGTCTATCAATTAATGCCGGCACGGATGAGAAATCAAAGACTTCAATCGCCGGGCTTATGTTGCCTGCGGCTGCTTCTTTCAGTAGATCGGTCATTTGATCCTCGGTGCCCACAGAGGACCCTATGAAGGCAAGACCTGTTTTCATATAATGTTAGTAGATGTCTTCGAAAATAGATATATTCGACCATACCTCTCGCCGTGCAAACTGTGGCCGAAAGTGGAATTTGGATATCATTCCGCGGCAAGCCAACATTCACAATGAAACCCATATTTCGCACCAGACCTGGGGCCATCTTTAATGCATCCTCTGTTCCAGGGACAACGATTGTGGCATGCGCACCCTCTCCAGTCAGCTCCGACACCCGAGCGACGACATCATCAGTCTTGAAGTCGAAGAATACTTCCGCGCCAGACTCAAGACTCAGTTTCCTCTTATCATCACCACTATCAACAGCAATGACTCGCAACTTCTTTATCCTAGCTGCGATCTGCACGCCAATATGCCCCAAACCACCACCAGATCCGGAGATGACGACGAAGTCACCAGCCTGCAAATCATTTTCGAGTTTCGACAAAGCGCCAACCATTGTCAGCCCAGCGCATAGCAACGGTGCCGCGACTTCATCGGCCACGCCCTCCGGAATGATAGTCAGGAACCTCGCATCCGCGATGACATACTGCTGCAGTGTTCCGGGGACATGACGGCTCGTGTTGAGCTGTTTCGCACAATTGTGCGGGAATCCGCGTTTACAAACGGAGCATTCGTTGCATGCACTGTACAACCATTTGACTCCGACACGTTGGCCGAGCAGAGATTGCGAGGCGTCAGGTCCTGCTTTCACCACTATGCCGACCCCTTCGTGGCCAATAATGGAGTTATAGGCACCCCAGGCTTGAACGGCTCGGAGCTCTGAGCGGCTTCTCATTTATTCGAGTCACTAATAGGGGCCGCAGATGTATCTGAGAGTACTTACCATAAGCCGGTACATGTTAACTTGACTAGAACTTCATTCAGGCCCGGACTTGCGACTGGTAGGTCATTCCGAAGAGTGATTTGGGCTTTTTCGCCGGGGTTTACCACCACTGCGGCTTGTTGTAGATTTGGGGTTTCTGTTACCATTCTGTTATGAGCAAGGCTAGAGACCGGTGTCAGGTATCGAGTGGAAAGGAAACTGGCGCCAAAATGTCTCTAGTCGTACATTTAGAAAAAGCCTCGCCTTTTGCCGATTATAGTCAGTAAGTTTGGCTTGAGACTTCGATAAGTGGTGCTGTGCGGGTTACCGAGGTAATCGATGTGGTCGGCGTATAATTCGGCAAGTAGGTGGCGATGAAGGCTGCGGGGATAGCCGATGGTTGTGCCCCGTTCAGCCTCATTACCCCACAAATTCCTACGCAGAATATGAGTGATCTAGCCCTGAGATGTTCATTGGCGATGGTAAGATTTTCTGTAGATCCTGTAGGGCTAAGGACCTTGGGGGTTTTCGACAAGGCTCCGTGTGTCACTAACGGTATTGATTGGCAACCACTCCAGGGTACTAGTTATACAGATATAGATTGGATGATGTTCACTTAGTGTAGCTAAGTCTCACATCCTTACAGGGCTTTCGGTATTAAATTAACTTCTTCCCGGGCTTTGAATTACTTCATGTTGCACAGAGGGCGGATACAGCCCATCACCTCTACTATCTCGTCAAACATGGAAATAAACCTACTTGACTTCAATTCAGTTAGATAAACATGTAGTCCTTGTTCCCTAATAGAGTCCTGACTATAATCTTTCACGTGATGATGTCATGAGCATTGGCATGTGATGCCGCGGACCTGATTAGTATTCAGATTTCACCCGAGCCTCCAAATATAACATCACCTTTTGATAATTCTCCTATTCTCACAGCTGCAACCATGGCTTCTTTGTTTACTGTCCCGATTAGCTCCACTGGCGGCTCAATCATCTGCACAAACCCCAGCGCAGACAAGGAGCATGCAAACATCTACGTTCTTACGTTTACCTCGCCCAAGGACAACCGCTTGACACCTACTTTCATCGATGCTTTGCTTCTCGCTCTTGATATTATTGAGCATCGCTACCCTAAGGGCGTCGTGGTCACCACTAGCGGGATTGCCAAGTTCTACAGTAATGGACTTGATCTCGATATTGTCGGTAAAACCGAAGGGTTCCTGGAGAACTGGTTGTGGCGACTGTTCCGACGGTTTCTGACGTAGGTATAAGCATGGAGCTTCCTTGAAGCTCGAGTCTACCTGTAATCTTGAATCAGAAACAGGCTAACATGTGATCCAGATACCCCATGCCAACCGTATGTCTCTTGAACGGCCACGCTTTCGCTGGAGGCTTCATGCTGGCTATGTACCACGACTACAGGGTTATGAACCCGGACCGTGGATTTCTATGCGTCAACGAATTGGAATTCGGTGTCCCGCTTCAGACACCCATGATGGCTATCTTCCGTGAGAAGCTGACCCCAGTCACATTCCGAAATGTGATTCTGGAGGCCCGCCGCTGGGGTGGGCGCGATGCACTCCAAGTCGGAATTGTCGATGCAGTCGGTGGTGCTCCAGAAGCTCTCGCTTTAATTCAGGATCGCAAGCTGCAAACGAAGGCTGCCACGGGTATCTATGGCACCATGAAAGAGGAGATGTATGCTCGGACCCTCAGTGGTTTGGATGATCATACTGGTAACTTGCAGTGGAGGGATAATGTGGAGAGCAAGAATCAGGCTGTCCTGGAGAGAGGAATAGAGGCTGTAGAAACATTTGAGAAGACTGGAAAGGCGAAGCTTTAAAGCTGGGTAAACACAGATGGGTGCTGTATATACAATCTTGGAATACCTTGCCCTAGCTTAAGGGCTATCACCTCTTCACTTCAAACAACTTAAACTATTGACAAACAAAGCCTAATATATATACGTAGGTCTAGTCTACGGGCAGGTATAGATATCTGCACATATGCTCGGTTAAATGTCAGAAGACCCTCACTTGTGCCTTGGTTCTTCGTTGCTAGGTTCTAGGTCCCTTGTTCAGCACTAGAGTAGCCTATGAGGCTTTATTCACACTTATATTTCTCAATCAAATGACAATGAACTTGATATGAAAGCAATCCGTCGGGGCTAATTGTGACAAGCAGGCCCTTCTATTGTTTCTGCCTGAAGTACTGTGACAATGAATGCAATATGATTGTTCTCTACTACAAAGAGAATAAATGGCGTAAAACAATGCCTATTGACTAAATAAATAGACGAGGCTACCTAGAATCGAAGCCATATCATTTCGCAAATGTCTCTGCGGATTGCGGTCGTAGCTCGTTTAATATGAAGCCGGATTGAACGGCTTTTGCTCATATTTTGGGACGTATAAAAACGGCGCGCGTCCGCAATTGGCGGCTTGTCCGACTACATCTCCAAGATGGCACGCCCTAATGCGGACGTTGATGAGGGGGGCTCTTCCTTCCTCGATATGCTTCCTTTCCTGCATGCTTTGCCCATCCTGCCAGAAAGCCGTCCCTCTGTTCCCGCTTCAACTGAGACTCATTCCACTTCTCTAGCATCTACCATTGCCATGGCGCACACCACCGAAGCCCCCGGTACTAACCCCCTCCCTGCTACCAGCTGTGACCTTAAAATCATTCCTTCTAACATTATCCAGACGAGAACCCAGCGATGGAGAAACGTCGTCGTCGCCAGATGAATTTCAGCGAGATCCTGGCCAGCGGCATGGCCGACGAAGACAACTCCCAGGCATGGACTCGGGCCCTCGTTCGGTATCACCGGGAGCAGGGCGAGCACAGATCTGCCAATGTCGCCGCCTCCTCCCACGCGGAGATTCCCATGTCGGCTGTTGCTCCTGCTCAGGAACTTCTTATGCCTCCTCCAGGCATGACCAGAGTAAGTCGCCATCACAATCATATACTCAGCAGCAATGAGATCAGTGATTCTAAAAATTTGAACAGAGAAACCTCGCTCTCCCTCCCATCAACGCCGCGGGACTCAATCACATCCTGCTCCAAACCAAGTCGCATGACCTTGTCGCTCAGGCTCTCATTAAGAAGAACACCAAGCGTCTTCAGGAGTGTGGCATCGTTGAGAAGCTGGCCCCCGAGGAGAAGAAGATTAAGCCTGATGGCAAAACTTTCTCCAAGGTCCCTGACGACGATGGCGAGACTGTAAACATGCGGGTTCGAGCTGCCCATGAGCGCCTCCAGGCGTTCATCAAGACTTTGCCTGAGGATGAGCCAAATCCGCAGCCTCCATTTGCTCCTCGCGATCCTCTCGCTCCATTTGATCCTCTCACTCCATTCGCTCCTCGTGCCCCTCGCCGTCGCCGCCGTAGTTCTCGTAGGTGAAGAACTGCGTACTATCTGTCTCATGAGCTTCTACTTTCTACAATTCCCTTGTTCCGCGTGACGATTGCTTGATGGGACTGCGTTATCCCTGTTGATACCCTGAATAGGCGTTTTCCGGTTCTTGTCTTCGCTTCTTTTCTTTTCCAGGGGCACTGGTTTAGTGTGTTCGCTCGTTTTCTTCGCATTTTCTGTTCCTATCTGTTTCTTTTGCCGAGATGAATGGTGAAATACTCTCGGCTGCAAAGTTATCAACTATGATATTCCTAATAACATATTCACGGATGTCCAAGTCTTTTCTGATGGGTCTGTAGGATGAACCCCCGACACATAAAAAGCGGCTGTTCGATCCGTACTAGCGATAAGTATCAAAGGCTCGATGTCACTCCAGATTAACTTTCTTTTTATAGTTGTGTGGGGCTTATCCCCTGCAACTTAAAAAGGGCCCTTCACTTCAAGGGTTAGTCGATGACTTCATATCAAGATTGATCTATACGCAACATGTCACTTTCAGATAGCCAGGGTACTGCTCGCAAGTTTTTTGTCGAGAATGTCCAGGTTTTCAACGAATCCGGGTCCACAGAATTCCAAAATGTGATCATCCACAACGGCATAATTAGCAACAACCAAGAAAACGCCGACGAAACTATCAATGGAGAAGGTCGCTTCCTAACTCCAGGTTTAGTCGATGCTCATATACGTCTTCACCATACTGGTCATCTATAGCAGCTTGCAGCCTATGGGATAACCACAGCCTTGGACATGGCGATGTGGTCTGCCGACCAAATGAACAGTCTAAGATGGAAACCCGTCTACCCGACAACAGAAGCGCTGGACAACCGTCACAGCGGCAGATAGTCTCCACGGCTGCGTGCTGCCCCTCCCATAAGAAGCGTTATTCCTTGGTCCTGAAAATGCCGAAGCTTCGTTGAGAAGAGTATCGCGGAAGGATCGAATTATATCAAACTCGTATCAGATGTTCTGGGTCCATCCCAAGAGTTTCTCCATGTGATATCTGAAGCTGCACACAAGAGACAAAAGATGGTTATGGTGCATGCTTCGGCCTATACACAATTTGACATGGCGTTGGAGGCGAATACAGATATCATCACCCACGCACCGCGAGACAACCCAGTTTCTACTGCTACAGCACAGCAAATGGTCAGAAATTGTGTTGTGTCTGTGCCAACTTTGACCATTATGCAAGCCGTTTCTACAAAACCTCCTCTCAGCGCGGCGCTTGGCATGATTTCCAACCCTTTCTTGCTCTTGGCTATACAGCGATCCAAGAGAAACAGCCAGGGTACACAGAGACTATATGAATGCAAGAGACTCGGAACATGTATCGCGCTGCTGTCCCTATCTCTCACAGGCACAGATTGTCACGACGAGCCAGATTCATTCTTCGATGTTAGGCATGGAGAAACATTTACATCGAAAATTCGAGCTCCTAGTAGAAGCGGGATTACCTCCTCTTGAGGTCTTGCACGCAGATACTATTCTTCCAGCTCAGGCCCTCAAGTTACTCTGATCGGGGTGTGATTGAGGAAGGGAATCGAGCTGTTCTAGTGTTCTTCGGGAAGATCTACTGGGGATATCGGGTGTCGCAGGGAATCGATCGGGTTTTGTGCGGTGGGGTTAAATATTATCATTCTCCGTAGGATACATGTTTGATTTGTCTTTTTCGTCCTTGATGTAGTATACTTAATCCGATGGGGAAGTGCTCCGCCTCATCTTCTGGCGAATACGAGGTGGTTGGTAACTCAAAGCAATGAGCCACAAGATCTGCAGTCGAATGAGTCAACGAGATATGCTCTAGTCATTATTTAAAGAAGCAAAGAGGCTACTGGTTCTGTGGCCGTTTAAGATCAACTTTCTATTCAACAACAGCTTCAACATTTCCAAAATCTCACCACATAGTCCACCAACACTTAGTATCAACCAACCCTATACATCCCATCTTCCAAAATGAGACACACGAGAACCACAAAACCATCAACAACCTACCGAGAAATCCGAGCAAAACACACACCAAAAACAATAACCGTCTACCAAGCCTACAGCCCAACAATAGCCATCCCAGCCCTGGAAGCCCAAACCTTCGTCCCACCCTTCTCCCGCTCAAGAATGACCTGGATAAAACCGTCCTTCCTATGGATGGCCTACCGATCCGGGTGGGCCAGCAAACCAAACCAAGAACACATCCTAGCAATAGAGATCACGCGCGAAGGATTCGAATGGGCATTGAGGAATTCTTGCTTGAGCCACTACACGCCTGGGAATGATATCGAGCGTGATGAATGGCAAGCGAAGATGCGTGCGAGTCCAGTGCGCGTGCAATGGGATCCGGAGCGGGATTTAGATTTGGGATTCAGACCTTTGAATCATCGGAGTATTCAGATTGGGTTGAGTGCGGAGGCTGTTGGGATGTATCTTGATCGGTGGATTGTTTCGATTACTGATGTTACTGGTGTTATGAAGAAGGTTGAGGGGTTGCTTAAAGATGGCGACGTGGAGGGTGCGAGAGCTTGTTTACCTGAGGAGACGGTTTATCCATTATCGGAGGAGTTGCAGGAGTTGTTGAAGATGGGTAGGATGTAATTTTGATTGATGCTGTTAACAGTACTCCGTACAGATGGGCGTGAAGTAGCGCCGAGCTAGGTTGGAAACCATATGCATAATCAACATGTAAACAAAACAAGTGTCTGATCTAAAAAGTACATAACTTCGTCAAAGTCCGTAAGTCCATGGTCGTCATCAAAGCCCCATTCACGAGGTCACGTCTTTTTGGTCTTGCTGGGACGACCAAGTCGGGAGGGCGTCTCCAAGTGATCTACCAGTGGTCGATAGGGTGAGGCGAGGACATGCTCTGGTGCACGTTCACGTCTGGGTTCACCGGGAGTCGGTCGGTATAGTTGCTCCTCGTGCATGCGGTCGAGTGGTTCACCAATAACCTGGTACTTGGCCCAATTGATCGGGGGCATGCGCACAACATTCTGCGGAGCGGGAATACGACCAAATTTGGATGCGGGTGATCCATCTGCATTTGTGCGTTTTGAGTCTGCGGCGCCGTCTTCCATTGCGTCGTCTTCGGAGAATTGGATCACAGCCCCGTGGTCCTCGGTCTTCAACCGTCCGGCTGCCAACTCGCGCGCAAACCCTTCTGGATCAGCACCTGCGGTCTCTTTCATGCGATCCAGTGTCTGGATATCGCGCAGACTTTGTTGCTTCTGCATTTGCAGGATAGAGATAGCGGAACGAAGTGCGATGGCATCGGGGTTCTCACTCTCCGAAATCGGTACTGGAGGGGGTTGAGGTTTAAAGACTGGGGGATTTGCTGGATGTGGAGGAGATTCGTAGCCTGAGAATCTGCTTTGAGAATGATGGATTGGTGGTGTCGGAGAGGGAGATGCTGGTGGCGGGACAATTCTTGGCTCGTTGGAGGTGACAGGTGCAAGATGGGCGAATACCGGTGTTACCGGGGAATAAGGCGGGCGAGGTGGTGTTCCTGGGGTCTCCTGGTATGAGGACTGACTCTGGTCCTGCTGCTGGTCCATGATTACAGAGAGTATGGAAGAGACTCGAACGGACCAAGTGGGGGGGACTTGGGTGGATAAGGGAAATGACGACAGTCCAGCTGGTTCCCTTGAGTTGATAAGAATCACACCACATGGGTGTGATCCAGGGTGAAGTGGACAGTTTGTAACAAATATCTGTGTCTGGTATGAATTAATTCACGCGCTTGGTGATCCTCACCAGAGGGGTAGAGAGGTGGAGGCAATAGCACTGACCCGTAGTACGTGGTTGAACGTCAAGCGAAGACAACAAAATCCACGCAGAAATCAAAGGGCGATATACTTCATATACTCAATACGCGTATATGAAGGGAGTTGTGAAGCTAAAGATGAATTGGTCTATGGAGATCTAGAAGTGACGCAACCTCGCTGGGCGTCTCACCGCCTCCGGTGCCTCTCACCGCCCGGTAGAAAAATAGAACGGATCAGGCCATAGCTGGGAGTTTTGGCTTTGACAACTGCGAAAATGAAGCGTAAGACAGAGGAAAGAGGCTCACTCGATGGCCATGTCCAACCTGAGTCCAAAAAGCGGGCTCTCTCCAGCGAGGAAGCCGCGACCCGCTTCCGCGACGGTCTGTTTGACACCGCGGAGCAGCAGAAGTACACCAGTGAATACGCCAAATCCTCTCCGTATGTACTCGAACCGCTTCAATGGCTCCAGGCTGACTTTATTTGAATATAGCTACCTTCACGGTGTCATCCATTCTTTGATCGAGTCCAACCTTCTTCGCTCCGTCCGCGATGAGATTCAAACCCAGGTCGACTTCACCGAGAAGGAAACCGACATCTACAAGATCTTCCAGTCTGGTGATCTCGCTAACCTCGACGGACTGGATGATTCATCCCTCTCCAAGCTGCCGTCGGTCTTGAAGCTCCGCGACGCTATGTACTCAGCCCGGTTCCGCGAGTACTTGTCCTCTGTTACTGGGTCAGGCAAGTTGAGCGGGCAGAAAACCGACATGGCTATCAACGTCTACACCGAGGGTTGCCACCTTCTGTGCCATGACGATGTTATTGGCAGCCGTCGTCTCAGCTACATCCTCTACCTGACCGACCCCGATACTCCCTGGCAGGCCGAGTGGGGTGGTGCGCTCCGCTTGTTCCCTACAACGACTAAGAAGGACGCCAAGGGCGAGGATGTCAAGATCCCCAGCCCCGACTACAGCCTGTCCATTCCTCCCGCCTTCAACCAGCTGAGCTTCTTTACTGTCCAGCCGGGTGAGAGCTTCCACGATGTCGAGGAGGTGTACCACCCTCGCGAGGACGAGGACAAGTCCAAGAAGCGCGTGCGCATGGCCATCAGTGGATGGTTCCACATTCCCCAGGAAGGAGAAGACGGATACGAGGAAGGATTGGAGGAGAAGCTCGCCGAGCGCAGCAGTCTCGCTCAGCTGCAAGGTCGCGGTGACATCTATGACCTGCCTCAGCCACAGCCCGTCTCCTGGGAAGAGCCTGAGGTCGAAGGCAAGGGCAAGGGCAAGGTGGAAGAACAAACCGAAGGGTCAGAGTTCACCGAATCCGACCTCGGCTTCCTGGTGCAGTACATTGCGCCGACCTACCTAACCCCCGACATCGCCGAGGAAATGTCTGACGCCTTCTCCAGCGAGTCGTCGCTCAGCCTGGAGCGCTTCCTGAACGATAAGTTTGCTTCGCGTATGAGCGCATACATCGAGGACCAGGAGAGACAGAAGCTGCCCACTTCGTCGGATGAGATCCTGGCCCAGAGCGGGTGGACTGTCGCTCGCCCACCTCACAAGCACCGCTACCTGTACCAGCATCCCTCCGGCCAGGAGGAATCCGATAATCCCATCCAGGAGCTGATGAACGTATTGTTCCCATCGCAGGCGTTCCGCAAGTGGCTCGCTCTCATCACTGGTGTGGACCATCTTACCAGCCACAACCTCCTTGCTCGTCGCTTCCGCCGCGGTGCCGACTACACACTTGCCAGTGCGTACGAAGGCGAAGAGCCCCGCTTGGAGTTCTCGCTCTGCCTTACCCCGAGCAAGGGATGGGAGAAGGAGCCCGAAGAGGAAGAGGAAGAAGAAGAGGACGAGAACGGTGAAGCGCAAGGATCCTCCGCAAAGACGTCGAAGCCTAAGAAGGAGACCAACGGCGACGCAGCCGAAGGTCCCGCCGTGGGTGGCTATGAGATCTACATGGCAGGTGATGAGGAAGAGGACGAGGAAGAAGATGCTGAGAACGCAGACCAGGTCCTCGGGCCTAAGAAAGCCAAGGCCGACCCGGCCATCTACCGGTCTGCCGGTGCAGATGAGGATGATGGTATTCTGTTCAGCACTCAGGCTGGATGGAACCGCCTGAGCATTGTGCTGCGGGACAGTGGCACGCTCAAGTTCGTCAAGTATGTTAGCGCGGCAGCCAAGGGCGACCGGTGGGATATCACCGGTGAAATTGGCGTTGAGTTTGAGGATGATGATGAGGATGAAGAGGGAGATGAAGATGACGAGTAGGTCATTTGGCAATAGAATGCTAACTTGGCTGTACATCGAGTTCCAAAAGACTATAGATATTATATATATATTGGCGCGACCATGACATGAATTGACTTGATGATTTACTACTTTTTCAACAGCATATTTGTTAGAGTAATAACACAAATTCAGCAGTTGAACTAATTATCTTTCCAACCATCAAGTACGAATATATTGATGTCGACCGTCACACTGGAAGTATACCAACCACCCTCAAAATAGACGCAAAGCACCCCAGCCTTAACCTCAATACGCAAAGCAATAAAGCAAAGCAATATACACAAGCTCAGCGGCAACCGAAACTAGTGGAGCAGATCCCGGCGCTCCCTGAAACACAGACACCGAGTCACCGCAAGGGCAAAGACAAATGACACTATTCATTAAGTTACCACACTGTACGTTACAATACAAGTGGGCAAAGAGTACACATGGCTCTCACGCTAGAGGGAGCGGCACGACTTCCCCGTGGCATCTTCGACATGCAAGTCAAGACATGTTTGGGAATGTTTAAGTGGGGATATTTGAGACTTTACACGCGGGAACCTCCTGGTTATTGGGCTGGGATGCCAGGGAGTGGAATGATCTACCGTTACCTTTTCTGCACCCCCAGCTTCGAGGGTGCGATCATCGGTTTCAGTGCAGATTTACAGTAGTAGTGGAAGTCATTTGCATGGTTGTGCGTAGGACTGACTACTAGGTAATAGGCAGACTAGTAGACTAGTGGAAATAATATAGATGACGAACAGGCTATAGTCCAATGCATATACATATACTATAGGTACTACAGACTCTGTACAGGTGATATCAGCAAGGTATAAAGGGATAACCATGAGGAGACCATGAGAACCACGCACTATTGCCATACCGAACTCTAAACCACATCTCATCCCTTGGACTACAACGTAAAGATACAGTGGTACTCAGAATTCCCGGAGAGTGATAGAGAAGGAATCGAAGATCGCAAGTATTCCAAGAATGGAGAAGTGCTACGGTGTTGTAGATCGGGTGGCAAGACATTCTGCAAGGCGCCATGTGGCAATACTGATTGGTAGTATATCTGTCTGCCTAGTTAGTTTAGTTACATGTGGTGTTCTGCTGTGGCGGTGCGTATTAATTTCACGACAAACGACTAGATGATCTATTCTAGGAGAGTGGTCCAGCAGTTCATTCGATACATCACAGCATCCTGGACCCAGAACCAGGCAACTATACAATGACCCGTTGGGGCCGTAGGCCCCTGGAAGAAAACCCCTTCATGGCAGATCACAGATCACAGATGCCAAGAATCTCCAGGTCACACCAAACCAGCTGTAACGGAGGCCCGGGAGATTTCGAGATTTGGTGAAAATAGCCGCTATAGAATAACCCTAACTTGTGACTGAGACGGGTATGTGCAGGACCGGTTTGCTAAGCTCATGTCTGTCCGATGTTGCACAATACAGAGTAATATAGTCTAGTAAGTAATACTAGTATATAGATCTAGATTCTAAGGTAACTAACTCTATCGGTGGGTAAACTCATGTGTGGAACTGAACTTTTCACTCTGCCGATCCTGCATTGTGCATTGTGCCATGTGTCTGCTCGGCAAAGTCCACAGTAGTATCATATTAGTAGGAGTACAGTAGGCTCATTGTTTGCCTAATCTAAGGATCCAGTAATATAACGTGTGCCACGAGAATGTGTATACGGTTCGAATCCATATGGCTCCTTGCTCCCCAGGGTCAGCCTCGTGGCACACTGTTGCAGCAGGGGCTTGGCCGTAATACCAGTACATTCCTATTTCATTATTATATTTTATTCTTGTTTTATTCTTATTTTATTCTTTTTTTACTATTTTATTCCCTTCATTTTGTTCTTGAACCCCAGTTTCGTGAGCCTCGGACTCGTGTCCCCGCTCAAGAGAATCGGCAGAGCTCCCTCATTCTCTCTTTCTACACCTTCTGCACACTTTCTACAGACTTACTCCCTCTATCTCTCTCCTCCTCCCTTTCCAATTATATTCTGTACAAAGGTCTTCATTGTAAGCTTATCTCCTCCCCCTTCTTCTCCCGTCTAACGTGTCAAGGTTACATCCGCTCCCATTCTTCTTTGGCTCGAGTATATACGAAAACCAACTCTCTGGTCCCTCTGGAACATGCAATAGTGGAACGTTCTCTCACGGACTGCGCTTTCCACTACACCTCACATGGATCCCTCCGTCGCTCATAGGCCATGGGTGGCCGTCTCAGGGCCGCAGACGCCCGGTTCGACACAAACCCTGCCCTCGATCTCGACCCTCACCGCGAACATGCCTGGAACTGGAGCCCCGGAGAAATCACCAGGTGCATCACTGAATACGATCGAACGCGATTCGGGGAATTGGTCTATGCCGCAAAGCACAAGTAGGAGACCCTCGCCCGGCACGGAGTGGGAGCGGCGCGGTGCTGACCCTGTAGGATCGTCCACCTACTCTACGACCACCAATGGCACCGGCAACAACTATCCCTCCCTTAGCTTCATTGCCTCGTCGCAACCCTCTCCGAATCGCACTCATCCGGCCGTCGACCGCTCTCCCTTCGCCCATGATCAATCAACGACACCTTCCTCCGCCGGCGCCCAGCCATCCCCGAACTTTAACACCCCTCAACCCAACTCCACCCTCCCCTCCATCAACCAGAACTACGAAGCGCCCTCGCAACGGGCGAGTGTCGCAGAGACCGAGTCGCGCCGCAGCAGCGTGGACAGCCGTATGAACCAAGGCATCAGCTCTCTCGCGATCAACCCGGCCTCCCCCTACCACAGCACCAATGCCTCCCAGTCCTCGATCGTATCGAGTCTGCAACGGGAGCGAGGCATCCCGACCGACATGAATTCATACCGGGGCCCTCGCTACTCAGGGGGCAGCCAGCCTCTGTCGCCTTTGGGCCCGCGCCCCGGGGAGCATCGAAGTTTTGCAGCCGGTCGCACGGCTCCCGCCATTCAATCCAACCCGCGGTCGGAAATTTACAACGCTGAAGCTCCCACCGCGGGTATGGCGTATGCCTTCCCTGACCCGGACATGGCGCGCTCAAGCTCGGTATCCTCCAAGGGAGAATCCAATCCCCCATTCTCCCGAAAAGGCAGTACCGCGGAGTCGCTCAGCAGTATGTATTCCGAATCGCGGATGCCGCGCGGACAGCACGGTAAGACATCTTCCCCCGGCCTATACCCGTCGCATACTGATTTAGTAGACCTGCCCCAAAACGTACACCACCACTCCTTGCAACACAAGGCAGTCCGCGACTTGATCGGCGAGGAAGACACACCTCCCGGCAGCACCCCCTACAGCCGAACGCCGGAACTGCGCGTAACACATAAACTCGCAGAGCGTAAACGCCGCAGCGAAATGAAAGATTGTTTCGAATCCTTGCGTCTACGCCTGCCATCAGGCCAAACCAACAAATCCAGCAAATGGGAAACCCTCACGCGCGCCATCGAGTATATAAATCACCTCGAGAAATCAATGGGCCAGGTGCGCCGCGAAAACAATGCCCTGCGCGATGAGATGGAAGCCATGCGCGCCCAGCTGAGCCAAGCCAATGGCCAACCCCGACAGCCATCCATCTTCGAGCACCACCCCATGAACGCACAGCAGGCCAATGGCCATGGCCAGACCCAAGGTCCAGTCTTTGGCTTTGCGAATGGTGCGCCTGTGGCGCAGGAGCAGCCGCGTACTCTACCGCCGCTTATGAATGGATCGGTTGCGCCTATGCAGGGTATCCAGTATACCGATGAGCGGCGGTAGTGATGGCGCTTAAAGGAGAGGCTTTCCCTCTCACTGCTGGAGCCTATGGATGAGAAATGACTAGTCATGCTGCAAAACTCCCAACGACTTGTTTTCCTTTGTTCTCGAGGTATATTCCTTTTAGATGCGACGATCGACACTCGATCCGTTCATATGTTTTTGCTTTACCACGGAGTGGTTTCTGTTTTTTATGTTCTTCATACCCGCAATCGTCTTTGTCTTTTAGATTTCCTAGGGTTATTCCCATATTGCAGAGAATGTCTCTGGGCTGGGATTGGAATGGGGTTAGGGAATATGGAAGGGATATGGAATATGGGATATCTTCTTTACTCGACTCCGAGTGTGTATCAATTGACAAAAAGGCGCCGATGCGCTGAATCACAACTATAACCTCTTGGTATATCCCGCTCAACCTTATAATTAACATTCAAGTTTCAAGTAAAAACAGACAGTTTTACCTTAATTTTATAATCTTATTATATCATAAGAAACAATTCTATTTAAAGAAGTTCCGGCATGATTGGTGGTTGGAAGCGCCCAACCAGGCCCGGCGCGTAACCAACGGCCTCCAAACAGGCACTACATCCAATCCATCGCACGCATCTGCCACCCATCCAATAGCGGGACTTGAATCAGGCTAGCCCTGCAGAAGGATGTCTGGGATAACTGCAGAAAAGCAGCTGTAACAATTGTCATTGGAGGTTAGCGCCCGACAGAAACAGATCGACATGTTTAGCTTGGAGCTCCCAGTGCAGATGAATGAACGCTGTGCAGAAATAGAGCTTTCTTTTACTCCGTGGCATTTCTAATTCTAAGTTCAGATATTATCCGGTTCTTCCCTTTCCTTTGTTGTCCATTTCCTTCCCTTTTGTCGCTCATTGTTGCATATCAATAGACTCTTTCATTTGTCTATTATTGCCGTTTCACAGCACCCATTGTTCCATTTGCGGGATAATATTAATAGATATTTCTTTATTGCTTTTCATCTTCTGCCTTGCATCTTCCTGTCTGTGCAACTTCGTTCATCTTTCATCTACCGATATCGCGTTGACACATGGTATAGTCGCAACCCTAACCTCGACGCAACGATCACGACTGTGAGCCAAACTAATACGCTCTTTGCACATTGATAGTCCTCTGAGACAACACCAAGATGCCTCTCAAACAAAAGCCACAGCCACAACTCCACGTTCCAGTGCTCACATTCCCTCTTTCATCACCTATCAGCGAAGAAATCGAAAGTCCACCCTGCTCCTCGGCAGAAGACCACGAGGAAGAACATAATCGACCCTTTGCCTTTCTATCCAAAGCCACTCGGCAGAAACTCGAAGCCAAAGCTAGCAAAGATGGGACTGGGACTACGAATCGTTCGCCAACTTTCCCACAGATCTCGAAAGTGAACATTCGCGGTATATCCAAGAAACGGAAAAGTGTCGCAAAGCCTTTAGGTTTGAACCTTGTGACGAATTTTATACTGGCGCCGACGCCAGAGAAAAGAGGAACAAGCCAAGAGACAGCTGCTGCACCATTCGTCGATCTAAACGATCTCAAGCTCCTCTCGAAAGTACGAGAGAGGGAACGCACAGCACAGAAATCAAAAGAGACATTCAAAAAGCGAGCCTCGCGCGGGTTTCAACGGTTACCCGATGAACAAACAAAAGAACAGACGCAGTATGAAGGCTCATTCCTCAACCAGCAACTCGAAAGCGCAGACACTTTCCATGATAGACACGAACATGGCCTCTCACCTTCAGACCGCCATGTCATGATTGGACTTACAGTTCCAACGAGCGAGTCTATGGATCGAGCGAAGGAACTTGATGATCAACATACACCACTTACACCCTCGATCATCGTCACGCCTGCCAGAGAAGAGGCGCCCTGGAACACGCACTCAAATTCGAGTACTGAGGCACTGCGTCCGCCACGAGTTGCGTCTAGCGTATACTCCCAGCCTACGCCGCGTCTTTGGCAGTTTGAATCGGATGTCCCGCCTGTCCCTGCAATCCCGGCACAGCATTTTGCTAAGACGAAGGGGTCGGAGGGTGGATTCCTCAGCACGAACCTTATAATCGATTCCGGGAAGCGTCCTGCATCTATAACATCGACAGTCTGGGAAGATGACAGTCCTCGCGGAGAGAGTCCACCTACAACCGCAAAGTCGAGCACCGCCAACATCAACACCAACACCAGCCCCCAGAAAAAGAATATAAAAAACAACCCCTTCACAAACGCAAACCGCCTCAGCGTCAACACAGAAACAGACCGCCCAACCTCCCAAGGCTGGTGGACGTACCTCCTCTCCCCATTACTAGGCCGCCCAAGCAAATCACCTCTAAGCCCATCCTTCCCCCAAAGCCAAGACTCGCCCTCATCCTCAGCCTCAACACCATCGCCTACAACAACCCGCAAAGAATCAAGGTGGTGGGCACGAGAAAAGGAACGCTACAAGGAAAAAGAAATCTCCTGCTTTTCACCTGATACACCCGAAACCGCTGCACCAATGGGTGAGAAGAACTTTGAGCAGATTCGCGGGATTGATACTGAAACTACAAACATGCATGGCCAACAATCCTTCCCAGATCTAGTCCCAGATCATGATCCTGCACCCGCATATGAATTCGCAACTGCACCCGCCCCTAGACAACAGACCATGTCCTTTATGTTTGGCGGTGGACAAACGATCCAGGGTGAAGCAGCTGAATATTATCAAGCCTGTGCGCATGAGTTGTTTAGTAAGACGCCTTATTTTGAGTGCGTTGGGCATGTTTGTTCTATAACTCCTATGGTCAATACTGGAGCTGGAGTTATCGGTGAGACGAGAGATCTTACGGACAATGGGGGGAGTCATGGGTTGGCGATTGTTGCTGTTGATGAGAGCGGTCGTGGGGTTAACCCTAACTCTGGCTCTACTCTTGATCCTACGAGGAACTCGAATACTGCGACTAAGGACTCTGGGTTGTTGATTGATATTGATTCGCCGAAGCCGAAATCTGTCATCAGTGGTGCTGGTGTTGGTGCCGATGCCGGTGCCAGTGCTGCGAGTGCAAAGGAGGTATTGCTTCACTCACCAGCTTCGGATGCTAGTTCTGATTCTTGGGATTCATCTGTTGTCGACGTTCAAGAGAAAGGTGCTGTTGCTGAGCAGGCTACAAGAGAGGTTCCAGCTGTTGTTGAGCATCAGCCTCCTACTCCTGCTCCTGCTCCAGCGCCAGTTGCAGTTCCAATGCCAGAGCCCCAGCCTGCGCCTGCACCAATCCCAATGCCAGAGCCTCAACCTGCTCTAGCTCCTCCACAGGTCATCACCAATATTTCGCCCCCAGTTGTGCATTATCCTCCGCATCCACCACAGCCGCAGGGACAGTCGGTTCAGCCTATTATTGTGCCTCAATATATTCCTGTTTACCCTCCTGGTCAGCCTGTACAGCCAGAACAGCCTGCGCCTGTGCTTCAGGAGCAGCAGCCGCTGGAGCAGACTCGTGAAATAGCGAGCCCACCACAGACTGGACCTGCTTCTCAGGGTCTGTCGTCTGGTTCAGATTGGCCGTGGCCATATGGTCAAGAGGTAAAGGTACCTGTTCAACCTGCTCCTTCTATTCGGGAAGTACCCCGTGGAGTTGAAACTGATCGACAGGCCCATGTCCCTCAGACTATACAAGTACCTCAGATGGCAGAGCCACAGCCACAAGGAACTGAGTGGATGTATGGACAGCGAAGGCACTTGCAAGCACCGCTTGTGGTCCAGGGACGGGAGTCCGGATCTGGATGGCCATTTTCACACCGTCAACAGCAGCAACAAGCTGCTCCACCTCTACCTCAGGCTCCACCTCAAGGATTTGAGTGGGCTTATGGATATCAGGGACAACAAAATTCACCTGCTGGTCAGGCCCAGGCCCAGGCCCAGCCCGATGAAGCAGAACCGCTGCATCGACAGCAGCAGGCGCAAGTACAAGCACAGACTTTGCCTCAGGAACGGCAACGAGAGCCTGAGTCGCCAAATGGCGAGCGGGGACAACCACAGGGTATTTCTGTTGCTCAGGAACAAGAACCACTCACCCTTCTGGCACAACCTCAGGGACCTGGATTAGCACCCCGCCAAGCCCCGGCATCTGAACCAATCTCTCCGGGATTCCAGCGCGCAGCTGGAGGACCGGGCTCAATCCCTATGGCTGACATGCAAGCTCCAGCTCCAGCATACACCCAGTTTCCCAGAGATGCCCCTCTCCCGCCACGATATGATGTTCAACCACGCTATGCTCCCCATGCAGCTGGTGGAGCAACAATTGTCAATCCAGGTGGTGCAATTGGGCCTTACGAGACTCGACGCCGCAGACTGGAAAGAGAAGACGCAGCTGGACGCAAGGCTGGTGGTCTATGGCGTGGCCGAGGCCCATTCAGCAAGAAAGGCTGCTTTGGACGTCCAGGACGTGAAGGCCGAACTCGACGAAGATGGTACTTGGTTATCTTTCTCTTCTTTTTTATCATTGTGGTCCTTGCCATTGTGCTTGCAATTACACTGACCAAAAAGGGAGATCCAACTCCTGTTCAATCACAGTGGCTCAATCTCACTGGATATCCTCCTATGCCAACAGGTATTGCGACTCTTGCTGGAACTGAGCCCCAGGTCCAAAAATCAACTTGCATTACGCCCTCATCGATGTGGAGTTGCGCTTTGCCCAAGAGCCAGCAAGAAGCCAATGAGCCGTTTAATGCGGATCAGCCTAACTTCCGAGTATCAATCTCATTCCGCAATGGGACATACGACAACAGCACAACTGTCGGTTCGAACTCGACACAGAGTCAACGGAGAAGGAGTGACTTGTTCAATCCATCCCCTGCAGCTCCAAGCAATGCAGACCAAGCCTTCATAGGCCAATACACAGACAACAACAGCGCACCCTACAGTGGCGAGGAAACACCTTTCTACATGTCCATGCTCTCCCCAATATCCCTCTCGTCGACAAACCTCTACCGCCGCTCCACAGACACAAACAGCACCCTCTTCCCAAACCTCACATCCGTAATTCCACCCCCAGACGAAAATGCCGACGGCTCAGCCGCAGCAGCAATGCTCTATCCACTCCCAGCCTCCCAACCCATCAGACTGTACAACCGAGGCCAACCAACAGAGCACTACGGCTTCTACACCTACTTCGACAAATCCATCTACCTAACCAGCCAAACACAATCCGAGCCAGCAGACTCACCAGGTGGAACCAGCAGAGCAGACTCAAAATACCGCTGCACCTGGTCGCAGACCCGCTTCCTCGTCCAAATTTGGACTCAACCCGACAAAAGCGTCCGTCGCCTCCTCCCATCCACTAACACAACAGCCACAGCCACTTCAAAAGCTGCAACATCCACTTCCACAAACAAAGCAACATCATCCTCGTCCGCAACGAATTTCTCCCGTCCCGGTTCATTCCCATACCCGGTTACAATAACAATCGACCGCCACGGCGGCGCGGATAAAAAGAAAATGGTATATTGTTATGCCATGGAGGATGACGGCCATTACAATATCACAGCTGTGCAGTTGCAATTGGAGGATCGGGCTGTTGGGGGTGCGGTTATTAATCCTGCTGGTGGGATCTTCGAGAGCTTGAGTCAGGTTAAGGAGGCTAATTCTACGGAGTATGGGGGTGTTGATGGTGGTACCGGTGGGTGTCAGTGTCAGTATGTTAATTGGATTGCTACGGTTTAATGGGGATCTGGATGGTGGTGGTGGTTCATGAAACTGTATGTAATTATGACTTGCTATCTTTTTATGAAAAGCTTTCCGATTCCACTTCTTTGATTCATATTTGAGTATTTTGGCTTCTTCGAGTGCCAATACAATTTTATTGGTCTGTAGGTACTGGAATAGTGTATCCTTTTCTCGCAGAAACCTGATCTAAACAGTCCAACGACCAATTCCAACTCCAACACTCATCCATAACATCTTTTATTGCACAATCTACTCACTCGCAACCAACACTGATCTATCTTTATATCTCAATCTCACAATATCCGTAGGTGGGGGTAAGTCGAGAGCCCCACACTCCAGAAGCGTCAAGATAGAACTGACCTCAAACCCTAAATCAAGATCGATCCAAACCTTAACTTTATGCTCAACACCCCCGTTAAACTACCCACAGCACATGTACACGCCATTCAAGGCTTTTGACATGATCGAAAGGGTGCTATTAATAAAGTATGATCATGAGAGTACCCACGGTTACATTTTCGCCACTGAGGTCCTGGGATTAAAGTTTGGCACGAGAAGTCTATGAGCAATACAGTCTACTTAGAGAGGAAGTATAGCAGAGATTTCGGGAGGGGGAGCTCAGGGGGTATTTGCAGGGCCCTGGGGTTCTGCTCTTTTGGTTTTCATGTTCCCTGTCGTTTTCCTTGGTCGGTTGTCAGTTACTGGAGGTTATTTGATTCTGACTTTTTGTAACCATGAACGTGTTGAATTTGTCTATTTGGCTGCTTGATTGAGTAGACTGATTTGCATTAATGATTTGAATGAACAATTGATCCAAAGACTTTTTTTGACATTAACATTATATATTAGATATGTATTGAAAACAACCCAAAAATCAAAGACAGGATAAAAGCGCAGAATAAGCAGTCATATCCCCAACGCCTGTTTGAAGAGCCCGGTATCTCTCGCTCTCTGGTATTCCAATCCAATCATGGACAGCAGCCAGTAATCAAACCAAAGATATCAGGGAGAGAAAGGACCCATGCTCAACAAAACTAAACTCCGAATATTAGAGGCGAGGTATCTATGCAAGGAGCATAAGACCGTAGACCATGACAGCACCGGCGGCACCGACCTGGGGAACGGAAACCTTGGAGCCGGGGTTGGAGGGAGTGAAGCCAGTAGCGCCGGGGCCGGCAGGGGTGGTGCCAGCGCCGCCAGCACCTCCAGCGCCGCCAGAGGGGCCAGCACCAGGGCCAGCACTAGGGCCAGCGCCGGGGGCGCCGGAGCTAGCGGCAGGGGTCCTGCTGGGGACAACCACGGGGATGGTGGAGCTACCAGTTTGGCAGGTGAAGCAGGGGGCAGTCGAGGTAACGATTGCGGTGCCGTTATTGCCCTGGGTGCCGTTGTTGGGGGTGCCGGTCATGATGGGGTGGGTGCCGGTCTGGATGCCGGTGCGATGGGCGGTGGCGGTACCGGTGGCCTGCTTGTTGATGACACTCTTGCCGTGGACAGGGGGCTCGTGCTCCTTCTGGGCAACACCGGCAGAGACACCGGCGGCGAGGGCCAGGACGGCCACGGAGGGGGCAGTGAAGTACATTTTGTTTGTCTGGCTTGAAAGAAAAGCGATTGGATCAAGAAGTGTTGCTTCCTGTCTGAACGAATGAAGGAGCTAGATGGCAGGTTAGTATGAGCTGAAGAGAGTTGAGACTTGGAGTCTCATAGAGCGAAGCTTACCTAGGGTAATTATGCTGATGCGATGGGAAGGGAAAGGAACTCAGGCCAGTGGCGATGAGGAAGGGATTCTTATAGACATCGTGAGCTGTCCAAATCCGGCCCATAGATCAATTAAAGTTATCGATGACGAGAAGAGAATTTTCACAGGAACATGTTCCTCTGCTGTTCCTGCCCTGGCTATGGTCAGAGGAACCAGATTTTCATATCGCGATTTCCGCATGCGGGTATGTCACACTGGGCACTGGGGCTCCGGCCGAAATTTATCGTGCAACCCTGAGGCGACGATCGGCGTTCGTCCGGCGCCGACAGCGTCATGAACTCGCGGGCGAACGGTGGAGCCAGGAGTATGGATCACGTGATATGTGTTCCCAAATAGGAAGTTGGCCATCGCATGCGGACAGCCAGGTTCAAGCCACCACGCCAGTGAGGCATTCCAGACGGATCAACACCCAGCTGTCACAATGGATTTGTGGGGATTCTTTGTTCGTGAAATCTTTTCAGGAAGATTCGACAAAGACACGTTGTCCGAAAGTCATGCAGGGTGTCTCCAGACAATGGCTGGAGACTATCTCCAAGTCTCCCGACTCGCTGAGACGCCGGGAGCAAGCTTCTTGGAACTTTTAATGAGGCTTGGAGGTACCATAATGCACTGGGTCTTGGTCATGGGACTCAGTACCCTCCGATTATAAAGACAGGTGGAATCGCACTATACATTCGCTGCTAGCGCTTTGCGCTACTTCCAAATTACCATATGAAGAGAATCGGAACAACCACAGGCAGTGGTATCATGCATCTCGGGGGCTTCGGGGCAGACAGTATTGCATGGAGCAAGACGTCAGACTACCTCCCTGTAGGGCTGCTGACTTAGCCAATCGCCCACTGGGCATATACTGCATTCAGCATGTCAGTTTGCATCAATACAGCTAACTGTAGTGAATAAATGCTTGAGGATCTGTCGTCTGTAACCCCAGGGATCTTTGTCGAGGAATGTTAATTGCGTTGCTTCCTGACGCACGATCATTCGAACTGTTGACATCTGCAATCCCAAAGTTAGGAATGTGGCTGCCACGGACTGTCAGCATAATTCCGCTTGAGGAAGATGACACCTCTTGGCAAGTCTTGTCTTTGTTCTCAGCTCCCTGTGGGGTATTTGGGGTATTTTCTCAGCAGAACTGGAGACGGATGTGGAATTACATGTAGTCATTTGCTGTTGACAAGTTTAGTGTTGCACGCGGATAATCCAAATGCTCAAGGCGAAGGGATGGAACCGCGTCTGTTTGTGTGGGGATGAGATAGAGCTGCAAAAAAGTATACAGTAAACAACAAGTGTAGGCTCCAGTAAGGATAGACTCAGCAGGCGACACTTCCATAAGTGACTCTTGTGTTGAAGATGGTCTTATCGTGTCGGTCTTGGCGTTCTCGGGTCGATCTCCCTTGGCTTCTCCAACTCCGCTCTGTCACTGTCTTCATGTATTCATAGGCTGAGCTATGCGTCGCCCAGACCTGAGTCCTTCACTTCTTCATCCTGCGAACTATGACAATGACGCCTCGTCATTGCGGTCGCCCTCCGAGCAGGACTCCGACTCCGACGACGATGCCCTCCTTCATCAGAACCGCAGTACCTTGGAGATTGCAGAGCACGACCGCGCGGTCCTGGAAGAGGAGGAGGAGTTAGAGAATCTCTTAACCAGGCGAGGCGCTGGACAGGGGCTGCGGAGGATGTTCAGCCCGCATAGTGCCAGTGTGAGAATCGGGAAAAAGAACAAGGAGCGCCGACCGCGGAGGAATTCCCGCCGGGAGAGAGTCAGCGAGGATGGTGAATTGATGTACGAGATGGAGGAAGGGATTGGCGATGACAATGCCTCTCTATTGAGCGGGTCGTCGTTGGATTTGGATGGGAAGGACGAGTACACATATGACCCGGTAAGCACCTACTACAAATACCTACACTTCCCTGGCTAATGTGTTCACTACCTAGCCTACGCGGCCTTCATGGAAAAAGTTCTTGTTCATTGGTGCCCTCGTCGTCATACTCTTCTTCATCCTCGTCCTTGGGGCGTACAAAGCCTCAAGTGACTTCCGAGCTTCTCGCGCCCAGCCTATACCCGTGCTCTCGAATGGCACCGCACTCTTCGCGCCTACCACGATCGTTATCTCACTCGATGGTTTCCGAGCCGACTTCCTCGACCGCGGCCTGACCCCTGCGCTCAACTCCCTTATCGCGAATGGCGTCTCCCCGCAATACATGACCCCCAGCTTCCCGAGTGTCACCTTCCCGAACCATTTCACGCTCATGACCGGGCTATATCCCGAGAGCCACGGAGTTGTGGGAAATACATTCTGGGATCCGGAGCATGATGAGGAGTTTATCTCCACTCATTCATCTATCAGCATGCAGCCCAAGTGGTGGAATGCTGAACCGCTCTGGGTTACAGCTGAAAAGCAACGTGTGAAGACTGCCATTCACATGTGGCCCGGATCAGAGGCACACATCTCAGACAGGGAGCCAAGTATTGTTGACAAATACAATGCGACAGAAGAATTGTCCCGCAAGGTTAATCGAGTTTTGGAACTTTTGGATCTCCCAGGCCTTGAGAATGAGTCGCAGGTGGAACCTGAGCGCCCGCAGTTTATCGCAGCCTACGTCCCAAATGTGGATAGCCACGGGCATAAATTTGGACCCAACAGCACTGAGATTCGGAAGACAATAAGTCGAGCGGATAGCATGGTTGCCGACATCATGGCTGGTCTTGCTCAGCGAAACCTGACAGATGTGGTCAATATTGTTGTTCTATCAGACCATGGGATGGCTACGACATCCACAGAAAGAGTCGTCCAACTAGACGACCTCATTGACTACAATCTGATTGAACACCGCGACGGGTGGCCATCTATTGGTATTCGCCCGAAGCGGCCAGAAGATCTGCCAATCCTGCAAGCACAACTGGAGAAGGTAGCCCCAGATTGGGAGCATGCGTTCGAGTTCTACACAAAGGAGACAATGCCGGAGCGCTATCACTTCTCGAACAACGACCGCATTGCACCACTGTGGGTCATTCCGAAGACAGGCTGGGCCATTGTCGATCGGTCAGAATGGGACGTCGAGGCAGCTTTGAAGACTGGGGAAGCTTATTACCCCAGAGGTATTCACGGTTATGATCATGAGCATCCGTTGATGCGTGCCATTTTCATTGCGCGTGGTCCAGCTTTCCCGCATCAGCCTAATAGTCGAGTTGAAGTGTTCCGTGAGTGTCTTTTTACTGCTGATTGATATCTGAGCTAATGAGGTCATTCAGAAAACACCGAGGTGTATAATATTCTTTGCGACTCACTGGGCGTAGACCCTCGTCCGAGCAATGGCACTCTGCGTCTGCCATTTAAGCCCATCGGGCGCCATTCCGACGAAGATGCTCCAGTCCTGGATACACCTCCTGATCCACCAGCTCTGGTTCAGACTTCTGCAACAGTAGAACCCTCAACATCGGCACTGGCACCAGCGCCACAACCTATCACTCCATCTGAGACACCACCTGCTACCGACAATGATAAAGATAATGACAGTGACAATGATAACGGTACAACCTGGTGGGACTCAGTTTGGGACAAATTAGATGATTTCAAGCATTGGGCTGGCGGTGTTGCTGATGCTATCAAGGGTAATCACCCAGAGTCTCAGGGCTGATGCTTTGGATCTATCTACATTCCGTCCGGTTGGACCTTGCTGTATTTTGAAGATACCCACATTTACGTATATATAATGTTTAGACTTAGATCAACGATCTCACATATCCTTGTGACTCCACTCCCGGTATCTGGCTCCTTTGAGATGCTCGTGCAACCTGCGCTTCCTATAGTTCTGGACGCTTCAGCATCTTTTTATCTGTTTCATTGGTGGAAGATAATATTATTTGCATAGAGATTCTTAAATTCCTTGCTTGAATATGTTTCCCACAGGAGGGAATATATGCCCAAGATATATATCTGGATGTTGTCGTAAAATCCGGTACTCATCAGGTTACGAGAGACTTTATTTTTCCATAAGCATCAATTACACCAGAGTCTAAAAAAACAAAATCAAGAGAGACTGAAAAAGGAGAAGGTTACAGTAATGAGCTCCTTTCGTACTGTTCGTGGGCTGCAGGTCCGAGTGTGTTTTGGCAGTATCCTAACATAGGATCCTGTCCATATTGTCAAAGATGGCCATATACGATATCAACCAGCCAAGTGGTCGAGCAGTAACTCGGTCATTCAGTCTTCCTTGGTCTAGTGGTGATGATTTCCGCTTGTCATTAACACCGATAAGCGCGGGAGACCGGGGTTCGATTCCCCGAGGGAGAGTTTCTTTTTGCACTTCTACTTTATATATTGGTATATGTATGAGCTAATTTTTTTTTTTGGGCAAATTTTCTAACCTGGACAATGCTCAGTTACTCAATTGACTCAAGGTTGACATTCTGCCTGTGACACCATACGGCCCAGCTACGCACTGCGCCTTCAGACCAATGAGTCAAGGCCAGCCAGCAGCCGCAGCAAGCAAACACCTCATGGCCAATCAAACCCGCGAGGCCATGCTAGGCTTGTGGGTGCAGCTCTCAGCCAGAGAAATCCTCATCCCCGGGCTCCGAATCGGGTGTCCGAGCGCAACTGATGCCTAAACCCAGATGAGGCTCTTAGTTTGGCAATTGTATAAAAGATGCTTGACATGGCTTGCTAAACATATTCATCCAGGGCGTTTTCCCTCTACCATCTCTTTTTCTTTTCGTCTCTATCCTTCCCCCTTCTCAATTTCTCAAATCGTCCTCTTCACCCAGTTCCTGTTGTAGCCGATCAATCATGGTATCCAACCAAACATACCCTACGGTGACAGGGCCGCTGTCCCCGTCCGAAACAGCGATGCTGGAGGTGCTTGTTCCCGGTTATGGCTTTATATCACGTATTTTGATGTCATACCTCAATATCGACATCAATGCCTACATCCAACTAGTGGTCGCAATGGCCGTCTTCGCCGCAAGTTTCCGATACATCTACAACCAAGCCTCAGCACGCTTCAGTCAATATTTTGTATCAAGAGCCGAAATCCGCCTTGACGATGAGATTTTCAACTACCTGATGTATTGGATCTCACGCCAATCCCACATGAAACAAACGAATCAGTTTGTGGCAGGCATCAAAAGCAACGGATACTGGAGTGACGACGAAGACTCAGATGCCGGCGACGAAGATGACAACTGGGACAAGCTAGGCGATGACGGAAAGCTTGCCTCATTTGATGACTGCTGGGAAAAGGTGCTCAGCCGCGACAAGTACAAGACTCTCCGTTTCACCCCAGCACAGGGCTGCCACTACTTCTGGTACCGCAACCGGCCCCTCATGCTGGAGCGACAACGCCAGGAAGGGAGCGCACGCTGGGTACTGAACAACGAGCGACTCTACCTATCATGTCTCGGTCGGGACCCGACCATCCTCAAGATGTTGCTGGCGGAAGCGCAGCAGGCATATGTCGAGCGCGATGGTAACCTCACCGTCATTTATCGTGGCCAACGACCATGTGCTACCTCTCCATATGATTGGTATCGGGGCATGGCTCGGCTACCGCGTCCTCTTTCAACTGTTATCCTAGACCAGGAACAGAAACAGTCCTTTATTGATGATATCAAAGAGTACCTGCACCCTCGTACCCGTCGCTGGTATTCTAACCGTGGTATCCCATACCGACGTGGATACCTCTTCCATGGTCCCCCTGGGACTGGCAAGACGAGTCTATGTTTTGCTGCAGCAGGCCTGTTGGGGTTGAAGCTTTACCTGCTTAATCTCAATTCCACAGCTTTGGACGAGGATGGTCTCGCGTCTCTATTTGCAGCCCTGCCGCGGCGGTGCATTGTGCTTCTTGAAGATATTGACGCGGCAGGCATTACCAGCACTCGGGGCAAGACTATTGTTTCAACCCCAGAGCCCACGATCGACGAGGGCATCCCAGGTGAAGCAGATGGTGAAGCTGACGCGACTGTTGTCCCCGACGCACCTGCCAAAGGCGGTGTCACACTCTCGGGCCTTCTGAACGTTATTGATGGCGTTGCTGCGAGCGAGGGCCGGATCCTCGTGATGACCACGAACCACGCCGACAAGCTGGACCCAGCTCTTCTCCGACCTGGTCGTGTTGATATGACCATCAACTTTGGGTACACCAGTGAAGCGGACATCAAGGAGATGTTCATTTCTATATACAACACAACGAAAAATGATATCCGGCGTGCGAAGAGACCACGAACGACCAGCAATGGCGCTGCCAAGTCTTCAGCCAAGTCTATTACAGGGGAGAGGAGGAATTCTGAAGACTCCCAGGTTGGAGATAAGAAGGATCCATTGCAGGACGCTCTTCAATCCCTTCAATCGCGCATTTCACATCTTGCTGATGAATTTGCCGCTATTGTTCCCAGTGGAGAATTGACTGCTGCTGAGATCCAGGGTTATCTTCTTAACCATAAGGAGATTCCTGAAGCGGCGATTCAGGGTGCGCCGGGATGGGTGCAAAGCACATTGGAGAAGAAGCGTGCGAGAGAGGAGAAGGAGAAGTTTTCTTAGTTGCTTTTATGGATAGATGGATACCCAAAATGAACCAAATAATACGATATTGCTACGCTTGAACTCTTTTTTGGCTGATTTTAAATTACGTTATTTGGTGTGCCCTTCCAGAAGGTCAAACAGGGAAAATATGACTTCCTATAAAACGAGTGTCATTGGTATCGTATAATCCTTCAAAATCTGGGGTATATCATCAGAAGCGACAGGACTTCCCAAAAATATCAAAATGCAAAACTCCAATCGCACGAATCATGAAAGAAATAAAATAAAACTATAGCACTCAAGCAATAGCCGCCGTCTTCCCATTCAGAGTCACATCAGCCACATACATGCACCGATCAGTCCTCGCCTCAGTACAGAAACCATGGAACAACATCCGATCACCACACCCACAAACATTCCCACCACCAGGCGAAAGAAGCCCGGAATTCTGAGCATTGATCAAAGGAACATTCGTCTTAGTATAAGGACCAGTAATACTGCTAGCAGTAGCCCAGCGCACATCATACTTAGGATCAGTAAAGCAATGCGTAGAATAAAACAAGAAATAAGTATCACCATGCAGAATCAGATTCGGCGCCTCAACAAGCGGCCCATCATTATCGGCCGTGGACCGATCAAGAATCTGCACCGCATCACCGATGGGAGTAACACCATCAGCAGCGACCTTCTGCAGCAAGATCGGCGTGCCAACTAATGGCTCGATGCCGTTGTTGCAATCGCCGCCGTGACCGACGCTGTTGCCGTCGACTTTGAACACGACGTATCGGCTTCCGTCTTTGTCTTTGAATCCGGCTGGATCGATTGATCCGCCGCGGTCCAATCGACAGGAGAGAGGCGTGTTGCTTGGGACGTATGGTCCTGCGGGTTTGTCCGCTACGGCTGTGCCGACACAATGGTGGCCCACGTTTGATTTGGCTTCGCCTGAGTAGTACATGACATACTTCCCGTCATCCTGGGTTTGATTAGCGGTGTGTTTTGTTTTTGATTGGGGTTTCGCATTTTCTCGGAGACCGAGGTGAGGCTTACCCGGAGGACTACGTCTGGAGCCCAGTGGTCTCGGTCTGTTTCCCAGGTTGAAAGAGTTGGGAGGGCCTCAACGTTCAGCAAGGTCCATGTCTTGAAATCATCAGACCTTGCGACTTGAATACGCTTGCCATTCCCATTCGTGCCGAAAGCGTACCATTTGTTATCGGCTGCTTTCATGAAACTCGGGTCTGGGAAGTTGGTGTTCAGACCTAGCCAGGCACCCTTTGCTCTCTTTGAGATGATAGGCGAGCCGAGGACGGCGGGGAGCAGGGATAGGGTTAGAGCAACCCACGTGGAAGGGGAAGTGAACAAGGAGGACAGCATGCTGAACAGCTAATCAGGGGAAAGAAGAGAGCAAGAACAAAGACGCAGATCATGAAGATCGGAACATAATCGTCGGGGAGGGAAGGGAAGCACTTCTTATATGTCAGATTTCTACCGCTGTTGGCAGTGAGACAAGGCTCGCATTGGATTTAAGGTACCAAGAGACGCCCGATGTCAGACTACAGCATCGGGTCTGCTTGGCTCAAAGAGGGTTTGGGGCAGAGAAGGGAGAAGTAGCCGCACGCCTGATATGGAGATCCGTCAGGTGGCACCGGGACTCGGCGAAGACTAATTTGTACAGACCAGTCATGGATGAGCCCGTGCTGGTGCATTATGCTGATCTATCAGTCGGGGGGAATGAGAGGGCTGCATGGGAGAGTAGTCGAAAGCTAAAGCATACAGTGCAAGGCGAGACCAGGAATCGAGGGCTGCATGCGTTGGTTCGAGTGCACAAAGAAGAGGGTGGGTCTGTTTGACCTCGGTATTTTATTCTTGTGATTTCTTTGATTTTAGAATTCTTTTAGTTGATTCCGGAAAGGACTGGGCATCATGAGACGAGGAAGATGACTGGATGAATGTGATGCACGAACACGTTGGCGGCTACATCCATGTCGATTTCCATCGGTTAGGTCTAGTGTGATGCGGATTCATTCCGAGAGATGCATTTTGGTTGAGACGTCGCTAATGGTTAGTTAGCTGCAAGCAAAATGTCATAGGTCCACATTTGGAGATACTCGGGCTGAGTTCGGCTGTGAAAAGCCATGGTAGACAATTATTAGGGCGGCAGATCCTCCGCGGGGGACTAAGAGCTAATCTGCATATACTGGAGTGCTGATCGATCCAATCGCCAAGTTCGGCCAAACGGAGTAAGACAAATCGATTGGGCGGTGGGTGGCTGACGGATGTCGATCAAGACCAAAGCTTGGAAAGTCCATTAACAAGATGTGTGCCTTGAATATGAGTGTCATATCATTGGTGCGAGCCAGAGCAGAAAAGTACAGAGCTATCCGATGCAAGGGCGAAAGGCCCCTCGCAACATCGCACAGGACATACTCTGTACATCGATAACAGACTCGGGCTTGATTAACATGCATAAAAATGGATGCAGCAAGACATATGGATATCAGACATCTCACCCCTTGGCGACCCAGACCGCCGCCATTTTGCTCCAAGGTTGTCTTTGATAGGCGGGAGTAAGGACAAGCGACCCCCAGGCCAGGGGTCCCAAGCCCTTGGCTACAGTTACACGAGAAGGGGTCATGGCCTTCCGACCGTGGCTTGTGGGGTGTGCTGGCACTCGTGGCCATCACACATGGCTAAGGTCACACTGTAAGAAATTAAATCCGTAGGTATCTATTCAAAAGTGATCAAATCTAGTCCCGATACTGGATAGTCCCAACGTTCGTGATCTTGTTTTTTGGTCTTTTACACTTCCGAGTACCACGGGTGCAATCCACACTATAGAACTAACAAAGCACGCATAGAAATTCTCAAGACAAAAGAAGTGACTGGAGTCATATCTTAGCTTGTCCGATTATATGGAGCTGAATACTATCCCTTGCAGCTCAAGATAAAGGAGAATCCCCCCAGTCCATGATAATAGATTGTGACATGTACACAGAGCAAACCCTGAAATCTCGTTGGTATCATAAATTCCAAATTTTGACGAAAAATCGAACAAAGTAAAGCCTGCCTAACCCATTTACCCCGCATAGCGACCGATGGAGGTCATGCTCGACCAGTCGGTGAAGACTTTCCACTTGAGGCTGAGGCTATGATGTCACCGGAAGCACTTCATCTACTAGTTTATAGATCGGCGGCACGCATGACAGGGAGGATAAGACCGGGATTTTATACCATGAAAATGCGGGGTGAACAGCGTCATTTGACTTTGACTTGAATGGCTAAGGCAAGGGCGTGAAATAGGAAGTTAAATTGAGCTGATGCCAAGCGCATCTAGCTGGTGCTCCTATGTAGTTTTTCCTCTGCCACTTCTTGGCTTTCCAAGAATCACAACTCTAGCCTGGCGCAGTGATGAGATTACGGCTGTGTAGAGGAGACCAGGCTGGCAAAGTCCAGGGGAGCTTGCAGTAACGGTCATGTTTTCGACCGTGAAACTGCCCTTGAACGAGGACGAAAGTCCTCCCAAAAGCTAAACCTGGTTCCACTTGCTCAAGAATCATCTATTGCTGGCCTCATTGAAGGCATCGGGGTTGAGCACCTACTCTGAGTCTCACCGTGGTCTGCGGCTGTCATTATATCAAATTCGGTACCGATAATGTGTAACGAGCTGAACCCTCGAATCACTAGAAATTCGAGATCCCCTTAATGCTGGTTTCGAGAAGATCCAAAGCAGCCGATAGGGAGCTTGCTTTATATCAAGAGCAGGCATGTTGTACGGTCGAGCTAATACTGCATAAGAGCAATGGAAAGGCGGCCAAAAGTGAGGTTGAGAACGAAATTGGTGAGACACCCCCTTATACAGTGCTTCCGAAGTCGGTGTCACCAGCTACACACTTTCAACCCAATGCCAAGAAACGCTAAACTACTTTTAGAATAACCCAAGAACACCCTCGGTTTTAGGCCTTGTATCGTCAAAAACCGGATAATTATATAATCTGGGCCTGTGCTTAAGTTAAGTTAATACCTGTTTTAGCTGGGCAGCTGCCCTACCTCTGTGCCCCACGTCCAGACACTTCTATCACGCCCCGTGTCTTCATTGGCGACCAATCACTCAAACTAGTACTGCAACAAACCATGGCTCCCGACATAACCAAATGTACGCTCCAGTTTATTCGGTATGGTGGTGAACTAAACCACCTCCAGATAGCTGAAGCTGTTGGCTTGACGTCACTATGTTAAACAGTTCTTTTATTTTAGATACGCATTTATTGATGACCATTTGATGACGTACTATGGCTGTCCTGCTCTACCCCAAAAGCAGTCTGCCTCTAGCGCACCTCTAGGCTGAATGCCGAACAAGTGTTTCGAGGAAATCCTTCCTCCCTTAACTTTGTCAGGCAGCATGATATCTTGACAAAATATCTTAACTATTCTCATGTCGCAAGAGCCAGCTGCTCCGCCACCGCCAGGTGTTATACCGGACTTCAGTAATCCGTCGGGGGGCATTCACTTATGGTTGATCGTGACACAATGTATATGCATCCCTATTGTCGCATGCTTTGTTATGACGAGGCTGTATGCCAAGCTATTCATACAGCATGTGTTTTACGTTGAGGACTGTAAGCAGAAGCCCAGATTGTCTGTATTTATATATACTAATTGGATTAGGGATGTGTTTAATATCTTGGGTACGACAACTTGACTCATAAAAGCGGTGGGTTATTGAAGTTATCATGCTGACTGCAATAATTTAGGTCCTAGCAACGACCTGGTTTTCACTTCAACTAGTGAGTACGTTTCCGAACATATATCTCGGTACAATGAAATTTGACCTTTGTCTCTTCAGCCGCAGCTGGAGGTGGAGGATATCATCAATGGGATATCCCGAAGGATGACATGGTACTTTTTTTAAAGGTAGGTGAAATGCCTCAGTATACAGACAATTTTAATTTACTAAACTTCTTGCTAAGGCCTCTTATGTAATAAATGTCCTATACGGCCCAGTTATTCTCACGGTCAAATTATCGATTTTATTTATGCTCGCACGATTATTCACACCATATCGGAAATGGGTTGCTTTTATATATATATTCAGCGCGGTACTCGGAGCATATACTATCGCAATATTAGTTGTGAAGATCCGCATCTGCAAACCTATTGATGCTTTTTGGCTCGGTCCCGAAGCTACTAATGGGACGTGTCTCGATGTGCTGAAGGTCTTCCTTGCCGACACCACTTTTAGTGTAATCACCGATTTGGTTATCCTCGCTCTGCCGATAGCACTGATTTCAGTGCTCCACCTGTCCCTTATGAAGAAGCTAAGAGTTATTGTTATTCTGGCAGCAGGCGGTCTAGTGTGTATTGTGACCATTGTCCGGCTGGTATGGGTGGTTTCATATCAAAATTCAGCTGATAAGACATGGACAACCATGCGCACTGATCTTGTTACCTGTGCGGAAATTGCAGTTGGGATTATCTGCGCCTGCCTTCCAACTATTTACTTCCTTGTGAACCAGCGCTGCTCTCTTTTCTCCCTTGGAGAGAGTGAGGTTAGAACGTGACCTTAGAGAGTCTGCAAATCTACGCTCCAATTTCTTCACAGTTCGGCAACTTACGAATCTAAACCGAGAGCTCTGCCTGAAATTGCCTCTAAACTATCGCCAGTTTTGGATGTAACGCTAGCGCTAATAGACAGTGGAACAGACAACAGATATTCAGTCAATTTTCAATAAATGATTTCTTATAGAATCCGGATGGCTCCTTAACCCATGCTTATCTAAGACGGATCGACCGTAGTTTTGGCAAGTACTAGGTTATTGATTCTTTCTCTCTTTTGCATCCAAACAAAATTCTGCATTATAGGCTAACCCTTACTCGATGTTCTCGCTGCATACAATCCTCACGTTCTAGGGCTCCATTATATTTTGCGACAAGATGTTACTATCTTGACAATACGATACCATCCATCTACCCTCTAGCAGTGGCAAAGTGTAGAACTAGTTATAACTTCAGCTATCAAGGCGATACGATCAGTATATCGTGAAAAGAGAAGCTTTAACGTTTGCCTAAATATAAGCGCTTCAACCAAAGCCCGGGCTAATATGCAAGCGAGATATAATCTAGGAGATTCGCTTATTAAAGTCTCTCTTCCCGAAATGATTGAAAGGGTTTCACGTCTCTTATATACCAATACAAAACTTGGAAAGCTCTACCAATAACCATTACGAAAAATATAGTATATAGCCTGCATAACGAGACATAGTAATGCTAGTTTTACCCTGTTCTCCAGCATCAGATCCAACGCGCGGCAAACTAGGCGCCTTTTAGCTGTAGATTATTCCAAAATAAACTCAATGTTTCACACATAACTGAATAATAGAGACAATATAGAGAATCTCGGCAGGCCTAAATGTACATCCAGCAAGAATGGAAGAACAGAGAGGGACCAACGATAATGAGACTTGGCAAGGTGTTTTAAAACAAGCAGTTCAAGGTAGATCAGCAGGACCTGGGGCCCTATAAGATACAGTACTGTAGATCACAGTCAATGCTGTCTGGTTTAAAGCAAGTGCCCGGATTGCCAATGGTTGCTGGGGCGGTACGAGAAAAGTGTGCCAGATCCGCGTGGTTCACTTTCGCTTTTTCGGTTTGACAGAGTGCATTTCCATGGAACGTGTAGCACCTATTACACATACGAGACATGTGTAATGTAGCTTGTCCCTGTAAAATACTGTATTTGCAAACCTGCAGGAATATCAATATTCCGAATAAATTTAAGAATAGAGAAGTGGATCTTGATAATAGGGTTAGTGTAGGTGGCGACACCGATTCCCGGACGTACTGTAACTATCCTTGGTACCCTTTGATCTCATAGTTCTTTTGTGATACTACTCATTCAACGATCATTCTATACTGCGATATTCCGCAAGTGGCTTCTGATTGGCCTCATCGGCGACCCCGGTTCGACCTTCTCTCTGCGACAATTTCGGCTCGAGTTTCCTCTCTTCCTAATCACAAGTAATGAATGATCTATGGAGCCTCACAACTATAAAGGTGATTCTTAATTTCATCCTGTTTCATATGGTGCGTTGCTATTCGTGGTAGCTATCTCCAGAGCTCTGGCAGATGTTTTGAGGAAATTTCGCAACTAGGAGATATCGATCATAAAACAAGCCGTGAGATAATATAGCGACTATAAAAATACCATCTATTGATCTGTTTGAAGGAGTGAAGGCGTGCTAATGATGTAGATATCCATTATGTTGGTAAATGGTGATATAAGTGCATAACTGTCTCTCTTTAGATTAGAATTGCCTGAACTCCCATCTCAGACATAGTGATGCGACAGTCGGCCCGTTTGGTTTCCTGCATCTCCCAGCATTTCCTGATTATTTTCCAAACTGTGGCACTGTTACCAATTCGTCCAGATTTCTGTACCAGATCCGTCATAAGCATCTCGAATAGGGGACGATTGTGTAACTGGACCATACAGCCTATAACGCACAATGCCCATACTGATCCCGTAAGAGAATACCCTTGCGGTCTATTCTGAAGAGTGATAATTGCCCGGGAAACGGCGCTTTGTATCTCTGGCAATGCCGGCAGTGGCCCTGATACAATAGTATGTAGTAGAACTAGGGCGGCATAGGCAAAGAGGCGCGAGACCCAATTTGTAGAAGATTCCGCACCAGGTTTTGCCTAAAGAAATATTAGTTAGTATCACATGCAAGCCATCGTCAAGAACTATAGACCTACACATCGTGCCAGATCAAGGTCCTGTATACCACTTTCTAAGCGCCTCTCTATTTCTTTTCCCCTACTTGCGAGTTCTCGGATACTTAGCATACCCTGCTCTTCCTGTGTCTCTTTCCAGATGCTGAAATGAGCGAGGTCACCTGTAATTAACATAACCCAATTTTCGCAGCCCATGAGATCTGCCGTATTGAGGCCTTGAATTCGAAGCCATTGTTGATACGGAAGCCGCGGCGCGCGGCCAGTTGTAACACAAGCAAAGATATCGAACCATATCACAGCGACTGTGAGAAATTGCAGTCCTTCAACCATTCCGCTCCTTGGAGATCGATGCTGCTCAGCAAAGGGAGTCGAGCTAGTATCGCAGATAACAGAGTCTGGGTTGAAAATAGCCTCCGGTGATAAAAGACCCATGAGGGAGGCAGTGGCGTCAAGATGTAGGAGCCAGTCATGCTCGGCACCCCGGAAGACCTGGAAAGCCAATCAGTGGTATTCACTCGAAGAAACACTTTTGATACGTACCTCAAAGCTGATCAACATGAAGCTGCATGCCAAGAACTCTGCCAATTGAGGATGATCATCCAGCAATTTGTCGCCCTTTTCGCTCATAATATCACAGAGTTCCCGCAGTGCTCTAGAGTGGTGTTCAAATGCCTTTTGCTTTTGCTGAAACTCTTCCTCGGTTCCGAGTATTGCAGCTTGGTGAAGTGAAGATAAACTGAGAACGGCATGGTAAAGAGGGCCTCGCTTGATCAGCAAGAGAAAAAGCCAGCCCCGGTTTCCTAGACGGGATCTAGAACAATGATATGGAAATTGCCACGGGAAAACTTGATCAAGATAATGCATCAACAGACAAGCTTCTCGAGAATCAAGACTATCGCCAGGCTCGAAGTGTTGGTTGCCGGAGTCAGTCCGGGATTGCAGGGCCTCATCATGATCATGACTCGTAACTTGGCTTGTGTCATGGCTTTCTAGCTCAATGCTATGCTCCAAAAAATCCGATTGACCAGATAAACATGGCGAATACGAAGGCTGAGGCGGCGTGATCATTGCCCTTGGCGCTTCTTCGTTTGTTTGCGTTTCCGACAATGCCTGAGAATGCTCCCTAGCCCTTCGGCGAGCTCGACCCTGCATTTTCTTCACGCGGCGAAAATTTTCGTTTATTGCTGCTTTGATACGTTGTCGTTCTTTTTGCTCCTCTGAAGCACCGTCCATCCATGTTGGCTTGGGTCCATAGCCGTGGCAATGGACATGTCGGTCGGAGCACTCTTTACATGAAGGTATATGCATATCGCATTTTAGATGTCGAATCCGACATGTCCAGCACCCGGCAGTTTCAGAACGCATTGCAAGAAAACGTGGGGTTAGATTGAAGATCGGGAATGGGAGGAGGAGGGAAGTGCTAGACGGACACTCGCTACGGCTATTCGGACATCCTTCCCCTAAAATGGACAAGTGCGTCTAAACAGGTTAGACTGGTATTTATATTACAGTATACAACGTTGTCTCTGAAATTGAAGTCAGCCTGGTGCCTTAAGAGATGCCCTTACGAGGCTTACTTTATGTGTAATACAAATACCAAGCTAGTCCCTTTCGAGAAAGGGGTATTGCATCGTCTTACGTGGAAACTCAAATTGCTCTCGATTCATCTTTCTCTTAGGGGTCTCAGTTACATCTTTGTTTCTACGTCATTGCCTGTGAAGTTCCAGGTTACTCGCTGACGCCACACGAGAAAGGCCGGCTGATAGATCCAGTATTAAATTTGGCGATCTATATTAAGTCAGCGTGAGAACATAACGTCTTAAGAACTTGCAAGTTGATCTTACCACCTCTGTGATGCTTGCATAAAGACCACATCCAAGTATACAAATACCGACAAGAAAAACGATCAGATTGCAGGTTGCATGACGGATATTGCGTTTCTCAAAACAGCTCCCTTCTCTCAGTAGGAAAAACCACAGGACTGGAGGAATGTAGAATGAAAAGCCGGACACAAGTAAGGCACCGCAGATAGAAAGCAATTCAGAGAAAAAAGGGATAGCTTCTGCGATGACCCAAGCTAGAATCGTGATCAAAGCAACAATTGACAACCATGTGATCCAGCCTTTTATAGTGTTGACATAACGGACCACAGAATTTTCATAGAGCTTTCCATGAATATAACGACAAGCAACGGTAGTGTTGATTGAGCCAGAAATAAATATCACAGGCAGAGCTACCCCAAATGTGATTTTCGCCACGAGGGAACTTGCCGAAAGTAAGGCAGGAGACTCAACATCCTGTCCCACAAACGCATAAATGAGTGCCCCAGTCAGAGTGTAGATACTCACTTGGGTAACGCCCAAGGTACCAATCGCCTTTGTGAAATCTGTCGGAGTGTGCATTTCGTCCATGAAAGATGGCTGGGCAGCGGCAAAGGAGTAAGCAAAGGCAATATTTGAGATGGCAACGAAGGCTTCGCTGAGACTTAAGTCATTCTTGGGCCAAGCAGACCAGGTTGATAGGGTCGAGTTGCTTTGAATGCCTGTCGCGATGATGCTGACACCGATAGCCATGATAATGGAAACAAAATCAATAAAACCAAGGATTGAAAGTTCGGCAAATGAGGGCGGAATCGCAAATGCAAATAAGATCATAGCAGACACGGCACTGAATATTAAAGCACATGCACTGCTACCAGAGATCGTGGCCAGGGCAAGTTTGCCCGTCAGGCAATGTGATCCAACCGTCAATATCATCAAAGCGATAAACGCCACAGAAAAGATCGTTTCGCCGAATCCGCCAAAGAGAAGCTGTCCAAAATGGACATAATGCGCAACATGCGGATATTTGAGCTTTGCTAAACCAATCATGTAACTCCCGTAGATGGCGATGCAGCCCAATCCGAGGCATAGTATTATACCAGCAACCATGCCCAGGGTTGCGAAGGCTGAAGGAAGACTCAAACTGCCGAGAGCGATAGATTGAACAATCAGGACGATCGTAAGGCGTTTCCAACCAAGTCGATGGAAGCGTTCGTTGCCTTCCACGGTCAGGGCATGCTCAGGTTTGCGGTCTGTTTGGTCGATAACTTCGCCCTCGGATTGCTCGAAGTCAATCATGTCTTTGTTCTTCTCTTTGTGAGAAACATTGGCGTCGTATGTAGAAGTAATTGCATGCGACATAGCTTAAGCTGACGTTGAGAGAAAGAAGATTTTCGTATCTGAGAAAATTGGAATCAATATCTCATTGATAGCTAAATCGAGTGAGATGAGACGAAAATGCAAGAAAACAGAAACAAGTCTGCCAGCACACGATACAGGGACCTGTGCCTCTTGTAGATAGTAGATGAAACACCGGGCCGGGCCAATGGCAATAGCGGGGAAGAAATCCTGGGGTCATTGTGAATTGCCGTTGATCTGACCAACTGATTTAACAAACAGTATTTCACTGATAGTAGCACTCCTAACACCGTTGATATTCCTCCCGATGTTGAAGTATAAGTTCGGTGTCTCCTGGTATTCCGGGAGGGAAGGTCGAGGCGAGCGTGGGGTGGAGACAGTTCAAGTGGAGCATCTCCTCTACTCCAACTTGGCTGAGCATCTTGAACATATCTGCATGTATTGTTGTCCTTACCAGGTCTCTTTTCATTATATTTCAACCTTGATATATTGTCTGTCGTTATGTCAACACGCACGCTCTTCTCCAATGGGCGTATCCTGATTGATTCCGGCAGTGGCCGGCATGAAGACCCCTCTTTTGCAGATAGCATGTTGGTTGAGGACGGCAAGATCACAGCAATTGGTTCAAACAACGAAGTGATTTCTTCTGGGATTTTTCCGAATCTCGTGCCTCGGGACCTTAAACAGCAGGTCGTCCTCCCCGGGTTCATAGATGGCCACATGCACCTCCTTCTTCTTGGCCAGTCGCTTCGCAAACTTGACTTGAAAAACTGCAAATCCGTGGAAGATATAAAATCAACAATCAAAGAGTATGCTGCTGCAAATCCAGATAAGCCAAGTATCCAATGCAAAAATTGGATGCATTCTATGACTCCCAACGGCGTGACAGCGGTGATGCTCGATGATATCGATCCTCGCCCTATTTTCATTGATGCAAGTTCTCAACACTCATGCTGGTGTAACTCTGCGGCTTTGAAAGAGCTAGGTGCTGCCAGTATGCCCGATCCGTCGGGGGGCAAAATTCATCGAGATGCCAAAGGGAATCCTTCCGGTGTTCTGGATGAAGGTGCCATGATGTCCATTATCTGGCCTTTTCAAGCTATATCAAGCTCAAAAGAAGACCGAATGGACGCAATCCGTGCAGCTGTCCGAGAGTACAATGCAGCTGGCTATACTGGTGTGGTAGAGATGGCCATGGACGAAGAGGCGTGGGATTCTCTCGTCACATTGCGCGCAATGGAGCCCGACTTTCCACTACGAGTTGCGGCTTACTGGCTCATCAAGCCCAGCCTAAGTCTCGAAGATAACTCCAAGCAAATTAGACGCGCTCTTCAGCTTTCCCAACAGTACAACACCGCTACAACTCCGGACTTGCGCATAGTTGGTGTGAAGGTCATTTGCGATGGCATCATTGATGCTTGCACCGCCTTTCTATCACAACCTTACGCCCCGGCAGACTCGCCTCCGCCAATCTGGGTACCAGAGCACTTGAATCAGCTTGTAAAAGAAGCAGATTCCGTTGGTCTACAGATTGCGCTCCATGCAATCGGCGATGCGGCCATCAAGATGGCAATCGATGCGATTGAAAAGCATGCAACGCCAGGTAGACGACACCGCATTGAGCATCTTGAGCTTGCATCCCCTGAAGATGCCAAAAGGTTGGGAGAGCTGGGGTTGACAGCTTCAATTCAGCCGGTTCATGCCGATCCGTCAATCCTGACAGAGTGGCCCCGTTTACTTGGGAAAGACCGTTGCCAGCGTGCATTTGCATACCGGGAGTTTGCTGACGCTGGCGCTTTGATGGCTATCGGTAGTGATAGTCCAACTTCGCCATGGATGCCGATGCATAATATTTACGTTGCGACAACGCGACGCTCTGCTAGAGATGTAGATTATCCTCAGACTGTGAACGAACATTTCAAACTTGGTTTGTGTGAGTCTATGGTTGCAGCAACAGGAGGTGCAGCTCGAAGTGTTTTTGCGGAAGAGAGGGCAGGCAGTTTGGCCGTGGGAAAATTGGCAGACTTCGTCATTGTCGATATGGAATGGGATGCTAATACCCTGCTAAAAGCCAAAACTATGGAGACGTGGTACGGGGGAAAGCAAGTCTGGAGCTCTGTAGATGTGGATAACACAGTAGTGAAGGTCTGACATGTCAGCGGTTTCTCAATAGAAGGAAATTATACCGATAAGTCACTGGGCACGCATAACAATTTACAATACTCTTGTTAAATAATAAAATGATTGGACCAGACTGATAATTATATGTTTGATAAAAAGCTTTGACAGGCCACTTGGAAGGTGCATTACTAAACATAGGCAATATGGGGCCATTAAGCTATAGTTTGACGAAAATAGAGGGAAATAACATGTTAAACGAGAATAGTACAAAAGAAACGCGGAAATAAAGAATCCATAACCAACAGTATCCACGTTTAGCGTCCCAAGTCGCATATGCTTCTGCAGCTCTGACTCAAGGAAACCGATAGGTTCCGATATGGTCAGATGCATGTTGGATCTCATAGTAACACCCGGAAAGACTTGTCCATGCTGGCATCGAGTTGCAAAAAGTCCACCACGCGACCCAAGTGATCAATTCCCCAAAATCCTTCTTGATCACCTTGTGAGTTCGTGCAGTCAAACCATGGCAAGCCAAAAGCACCCAAAGTGAACGCTCTTTGAGTGCTCTCATGCAAGGTAGATTCTACCTCGTCATTCTTTGACTGTTGATGGACAAATGTCAAAACATTGTCAATAAAAAGACCCTGGTATTACTTACCTGTTCAATAATGTCCCGTGCACTATCTGCGCCAAGCTCTTCCTCCAAAATAGGCAAAAAGCCATCAGAGGTTAGCACAGCGGAGTCTCCATTTCCCCAGAATCCACGAAATAATTTCTCCGCGACGGACACTAGCTTTTCTGGCACTTTGGTAGCGACGGCGCATAGAGCAAGTTGGACTTCAGTAGTAGATGCAGGAAATCCCTTTGGGATAGCTTCAGACATGGGAACGTCGAAACGGCGAGCCCAGTAGATCCGTTCTCGATTAATCCATTGGAATTTGTCTATTGCAGTTAGTATAATCCAGCAAGCGAAAGCTTTCGAGGACATGACAAGGGAGTGGGATAAAACATACTCTTAACCGCAATAGGAGGGGTGTTCTGGCAGACTTGCATCAAGTCTCTCAAAAGAATGGGAACAAATTCAATTTCACAGGCCGAGAAAACGGGAGAGTTCTGTCGTTACATGTTAGCCATATTAACACATTATCAGTTGAGTATTGAACTTGCCCTCAAGACATGGAATGCAATGCAGCTGAAGGGGCTACCGATGTCAAAATAGAAGGTGATTTTAGGACCGCTCATGATGAAAAGATAATATTTTGATTTTGAAATGAATTGCAAATTACAGCTGTGGTTACTGGCTGAGCCGTATGCATTTATAGACCTCCTGGACAACATTTTTGGTTATTCATGTACAATGTTGAGATATCTTGAGTCATACAGATCCTCCCCCAACCGATTTTTGGAACACGCAAGTAACGCAGGATGATCTTTAGGATCCGCCGAGAATCGGCCATGAGCTCCCAAGTGGGTTTGGCGACAGACTGGGAGCTGTACTGCTTTTGTTGGGAAGCGGTATTCCTCAGACTTGCTGGGACCAATTACGTGGAACACCGTCTAACTGGTTCAGGGGCAGTTCTATAAAATTCTATCAAGATCGTTTATAATATGCTCAAGCTGGATTCTAGCCAGTCTATGCGCAACTCAATTGCTTCATAGTGTAGGCATGAATATGTAGTTACCAATAAAGCCATTATCTCAATTATTAATATTCTATAAAACGTCTCATTACATGTATTCTAATTGTATAATCCCTAGTTTTCCGCGGTCTCATATTTACTCAAAGCTCGCAGCTTGTTGCCAGACTTGAAGAAAACCCAAGGAACAGGCAAGAGAGCAACCGCAATAAAGCCTAGCAAACTCGAGGCCCAGCCAGTGCCGAGTTTTGTATACACTAGAAAATTGTCAGCATAAAGTGTACCTCATGAATATTTAGAGATAGAAACTCACTTTGAATAGTGAATAGAGGGAATGCTGCCGCGAGCCCATATCGGGCCAGACTATTTGCACTCATAGCACTCGCGACAGTGAGACCGTGATAGGCATCAACTAAATACTGAGTCGTACTGATAAAAACGCAAAGATTGCCCCATGCGAAAAGCATGATTGCGACAACAGGACTTCCCCAGGAGATATCCGCTCTAGCGGTCCATGCAAACCAGAAAAGACCCACGGGGAGACCAAGACTGCCGATGAGAGCTGGATAAAGACGATGCTCGGGCGGAACCTGCTGACCCTTGTGTTTTGCTACTTGAGGCAAATAGAAAAGAATGTTGCAAAGAAGGACTGTAATGCTTCCGAGTAAACATCCGACCACGATGGCCAGAAATACGAGACCAGAGTCCTCGATGCTAAATTGGTAGACACCCTGGAAGATCAGAGGAATCGCAGCGAAGAATGAAAAGAGTGTTGCAAATTCGCAGGCAACATAGAGACAGATGAAAGCGACGATGGGCTCGGTCACAAGCATATGAATAGGGCGGACAAGGGCGATGGTTGCAAAAAGTCGAATTTTTGAAGACAGGGGTTGAGATGGAGGGATATCGAGTCCGAGTTCTTTTGAGCGACGACGTTTCAGGATAGGATGAAAGGTCTCCCTGGAGATGCAAATTGTGATGAGAGTGAAGATGGCGAAGAAGACCATTGTCCACTGAGTCCAACGCCAGCCTTTTCTATTCACGACAAAACTTCCGATCACAGGCCTGCACATATCTTCGGTCAAATAGGACACCTTTGCTTTACTTGGAAAGGAAGCTTACCCTAATCCAGGACCCAAAAAAGGCGATAAAATGAAAATGGTAGAGGGAATAGCACGCTTCACTGGCTTGAAGGTTTCGTTGATAGTCCCAGCAGCAATAGCCAATGTGGGCGCATAGCAGAACCCAGCCAGAAATCGCAACACACAAAGCCCGGCAAACGTAGGACTAAAGCCAGCACCCATCGTAAATAATGTCCCAAGAACCATTGTACCGACATATACTGGATATCTTCCAACAGTCTCGGAAAGCGGCCCTCCGACGATAGGGCCGAGACCTAGAGCGAAGACATAGAGCGACAAGGGTAGGATAGCCACTGTGCTGCTGACTCCGAATTCTGTCATAAATTCCGAGTGAGCGGGCGATAGAATCGATACGCTGAGAGACCTGGATACCATGTTAGATTCCATGCCAGCATTTCGTCACAAAGAAAGGTTGACCCACGTTGTAAGCGCCGCAGAAGCAATCATAAAAACTTGCTGGACTTTCAGTCGGGTTGGCCAGTTGTAGGGATTGCTGGGATCATCATCCCAGTTCCATGTGACACTATTCCCGCCGGAGGCATTCCGTCCAGCTTCGAGCTTATCCTCGGACGAAGAGGTGAAATCCTCGATCTTGGCGTGTATGTCGATATTTTGGTCATTTTTGACTTGTGCCATGTTGAATATATGCTTGCCCCACCAGTTTCGCACACACAGACCAGGACGTTGTACAGTGGCTTTATAATGAACAAGAAATATATTTTATAAGGATGGCGGAGGAGATCGAAATGTATATTGCGACATTGTTCCTCTCAAGGCTGATAAATCATATCGTGGTGCCGACCGAGGCCAAGATTATCTGATTAGAATATGTTCTGCGAACGGCACTCCTTTTTGAAAGATATTCCTCTGGGACATCCTGGTTGCCTGCACGGCTGGAGACATAAAAGATTACTCAACAGTAAATACAGGAATCGTAGATGGAGGATGATTGGCCAGAAAGCACACTAGCGCCAAAAGGGAATATTTGATTATTCAACATGCGCGAGAGTATTTCTCAGACTTGTTGAATGGGATTTTCTCGTTGAATGAAAATTGAATGAAAACGTGGTTGAAAGGTTTTGTGTTTTGTTGGATTAAGCATTGTTTTCGTTTGGCCGAGGAAGCGTGCGCTATTTATCGCAGGAGCGAACAAACACAATTGAATGGAATGCTAAGAAGAGATACCAACTTCATTTCGAACTGAAGCCTGCGCCTTGAGACCCTCATTCTGGCACTACTTACGACTGGCTCGGTACTCTTCATGAACACGCATCGACCAAAGGATTAACCGACCAGATGCGTCGGGTAATTCTATCAGCTTTGCGCTAGCAGAAGCCAATCAGCACTAACAATCACCGAAAGAAAGCGCAAATACCATCGTGCAAGGGATTTGAACACCTGAAGAAGCACGTGTTTCTTACCAATTCAAACCCCGGGATCACCAAGAGTAAGAGTCTAGGGATACACGGCATGCCTTCATAGATCAAAATGAAGTGATCAGGTACTTGATAACCATGGTTGACATGACTCAAACGGACTAGCTGGAGCTTATTACTCAGAGCCATTGACTTGACCAAATGCGGCTTGACAGCTCCCGCACCAACCATTTTCCCTTTTCGACCTCAGATCTGACATGTCAGCGACCTTCAAATATTATGAATGGCCCTTGCCCCCAACAAAGACAAAATTTGATTCTCTGTTCTCAGGGTCGATCGGTCGAGCTTAAATTAGTTTATCGTGTGGAGATATTTCGGGCTCACTGAGATCATATTACGAAATTTCTCCGGACTTCGGCGTTTGATGCTGAATTTCGGTTGGTCAGCAAGAATACTTTCATATAAGGCCCTTGCAAGTGTCCCCAGGTACCTTGGTGGAATTTGAAGCTCCACTGCGAGCTATACAAGCTCGCTCTCCAGGGCATATGCAGTTCTATCCCAAGGCGCGTGAGCAGCGGCCCAGCATCCACCATCCGTCTGTTCGGCCGCGTCGATTGGCTGTGCTGAAGGCTGCGGCTGTCAATCTTTTCCTTCTTCAATTTCTCTTTTTGGGTCTTTTCTGTTACATCTTTGGATCCTTGTTCCAACAATCAACTCACATTCACAATGTTAATGTTCTGTTCGTTGACTACGACGGCGGTACGATCGGCGATGCAGTTCGCGACGTGTATCAGAAGCTCAAGGGTCCTGGATTTCCAAACCTGATTGAGCGCCCAGCCTCTTTATACCCACAGATAGGGAGTATTGAAGGTGCTGTTTGTGACATCAAATTCTGGGGAGGTCTCTACATTACATCCAATGCCTCTAACGCCCTTACTGCCGCATTCGCTGGTGGGTCTGCTGCTTCATCGTACGATAAGAGCAATGTCATCACCATGGTGTGGAACGAAGCGCGATACCCAACGGTGGTCGACTCTGCTCTCCAAACTAGCCTGAAGTCTCTGTCAGAAGCTGCGCGGGTCGCCTATTCGAAGACGAACGGAGAACAGGCTCTTAAGTCTCTAAACAGCTCTGACTCCGCTGCCCTCGCGGCCTTCTCCGACCCATGGACATTGGCCTCCACCAATATCCAACCTACATCACAAGGGTCCCGCCTTATCTACAACACACTCGTCATCATTTTGATCTTGATCCAAGAGTTCTTCTACCTGGGTATCGTGAATGGTCTATACGCCCAGTTCAACCTCTACACGTCGGTTTACCCCCGTCGAATCGCCATCGTGCGCCAAATCATCTCGGCGGTATACACATTCGCCGGATCACTTTGTACGGCCGGTGCAATCTGGGCCTTCCGATATGGCTGGAATGTCAATGGAAGCCAGTTTGTGCTGACCTGGATGGCGCTCTGGCTCTTCGCGCATCTGAATTTCCTCGTCCTGGATGTTTTCACTATCTGGCTGCCACCACCCTACGTGCCAATGGCGCTGATCTCCTGGATCGTCATGAATGTCACTTCGATCCTGCTCCCCTTCGAGCTTTCCCCGGCTTTCTACCAAGTAGGCTACGCATTTCCTGCACACAGCATCTTCCAAGTGCTGATTGACATCTGGTCGGGAGGCTGTAACCCTCAACTCAACTACGCCCTGCCGGTTATGTTTCTCTACGAGATCATCGGTATTGTTCTCAGCTCTATTGGCGTTTATAGACGTTCGCACTATGCCATGATCAAGAAAGAAAACGATGAAAAGGCATGTGAAGAGCGTGTTGCAGCGGCTCTGGCCGAACAACAGGCGGATTCTTTGGTACGACAGGAGACTTTCCAAGATGGGCAAGGAAGTGGAATATCCGAAACCGAGAGTGAGGAAGGAATTGGGAGGCCAAGGCGTGAAACTATCACGACAATGGCGGATCAAGACCAGCTTGTTGATATCATTCGACGTGAGATGTCCAAGCCGCAGGCTGAGAAGTCAGAAGCTAGAGATCACACCGGTCCGAGTTTTGCTTTGCCCTATAAGGACTGAAAGCTTTTTCTTCTTCATAGCTGATTAATTTCTGTTAATCTGTCCTGCTGCCGATTTCTAATTTTCTGCGTCAAATTTACTTCAGCCACGCATTATACATATCATGTCTGCATCTCAAGCTGTCAAACCACCGTGAATGTTAATACAACATCTCTTTATAAAAAAAATAATTACAAAACAGCACATTCAACATCGACTTCTATCATTTACAACCTCATACCATTAGTACGGTGACACTCAGCAATATCAAGAGTGTTGGCAGCAGCTCGAGCACTAGAAATCAACGAAACAGTAGGCAAATATCCCTGCACATTAACATCCTCCTCGGTAGCAGCAATAGCCGAAGCACTCTTGTTAACTTCAATAGTGATATATCCAATCAACCCCTCAGCAAGGGTCTCACCAACCATCTCCGTAGAAATCATAGCATGGTACCCATCGTCATTAGCAATAGGGCAAACCGAATCCTCATCGTTGAGGGTACGGTCGAGAGGTTGAAAGTAAGTTGAGCATAGTAAGGCGCCAACTGATAAACAGAGTTAATTAACTCCCTAGGAAAGAAAAGTTGTCCAACATGCTTGGTAGCTGCATCGGAGTAGCTGCCATCATCGTTTGTCAAGTTGGTCTGGACCGTGGCGTGGATATGGGTCATGCGGGAGGAATAGTAGCCGGCGAAGATGGTGCGGAATTCACCGATGTCCGCTTCGTTTGTCTTAGAGATTCCGCGCAGGAAGGTCTCGTCGTCGGTTGTGCCGTCTGATCTCATGGTCCTGTCGTCGTAGGCGGATACGGCGTCTGGGTCGGTTCCAACGTAACCGGAGTATGTACCTGTGGCATTACAGGACTAGATGGGAGTGTCAACAATGCTATCTTTTGTACATTTAGGGTCTCAATGGAGGCAGAGCAACTTACCCAGATAGAGAGGCTGGCTGGTCTCGACGTCGATTTTGCCGAGATCGAGGTAGAAATTGATGCCCTCCTGCCCTTCACAGGCATCATGGCGATGCATTTCACCATCCACATAGTAAGATGGTGTCCGAGACGAGCAGACAAGTCTTGCTCTGGATCTCAGTATGCTTGTAGGGGCTGTCTCTGGACTTGGGCGATGTTGAGCGCTTGGCCATAGCATTTCTGCGCTTCAGAAGCGCACAGTCGCGACGCTGCTCGATGTGACGAGCACACTTATCAGCGCTGCCGGACTGAGCGAAGGGCGCATGAATCTTGAAATGGTTATGGCGTTCGGGGTGCGTTGTGAAGTTGTCAGTTATGATAGTTTCTCCCGTGAAGCGAGTATTCCTTCCCAGCAACGCCAGAGATAGCCATATTTAAAGCCCGTTTTTATACCCTATATATAGGTAATATTTATCTATTTAAAAAGACGTATACTAGATTTATAATTAACTAATAAATTACAGTTTAAATAATGATAATATAGTAATTTTAGACGTTTTAATAAATTACGGGTCTTTACTAGTAAATAGTGGTGCTCGCCTCTTTTATCGTTATATTCAAACTATAAATTCTACAATTGACCTCTTACTCGCTTTCTACCGGTGGTATTAAGCTAAAAATAAGATGATATGTATAGGGCAATGTTAAAGGACCCCATCTAACTCCACCTACCTAACCATAATTAGAAAAGGCGTAGTATTTCTTTTACCAATGTCATACAGTATAAGGTACAAATCCCTAGGAGTGCCTTAGAAATTCGAGGTAAATTTTTTTTTTTAAAATATGTGCTCAATTCCCCCTGAAAATACTCTCTCGTGCCGCAAACGGAAGACCGAAATATGGCCATAGCACATCAAGAACCAGGCACAGGGGTCCGATGCTACCCTACCCCCTCATTCTGCCCATAGTAAACGCGAGACACCGCCTCACTATCAAAGTATGCCCCCCACGTTAGTGCGGGGGCAGCTCGACGGGGGGTATTTTTCCCCCTTGCATTTTGCAACATAAATTGCGAGTTCTCCTTTTCCCATACTCCACTGGAATTCTTTCCCAATAGAAATCATTCGTTCCGCTACTCAACAGCTTTGAGTCCCGAACTCCAAATTTCAAACTCAACATGTATTCTCCCAAGGTCGGTGACAGGCTCGAGAGCCTTGATACACCATCTATGATTGCAGATCTCGATCTTATGGAGGCAAACATCAAGAAACTCATGGACAAGCTCTTACCAACTGGGCTGAACATCCGCCCCCATCTTAAAACAACCAAGAGTGCCATTCTAGCCGGCAAGCTCGTGAAAGCTGGCGCCAAAGGAGGCTGCGTGGCCAAAGTCAGCGAAGCCGAAGCCATTGCTGCGGCAGGCTTTGACGACCTGCTCATCACATGCGAAATTGTCGGCCCTGCCAAAGTCAAGAGACTTGTGGAATTGTTCCGCAAATATCCAAAGATCAGAATCGTGGTTGATAGCGAAATTGGTGCATCAGCCATCAACGAGGCTTTGGCAAGCTCAGGGATTGCAGAGCCAATCACGACGCTGATTGATCTCGACGTTGGACTTCACCGCACTGGTGTGTCACCGGGCGAACCTGCCCTGGCTCTGGCTCGACACGTCGGTGGTCTGAAACATCTGAAGCTTATCGGCGTCCAAGGCTATGAAGGGCATTTGCAGCATTTGCATGACAAAGAGGACCGCAAAAACCAGTGCCTAGAGTCTATGCAGATACTGACGAGTACCGCGGACTCCCTACGGAAGGCAGGCTTCAACATTGAGGTGGTCACCACGGGAGGAACTGGCACGGCCGAGTTCTGCGCTACCGTTCCTGGTGTCACTGAGCTTCAGCCCGGATCATTCATCTTCATGGACACGGATTACCGAAATGCCGTCGGCACCTTCTATTCAAACAGCCTCACCATTCTGTCAACGGTTGTGAGCAAGCAAGGCCCCCGGGCGGTGACGATCGACAGTGGATTAAAATCTTTGACAACAGACAGTGGACTGGCAGAGTGCAAAGACCCGAGATATGTCTATGGGGTTCTTGGCGATGAGCATGGCTCTCTTATGTGGGAGGAAGGCACACCAGCGCTCTCCGTCGGTGATCGTGTTGAGATGATTCCGAGTCATATCGACCCCACGGTTAATCTGCATGACTTCTATTACGCTTACCGCGGAGGTGTGATTGAAGAAATCTGGCCAGTTGATTCAAGAGGAAAGGTTCAATAAGTGATGAGTGTCAACTTACGAGTATACGGGTTACGCACTCTCCATTCAACTATGCAAATAGATGATAAATTTATTTTTGAGGTTGCTATCGTATTTTTGTGGCACAATTGTTAATCAATATAGGTTAGTTTTTACTTTGCTGCCTGGAAAAGTACTTGTGGAGATAGCATTGATACCCCCTACACCTAGTTCACAGTACGTATACCTGATGTTACCAAATCTGGTATTGTCGACACAATGCGACAGAGAAAGGAAATGGAGTATTTGCCACGGGAGAAGGTGATATTACGAAGCTAGTAGTAAATTCAAACTCGAATTTATGTCGAAGAATTAAGATATTGTGAAAGATTGCGTCCATGTACGAGCCATATGCAAGGCCTCCTGAGGGGAAGAATGCAAGTCATATTTAGCTAGAGCAACCAAAAATCTCGCTCTTCTATGCGGGCGTCAATTGAGATAGTCAGTTTAAGCTTTCCGATATTAAACCCGAGAAAAGGATGTTTGTAGAGAATGTTTCAAGGTAAATAAGAAGTTTCTTCTTTACCATTTCCCGCTTTCTTGACGCCAACCCCACAGCAGTTAAAGACAGACGAGGCCAGACAAATCTGCGCAATCACGTCGGTAGCACTCAGATCATGTTTAGTGTCAGTCATAAGAAAATCAATGGCCTCGGGCAAGTATTCCGGAAGCGCCTTGGATAGCTGTTCAAGTCGCGAATCAAAAAAACGAATGTAGTGGGTTGCTTGAGCGCTCGAATGCTACTTGAGAAATTCCTTCCAGCTTTTTCACTTGCCTGCGACACTGTGGTTTATACCGAAAATGGCGAACTTGTTTCTGTAGGGCGGCTATGAAGTCATCGCGTTCCTGGGATTGCGGATTTCACTCATAAGGCGGAAGAGGCATGACAATAGGCTTCTTATTGACTGCACCTTCGCTCTGGCTTCTCAGGGTAGCTGGAAATGATAAGTTTCCATGGGCAAATACGGTAGAAGCAGGAGAACCAATTTAGCTCACCGCACTTGTGGGACTCCCAGTTTGCAGAACACTGCTACTGGGATTTGAAGGCGCGGAAGTCATGCGTAAGTGTGGGCATCGCTAATCATGAGCTTTTTAGATGGTGCAAATGCGGTTAAGGATGAATTCCCTGGGAATTTCGGTCCAAACGGTGGATATTCTCGTTCTTTCTCTTTATACAATATAACTTGAAAATTGGTAGTATTTGTTGGGCCTTTGATATCTGGTACGCTGATGGACAACTTTGGATATTATTATGTGAACCTTTTTCTTGGTAAGATCATTTCATTTTTCATTGTACCCAGCTGAAGGGTTTCTTTCTTTCTGAGAACCACGCTAAAATGTGACCGAAACAGCAATGTTGCGCTTCATAACGGGGGTTTCCGTATTTTTTAAATCATTCGAGAAAGATGATCTATCCATTTTGTATGGGCCGAGAAGTTTCAGCATCTGTTATCTCAAGGAGCACTTGCTCGTGGACCCACTGAGTGGGAAATGGAAAGCGAGCACCGACTCAGGGAATCACGGATCCTGTAATTTATAAGAATCAATCACCAGCATTTCAGCCACGTGCTTCTATATGCTGCTTATGAACGCGATCTAGTTCGTCGCTGTTTTGGGAGACACCACAAGGAGAATGGCACTCCTGCTCATTAAAGCTTGCTCAATTCCGAGAGAATGCATTGGTTTTCAAGCATCGGAAAGATTGACCTGACCACACAACACGACATCTTCGCCAAATGGGTACCACTTGACGTTTGTCAATCTCGCAGCGGAAATCGCATTTCCTCTGTCATCGAACCGCCTGGCGGGTGATACGACTACACCACCCTGACCTAGCCAAGTTGGAGCAATTGTGACAATCACAGAACTCAGTAGAGACATATGAGAAGGGCTTAGGAGAGAGTTGATGACCTGGCCACCACCCTCTACCATGACGCTCAAAAGACCATTCGACTTGAGGGTGACAAGGAGATCATGCCAGTTGATTTGGTGCCGGCCTGCCTCAGATTTGGGCATTTTTAGCGAGATAAACCTTCCGCCATACTTCTCCAGCAGAGCTTGCTTTTCCGGAGGGGTTGATCAAGTGCTGTCACAATCCATGGCGCACGGCCGCGGCCCTCTCTGCAAAGCTGAAACAGTTTGCTATCATCAGAGAAGTCCCACCGGGCGGATGGATCAATGACTACTGGTCGGGGCTGGCCATTCAAGCCTTCATTACCGTAACCTCCGACTCCTGCAATGCGGCAGTTGAGACCTGGATCGTCTGCCACTGCCGTACCAACACCAATCAGAATACCATCGTGGCGTGATCGGAGATAATGTGTCATTGCCTTCGACTGGGGCCCAGAGAGGACCGTGCGGGCCCCAGGTGAGAGAGCAAGAGAGGAATCGAGCGATGTGGCAAAGGTGAGTGTTGTGAAGGGGAGATCATCGGCGGTGCCAACCTGGGATGGAAGGTGAGGGTTCAGGAAGTCCCTATCGGACTCAGGAAAGTCCAATGCATCTCTGGGTGTTGGAGCCGCCATCTGAAGAAACTAAAGGTTTGCCTATTCAATGTGACGTGAATGAAGAATCAGCAATCTTGGTCCACATTGGCGGTGAGATTGGGTTGATATGTCAACTCCCGTATTATATCCGGCCAATTGGAGATATCAATCACTCTGTATTTCATTACCCCTATTTCTCGCTATTTATTGGGCCATTTCAAATTACATAAAGGGTCCGTGGATATAGTATATACCCGAAGCATACGGATCATCCATAGACCCGGTTTCATGCAGTATTCGTAAGGTAATGCGACATCGTATTTCTGCCTCAGGCACTAGGGCCTACCCCAACATCAACGACTTTCACTATTGGACCGTCGAGGATGATCCCTGTCACACTAATTCGGGCTAAAAGCGCATTTACGCGCTCCCCACCACAGATCATCTTTCAGCAAGGCTCCCTGGTCAGCCCAGGTTACACTCCGTCAGCTTCCCCAGATCCACACTGGCCCCGTATCAGGTTGAACCAATCATGGTAGAGGCATTGAGTGAGAAGAAGAAGAGGGCCAGTGTTCCGAAGGTTCGTACCGGCTGTTTGACCTGCAAGTAAGTTCCTAAATCAGCTAAAATCTCAATGTCGGAATTTGTTTGGTGCTAAATTGTCTTTGTTCAGGTCCCGGCATAAGAAATGCGATGAAACCCGACCCATATGTCACATGTGCAGCCGTAGCGGACGAAAATGCCAGGGATACTTGACACCCCCCGATGGAAGGACCCGTGAAGTCCGAGATGCACGCCATGCACACACAACCGGTAGGACCTTTAGTCTTGTGCCAATGAACAAAGAAGCTGCTATGACTGGTGGCCTGGTGGCCATGGTCGATGCCAGTCAAGTCGGACTATCCAACAAGGAGCGTCAGTATTTATCATTGTTCCGCTCCCACACCGCTGCACACTGCACAGGGTATAGCTTCGACCCATTTTGGCAACTCCTTGTTCATCAAGCTAGTGAATGTTATCCTGTAGTTCGCCATGCAGTTATTGCTATCAGTGCTCTGCATCGGGAATTTGCGGACCCAATTGCGAGTCAGGATGACATGTTCGCTCTTCAGCAATGTAATAAGGCGATCGGTCACCTCCGGAAAGGCATCATAGAAGATGACCTTTCAGACCCATCCCATACTGAGAAGGTGTTGGTTGCTTGTGTTGTCTTGATTACCGTCGCTCTTTTTCAAGGCGATGTCGAAGCTGTTCGCTCTCATCTTCGATCTGGAACGAAGCTCCTATGGGAGTGGAGAAAGAACAACGCCAAGCATAGCATCGTTGCTCCAATTTTATTGAACACATTTGTGCAGCTCCACCTTCATTGGGCCAGCGCCACATGGATGAATGATTACAAGGGGTCGGATTGGCCCTTCCTTCTGGAACTCATCGATGATAACATACAAGATATTATGAAATATCCGGATGAACAAACCCGGCAAACGCTTCTCCTGCCCGTTCAAGCTTGGCTAGTACTCTTCAGCGACCCAACGCGCTTCAACACGAAGACTTTCGATTCCGCACCGCCGCAAGGCTTCATGTGGGACACTGTTTCTGACAAATTCCATCGATACAAAAACGGATACCAGAACTGCGTTGTCCTTCATAAAAATAGAGTTTCCACAAATGCTCCGAGTCAAGAGCGTGCCATGTTGCTACTGAAGATAAACAATGAGATACTTCACATCACCCTTACCTCCATACACTTTACAGGTTCTGAAATGGAATGGGACACACTCCTGCCTCATTTTGAGGCAGCGGTCGACGCAGCAGAAAAACTGTTAACAGACTTCAGTGGGATGCTTGATCCCTACTTTTCTGCCAAGGAGGGATGGATCCCAACACTTTTCATGACCGGAATAGCATGTCGGGACTGGTCCATTCGGCAGCGAGTGTTGAAGATCTTCGAAACATACAACCGGCGAGAAGGAATTTACTCTACATCAGAAGCTCTGGTTGTGTTGCCACGCATCTATGAAATCGAGCATGCCGGTATTGCTCCGGGGGAGATCGTGCCAGAGCACAACCGCGTCAGCATGGGACATGTTGAAGAAACGCCCAACCACTCCAACTACAAGATGAAGACTTACCATTTACTATACCGCGACGTTCACAGAGAGTGGCATAGGGAGGAACTGCCTTGTGGCGACACTGCTGTTAGACACGCTTTGAAGGGCCGCTTTGAACTGGCCACCTTGGTTTGCAACCCAGGTCGCGGCATTGATGATTTGAAATGACTGATAAAATCTATATATATATGACGAGATATATCTAGGTATGAGAAACGGCAGCTAGAATTGAAACTGTGCCATTTTGGGCGGCCCTTATCACTGAAGATATGTCGGAGCGCACGCTATTCGCAGTAAGTAGATAAATGTGCTAAGCTGCGAGTCTTTATAGGATTGAACGCGTATAATACATGCTCTGGGTTATAGTATCTGGTGACCCAAGGTTCTGATCCCCCAGTCGGATAGCTACTAGCCCTCACGGTGTGCAGAAACGTATATTATGAAGTTTCTTTCTTTTAATTCCTTGCTAGAATTATCTCACTTAACGGTGCTCTTCCGTGTTCATCTATCGGGATTTAAGAAGAAATCATAACCTGGTCTATCCTCGCTCATAATCCAATCAACGCCATGTCTGGCATTATAGCTTTGACTGGATCTCACTCTTGCCGCTGTTGGTATGGTCAACATCTCAGCATTCCAACCTTCGAAACCGTTCGTCCCTCCTGATCCACGATGAGACGATTTAGCAACCCGGTCAGAGTCGAATGAGTGGGAGCAGCTGTTAAGTCGATTAAGGCCTCTCCGCACTCGTCCCATACAGCAACGGAAGAGAGGTTTGACCAGTAGCAAAGAGCCGCATATTATTGCCATGTCTAATTCCAAGATTGCCCAGATTAATGACATACTACTGCTGTCTGTGAAAGGAAAATATATTAGATAGTGTCTCGTTGAAAAACCCCTGCAATGAACGTGCTTACATGTCAGGTTATCCGTCAGATAATTTTTTAATTGAAGCAGACGCAGAATGCTGAATATGCAAACTCTTCATACGGGTCAGCTTTGAGAATTAATATCAAAACATGAACACTCACAGGCAGCCGATCAAGAAAAGGACTGTGAGTTCAATCTTTTCGCGCAGGCGCATTTGAAGCCTCCACACCACTGGAAGAGGCAAACATAGAATGAGGACATCCTCTATCACCGAGAATACTCCGATAATTGTGTAAAATGTAGTCTGTCCAGACATGCAAGATCCTTCAATGCTTTTTATCCAGAAATACTGGACAGGCCAACATTGAAACGTGTTCGCAATTAGGGCTGTAATTCCCCAAGCAACGACGAAGATTATTAGAGCGGTTGCGCAACGTCTCACCCAGTCCACCACGCCTACTACTCTTCGGAGGAATATCAAGATTGAAATTTTCACAAAGACTTGTGCTATCGGCCAAAATTTCTGGAGGATCCAGTTGGCCTGGGTAATGATACAATGTCAGAGCAACGTCTTCAGACCCAAGTCCAATGAATCTTACCAGTGTAATGCGTAGCCTTTGCTCGCGAGGAAGGGCCCAAATCGACCCTCCGGTTCCGACGCCATGCACTGCGGCTATTACTCAGGGTTAACGATATTTTTTTGCAAAGTAGTACTTTTGGCACTCACAATATACAATGCTGATCGCGGCTCCCCAAGTGCAAAGGAGACCGGCTCCCATCAGTGCATCCTCAATCCGTAATTTATGAGTTGCTAAGCAGCGAGAGTAAAGACGAAGAAGGAAACAAGCTGTCGCAAGACCTGTGCAGACGGTTGGGACAATGATCAAAACAGCTTCCCAGTGATCTGCTCGTGGGCGGGGCATGTCTACTTGGCGCTAAGCAGAACCAATATCGTAAGCCCAATTCACCGGTGTTAGATGGATGATTGTTGATTGAGTGGCTACTGCCAAGCTCCAAAGCTCTCGATGGAGACCCAGATTTCACTCTTGGCTAGATCTCATTGTGGAGCTAGCGTTGAATGCACAGAAGTGTTCCAACCCCAAGGAACCCATCGGATTAATATATAAGGAGCTCACGAATAAGTTCAGTACGGCCGTACGCTTCATCGCCGAGATTATGCCATGTAGGGTGCTTCGCCTTGAAATTGTGGCGTTGTCAAGCCTCATTAGGAAGGACAAAATTGCTAAATGGCTTTTTCTCGATCTTGATGTCATCTATTCCAAGTCTACTGTATACTGGTTGTGGCGATGGTTTGCGGCTCCCGCCGTTTATTTCCAGAAACGGATTCCATTTTGCCTCGGCTCCGCAAACACCGTTCTATCAAATCTAATGTTCCGTCGGCCGATCAGATCAGGTATATTTTCAAGAATATTGGGTTTTCCCAATCACCGCAAAAATCAATTTTATCACCTGGATACGGCCCAGTAGCATATGGTCACCTTTGTGGATATGAATAATGACCGGTAAAGCAAGAATGGTAGGGGATTGATAGGCCAGCCTTATGTACAAACCTCGGTCTTTTATCTTCATATCCCTATAAGACTTTAACGCTCCGACTGTGGCGGAAGAAAGGCTATCGAAGGCTCACTTATCGTGCGCTGCTTGGGAATGTAGCTAGTCTTAGTATTATGATGCGAACTACTCATTTTGATTTTTGTTTATGAGTTCTGGGTTTAAGTTAATATAAGCCACATACAGCACGTGGAAACTTACACCGACATTCCTTAATAACCCCGCTCCTTTTTAGGTAGATCCAGACTAAGTTTCAAAGTTGGCGGCATACATGAATAGACGCCTTGCCAAAGAATTGATCATGTTCTCGGCGGAACCTTTACAGCTCCATTCTTAGTATACGCTTCGTTGTATGCACGCACAGCGGGTGCGGGGAACTTCTCGTATTCGGAGCTGACAGCGTGGCAGGAAAGGCCTCGGGACGCTACAGTGACAACTGGACGGTTAAAGCCCCGGTTAAATGGCTGCACACCAGTGAAACTGCGCTTGTTCTCTTCTATTTTATCCAACGGCATTGATAAAACTGATAGCTCACATCCAGTGTTTCCCTGGCAGTTCATCCTTCTTTGACCCCCTGGATATCGCAGCGTCATTGTCAATTATGCCCGATCCACAATCTCAATATACGCTCACGGAGGAGCAAAAGCAGCACTGGCTTGATTATGGTTTTATAAAAGTCCCTCGGTGCTTCACTCGCGAAGCAGCCGCAGAGTTCACCTCCTCAGTTTGGACTCGCCTGGGCGTCTCACCAGATGACAAAACTACATGGACGCAGGAGAAGGTGAACATGCCCGGTCACACGATGATCAGCGTGGAAAGTTTTGCGCCCAAAGCTTGGCATGCCATCTGTGAGCTCGTTGGTGGAGCGGATCGGGTAGCTGACTGGTGCAAAGACTGGAAAGATGGTTGGATTGTGAATATGGGGAAGCCGGAATATAACCCGGAAGATGCGTTAGATCTTCGATCTTTGAATGACTGGCACAATGATGGCGACTGGTTTGTTCATTTCCTGGATAGCCCCGAGCAGGCATTATTGGTTATTCCATTGTTCAGTGATATTAAGTCTAAGGGTGGTGGGACGGCGATTTGCACCGAAGGCATTGGACTGGTTGCCCAATATCTGGTATGCACTGCTGGAAGAAGCCGTCTCTTGCATGATTGCTTCCATATTCAGTTTCATTCACTAACCGCAAGGAAATTCTAGTATGACCACCCCGAGGGGACGTGGCCGTCCCTCGCCTCTCATAATGTCCCAAATACTCCCAGCGAAGGACCAAACCTCTGGACTGAATGGGCACATTCTTCAACGCATACAAAAAATGATTCCTTTCACGAAGTTACTGGGGAAGTGGGGGATGTCTTTCTTCTCCATCCATTTATGCTACACTCTGCTTCTCGGAACCTCCGACGTGACGTTCGCATTATTACCAACCCACCAGTGGCCCTCAAAGAGCCCTTCAATTTCAACCGTGTGGATGGTCAGTATAGTCTGATTGAGCAAAAGACTTTGAGGGATTTGGGTAGGCCCGAGGGTCTACCTGAATGGAAAATCACGGGCTCGAGGGAGCTGATCACTCCACGCCGTATAGAGGTTAGTTCTTCAGTGAGACCAAATTTTTGGTTTGTAGTAACCCTTTATCTAGAGACAATCACGGATGGCTCTTGAGGAACTGGAACGGGTGAAACTGTCAGGCGAACCTATCACCAAGCTGGCTGGCGCTAAACATGTGGAGTACTACCCGTCATGATTTGAACCCCTGTCTCGACAGGAGCTATGAAATTGAGCTACTTACATACAAACTATTTTAATTTGATCAATATAGCTTCATTATACATTGAGATGCTGGAACGATTCCTTGGGATAGTGCTCATAAGGCTTTTTCGACTTTTTTTGTGTTTTCGATCCGCAGTACTAGCTCCAATGCCATGCGATTAGAGTCCGGCCCTTGGCGAGGGCTCATTCGTAGGGATATAAATTGCGGCGGTAATCGAAGTGGCTAGCAGTTAGGTCTCACTCAAAATCGATCATATCCTGTCCAGGTGTCACCAAGCACAAGTAGAGTATCTGTTGCAGATCAGGGCGCAGTACCCGTCCAGATCATCTAAAGACAAGATCTGGCACTGTGGGGCCTCGAATGCCCCCGTGCACGATGACTTTAAAATGCTGCATAACGCCCGCTCATTCGTTTTGCAAAGAGAGGTCAAGGCCCTAGGCAGCTCTTCGTGTGAACTATTTCTTGCTGGGAAAGATTTACTTTCCCTCGCTGAACATCCGAGATATTTCTCTTCGCCTAGATCTCACGATGGTTGATCCACGACAATGGTGGTTGCATTTTTCTTTCTCGCAGGCCTGAACTGGTCTGTAACAGCTCAGGCTGACATTAACAGTTATAATCCCGATGGCTCTCAAGCTAATAATGATGTCCCTGTACTTCGGATTCCACCTTTTGCTGCAGCAAAGGCGATATTTGTATGTCAAACGGAATATGCTATCTGCAAGACAAGCGTGGCTTGTACTTTTGCTCGCAAGCTGCTCTGATCGAAGCTGTAACTCGTGCGATTCTTACATATATTGCAGTTAATAATAAATTCTGCAGTTAGAGAGCATACCTCCCACTTGAAATCCCTAAAGGTTAATTAACATGATATGCGTCTAGTACCTTATAATAAAGACTCGGGATTTCTGATCGTCGCCACTCAGTATAAAGAAAGCAGCACCATTCGCTGCTGTGACACAGCTATTCCTGGTGTCGCTGGGATATTTGCCGCTTTGTCGGCAGCTGCGACTTCATCTCCTGGCTCGTCCACATCAATCCCAATATCAACATCCAACCCTATGAGCGACAGCGGGTCAAACTCCAAACTCCAAACAGCTATCGGAGTAGGGGCTGGTGTACCACTAGGGTGACATTGCTCTTCCGTCTATAGCTTGGGCCCTTTGGGAGCGACGAACGCGCTCCAAAGCTTTGTCACAGACAACGAATGTGCTGGCACCGATGAATCAGCCTTACTTTCACCAAACAGGAACACCCCGTCCCCCTGTAGAGCTGGATGCCTCTGATTTTTGAGAACGGCAAATACCCAAGCCTCTAGGGTCCACACGGTCATATTACATGCGGTCGTGTTGCAGCATACATAAACCGATCTTCAGTTCAAATCGTCACTGAAACTTCTTTTGGGAGGTGTAATCGGGCCAATGTCGCATTTATTTGCCTTGCAATCTACGAGTGTTACGAATTTTATCTTAAGTTGTTAAAATTAGCTGTTTCACATATGGCTATGGGTTTCAAAGCAATTGTTTGAAGCTTTACCACGATTCATTTGGATTTTGGACACGCAAATCAACACATGTCTACTAAGCTCTCATATTTATGAACAAACGAAGCTCATCAACGAGTGTGCAGGGATGGTTGTCTTGAAAGTGCCATCGCTTGCGACACGAAGGGGCGCCAGGACTGTGAGGTCGTTTGCGTTGTTTGTCACATAAGGCCGAGCATTTTTAGTTCTCGCAGATGTGTTAATCTTCAGGCTGATATCATATGCTTCGGTAGCGTTGTTGATTGCCTGGGTCACAATGCTCCCGTCTTTGTTAAGAAATGAGCTGACATAGAGCAACGGCGCAGAGCTGGTAGCCTCAACACGACGAGCACCTGGTCGAGCAAACCGACTGAACTGGGCGAAAGCCCAGAATCGCTTACTTGGAATGACCTCGTCCCCGATAAGATTGATGAGACCACTGTCAGTGGTTGAATTTTCGGCGCCAATCCAGTAGAAGAATCCGCTAACGTTAGCGTCCAGCAGCGCGACCTGAATATTGCGCGCCCATGTCATTCCTTCTCCAGTAGCACCTGTGTCGAAGAACGTATAGGGAGTAAACCCACCCGAGAGATCGGCCCACTCCGTCACCCATGTCTTCTTCTTGGTAGAGAGTGGGAAGTTAGGCACGGAGTTGTATCCATGTCCAGTGACGACGCTCAGGTAGTTCTCTGCAGGATCAGGACCGGCTTGGAGGTCAGCCATCATCTGCTCCTGTTCCTCCCAGCCAATTCCATCGCAACAGTTGATTGCTAGATCCATGCCCGAAGCCTTGATTGTCTTTGCGAGAATGCGGATAAACTCTGCCGCCTGGATGCCATCGGACAACATCCCGGCATATGATGCGGCGAATTCTGGTTCATTCAGGAAGCCTAGGTTCGTCACTTTCACCCCATATTGCTTATAAAACCGCGCCCACCGGACCAGGTAGTCGGCATATGCTTGCATCCAGCTGCCAGAGGGACAGGAAGTGTTGGTGACTCCACACAAGTACCCGCCGTTGTTTTCGTCGCCATTTGTCTTCATATACCCTGGTGCCGACCATGCGTTACCATACAGCCGGACAAGTCCGCGATCGTAGGCTTCCTGGGCTAGTGGAAACTGGCCGCTATCGTTGCGATCCCAGACGTAATGGGGCTTTGCGCTTGGTAATCCAGGACTGAAAGGCTCGATGGAATTCATGAAATTGCTGTCCGAGCTATTGCTAGAGCCAATGCCGTTGCGCAGGATCGAGAACCCGGCGCCCTTGTCAATGCTAAACAGAAGATCGAGCACATATTTGGTATTTTTGCTGGTGAGGCCTTCTTTGCCGAAGATGTCATCAGCTCGTTGAAAAGCCTGCGAGACGCCGAATCCATCCAATTCTTGGAATTTGATATCCGTGTTTACCGAAATAAGGGCAGCTTTCGTAGATGATATTGCTGAAGCGTGGGTATAGGCTACTGCAGTCACCAGGCAGACGACAGTTCCAATGACTGATGGCATTGTTCTGTAGGGGTTAATTCTAAGTGTAAGTGGGTGTTTTTTTTTAGGTCTGCGAATAAGCACACCAAGGCTTTTAAAGACCAGGTGAGCCGTGGTCTGGGGGGATTCTCCTTGCAGCTTTATTGAAATTTAGGCTGAATACCCCATGCTTTTACTCCACATCCCGCTACCTTCCTTCGTGCTTGTGTCCGATAGGTGGTTCCTGTGAGACTAACTCTAAAGCAGATAGGCTTCGCCACGCTCCCCTCATGCTACGCAGAAGCGGTATAGGGCTATTCCTTATTCGGTGACATTCAAGGCTAGCTTGCCCACGGTCTCACTAAAGAACTCACTAGTAGAATTTAGCACTGAAGGTATGCGTCTGGCATTGTATGAGAGTCCTCGGGGCCAGGGCTTTTTGAAAGTGTGATTAAAGTGACAGCGATCAAGTTTCTGAGAAAGCCGATGATGCGATTCTGACATCCCCTCAAATTACTGCTTTACAACATTCGTGAAACTCGGCTGGCTGGCACTCTATGGCCCTTTGCTTGTTGCATCAGTATCCCATCTCTCCTTCCCTCTGTTTCACCTCCTTTCCAACCATGATATTGCTTCGCCGTTGGAGCAGTAATCTTCTCTCAAAGTCCAACTAGGGAAGCTTCCACGCAGCAAGGTAAGTGTGACAGGCACTGACTAAATAATTCAACAGATCACACTCAAACCCCTCTCACAGACGTTCCCTCCGCAACACTGTCCAACTACACGACATGTTGCGGAACGGCATCTTTGCATATCCCACAACACCCAATATCTGAGTCTCACTTGCGCATAATCTCCGAATCCCTTGATCTGTGAAGATTTTTCCGATTGCTGAAACCGAGAGGGATGATTTACAACAGGCCCATTGCTGACGCTAGCGGGGCTAGATTTAGTCAAAAGCTCTCGGTCCATCGAGGCACCCATTTCCAACTGCAGATGAAATGGGTAGAAAAACGCCGACCTGATGATGTCGGTTTCTGCTTCCGTCAGCTACTGTCGTCATCAAGGTTGGGGTTCCGATACGTGTCCTCCTGGAGTACGGCTGAGCTTGGATGACAGACTGTGTTGGTTTCCGGTTGGCAACTGTGCCCAGGTGGAGATGTGGCAAGGCCCTCATACTTTGGAAGCAAGTACAAGGCCTCTCTCATTGTCTGCGAGTAGCATTTGTATTCTGTCTACCTATTTGAGGGCGGAATCCTCATGCAACAATGCTGGTGAAGTTTCCAGCGAGCAAGGTGCTTTTTTGCAAAGCTGGTACGTTTCAGTCCAAGAAAGGAGGCAAGTTTAGGACTTAAGGGCCCTTTTCTACTTCGTTCCAAAAGCCAAATGGATGAAACTTCAAGTTGATTGGTTCAACCTCAGCTAAACTATGTCACAGTCATCCGTGTTAACCATGTTCGGATACTACCATCATGCAACCACAAAGCAAAAGGAAATAATATAATTGCAAGACAATAAGGAAAAAGCGAATCACAAAGAAATAAGCGAAAAAAGAGGTCCCCGGGGATATGGAAAACTTTCTTTTTCCGAATCACTATCATCATTTTCTGGCGCAAGAGACGCGGCAAAGACTCCCGCGGGAAATAAGACTCAGGCGCTCACATTGAGAGTGTCAGTTCCTGTGTTTGCTCCTGAATGAAACTGGCATAGACGGAATCTGTGTCACCGAAGTTCTGTGGGTCAATACGTAAGGTGTTCACAAGATGCTGGCATTCTGGATTCTGCATGATGGCCGCTTGGAATTGAGCTATTTCCACCCCAAGGCTCACTTGAATTTCCTGGGCTTTGATTCCTTGCAGAGCTTTCTTGAATCTGCTGACAAAACCTTCGGGGGATTCTTGTGTGCCTTGGTAGCGAATGTCCAACCACTCCTGCCAGGCATAGACAAGGGGCTGAGCATGGAGGGATGAATATGCCTTCTCTAGCTCGAGGTACGCCTCTCGGGCATCAGAAATGCCTTGTATGGTAAGGCCAGGCTGTCGATCAAGAGCAAACAGCAAATATTCCCGAGCCTCGGAGACAGATCGGCTCCATTGTTGGAGCGCAGCATCATACTGCATACAGACTTCCTTGTCTGGCACCTGGATTTCTGGCACTTGGCCAAGAGCCTCTTGGATGGAAAGATGCATTGCCGAATCATCCTTCGTAGCAGCTCTGCGGTGGTGCATGTTGAGGAAGTCAGTATTTTTAGGGGGGCCAAGTTTACCGGCGAAAATATCCCAGTAGAGTGGATTGATGGCGCATGTGACACGCAGGAACTTTTCATGCCACTCATTCCAGTTCGAACTGCCTTTCAAGACTGGGACATTGAAAGCAACGTAGTTTGGGACAGTAGGGGCCATGTCGGCGGAATCGGGTTTCGAAAGCACTGATAGAAATGTTAGCCGGACGTTGCACTGACAAATATTAGAGCAAACGATAGAACTTGCTTTTGGTGGTCACCGTGTGGTTCGGACGAAGCGCCGGAGACGGTGGGTGAAGAGTGAATGGGAATGTTGAAGATGGAAGAAAAGAAAAACGGACAGAACCCCTTTTAACGGGTTTTCTCCTCTCACTTGAAGTCGACGAGTACATACCGCATCAAAATAAACCATGTGTAATTAGGCAGCTACCTCAAGTATTGAAGCCCATCTATCTGGTGGTAAACCCACCCATTCATCCCGTCTCCCATCCATCAATAGAACAATCAATAAGCCCATCAATGGAACAATACTAGGAAATCTATGCATTGTTATTAGAATCATTCAAACTGTCTCACGAGTGACTCTCGATGAATACATCATCAACACCTTTCTTTGTACCTAGCATCCGGTAATGCCTATTGAGATTTCTATAAGGAACAATGTTCCATTTGATTTAGCGATATATTGACCTACACAACTACACAAAAGTCATCCAGCCATACTAACCAAGCATCACCTTCCACATCTCTGTGTCCAGACTGATCGGCTTATGAGCCTAGCAATAATGCCAAACGAAATGGAAAGAAGCGTAGTTGATAGGCAAAGAAGTAGAATCATATCATAATTTGATAAACGATCTAGCTCTGTTCCAACACGTCTGGAATAATATGAGTCTCTGCACAAATCAAGGTGAACCGTTGCCATGATCCATTCCAGAACCCCAAAATTCAACGCGTTCACGAAACAGTAATGGTCGATGATCCACTGCTCTGATAGCCCTCAGTGGAAACAATCTGGTAGTTGTGAGAGCCCAGGTTCATTCCAAGCGAAGCCCAAGCATTGAAGTGGTTGGCCGTGGTTACAGTTCCACTAGACCGCTTGCTGCGGCGGATGGACCAGTACTGGGTGAAAGTTGCAGTGCCTGAGATAGAGGGCTGGTTGACCTGCTGGTGGGTATAGATGTCGTAGACCGATCCATCGCTTGTGACAGTTCCCTTGTAAGTCATGCTGCTGCCGGGGTTGTAGGTCCCGTAGTTCTCCATGATGTAGTACTCGACGAGAGGACCAGTTGTCCAGCCGTACACAGCAAGGTAGGCGTTTCCAGAAGGGTTGAACGATCCAGAAAAGTTGATGTTACTAAGCGATCACAGATGTCAGTAATTTATCGGCAGAGCGGCAGGTAGATAAGTCTTACCGGGCACTGCCAGTACTCCAACCCTTGCCAGACGTGAAACTTCCACAGTTGTTCCAAGAAACGCTGTATTGACCTGAATTACCATTGGTATACTGGACACTACCACCGCCGTTGGTCCAGAAGGAGTAGTAATAGCCATTGTTGGTTCCGGTCTGACTTGTAGTGATAGCTCGCTTGCTCAAGTCACTCGGGGCTGCGAAGGCGCTTGCGAAAGCACAAGCGGCCAAGAAAAGGCCTGAGAAGGAGACCATATTGATAATCAGAGAAGACTTTGTAGCTTTTGTTGTTTTTGTCGTGGTTTAAGAAAGTTTCTCTTCGGAGGAAAAGGGATTCTTTTTATATTGACAGTTGCAAGTGGGGCCCTTCTGCACTGTTTCAGCTCCTGGATGTCTTGCTTCAATTTAACCAGCGATTTATCCAAGACAACCTAGTCTCCGTAGCACTAGTGAACGACGGGCCTTTTTCCTTCTCGGTGCCCGGCTCCGTTTATCACATACACTGGTGTAAAAATGGATCTCAGTCACCCGGCTAGGCTAAACCGAATAGCTCGGTACGTTAAGCAAAGGTTGGGTGCCGTAAGCCATTGGTACGGCTAATCATTTCAGCCAAATATAAAATGCAATATACCGTATGCATATTCAGGCACTTGAAATGCCTTGAAATGCGGGGAAACTCGTCACGGCTGTAAGGGTCGCCGGTGGCTTGGCCCTGCTAAAGCCAAGTTACACGCTGAAACACGGGGTGACGGCCGTTTTTGCCTATACAAATCAGACCTTGATGATTAAAGGCTGTTAAGAAAGCCAAGTCCCGGGGAGCAAACTGAACAAAATATTTGATCCATAGATCCGCAATTGTTTATTTCATTGGAAAAGCTTAGCGCGTGGGTATTTTCCGACTGTGGGTATTTTCCTGGTGGATATTCTCCAGACATATATTTGAGTTTCGTGACTTCTTTTCTGTAGCCTGCATTTACAAGAAGTTATACTCTTTCATCTGGTCTTCCTTTGTGGTCCTAGACCAATATTTTCAGGGTAAACAGGTTACCACGACAAGACTGAACATCTTGATCCAATTTGATACTCCAGTTGTCTCAAGTATGTGGCGTGTCTCGTCTCTGTTTCTCAAATCGACAAGGCCTTATCCAAGGGGAATCAAAGCCCTCCAAATTCAGTAAGAAATACCCATACATTCATCAATTCATATCCAGGCAGCTCGTTTAATACAACTATCGCGCAGGAGAAACATTGCGACCCAAAAGGTGACAGCCGAATGTGCACACGACCGCCTCGCCGCCCAGCGTCGAAATCGTCCTACTGCTCCACACCTCACAGTTTACAAGTGGACTTACGTGTCATCAGCCTCCGCGATCCAACGGGTCACCGGGCTCCTGCTTTCGGGGAGCTTGTACGGTCTTGCCACACTATATCTCTGTGCCCCTGCCTTAGAACTCAACCTTGATTCAACAGCCATGGCGGCCGCGTTTGGCTCTCTACCTGTCGCTGTGAAAGCAGCTCTGAAGTTCGGCCTCTCAATGCCGTTAACGTATCATGGGTTCAATGGAGTGAAACACTTGGTCTGGGATTCGGGTCGACTTTTGAGCAAGACACGGAGTGGAAGAGTGACATGGGTGGTTCTTGGATGTAGCATGAGCGCCTCTTTTGGTTTGGCTTTATATTAATTCTGAGCTGTGTCATTATTGGAGGCCCTTCCACTCCCCGAGACCTTCAGGCGTGAATATGTACGTAGTAGAATTTATCTCATTTGGGACGCCGCTTCAAGAGTTCGTGGATGCGAGCCATCGAATCATGCGCAATTTCGCCGGTCTCGGACAACGGCGTACGCAGTAAAATCTTGGCGTATACACACAAGTCTTGTCCGTGAATCATGATTCCTGCCCGGTAGATTTGATCTTGGCTTGACTTGGATTGTAAGGTTTTCCATAATATCTTCCAGCGGACGAGAGCTCTGTCAATCTGTCTTTTTGCATCAGACATATTGCAAAAACTGGTTCGCAGTCCGAAAATGATACGGTGGAAAGCTTCCTGGTTATCAGCAGTGTTTCCTATACATGAATAGCTCCGTGGACCTCACCAGAGATCACAACATATAGTGCAAAAAAACTAAGATTTTTGTACTGTGAATCTTCCGGGCCAGACCAACTATCAGACAGAAGCTCTTGTATGAAAAGATTTAATGGTGGCGGTCGCTGACAATTTCTCTCTTTAGTCGCCCAAAGCTCCCACGTTGTAGCGTCAGGGATTTCGATTCCTTTTTCTTCTGCTGGGAGATCAAATCGTAACTCCGAAGCTGTTAGGATCGGCGGGTCGTTGAAAAACATGATATAGTGGCAATCCATCATGGCAATCGAAGACATCATCCTAGATAGTCAGCTTAACGGGCGTGATAATAATATCTTAAGTATATCAAGTAAAGTGGACAGACCTAATACAGGTCTCATTTTTGAGAAACTCATCATGGCGAAATGGCCTGCTATTGTCATGCCAGAAATTCTTAGTCTGAGTTAAGGATGCCACTCGAGCGACTGATACCAGAGCTGGATACCGCTGAATTCGAGTCCGACGGCGTGTTGCAGCGTTGGGACTTGATAATTGAATCAAGAGTATGAGGATCGCAGCTTGGATCAACTCAATTTCATTCGCCTCCAACGAGACCCCGCCGGTTTCTTGCTTTCTGTACATTAGTCGTTGGAAGTCCGCGCATTCAAAGACCACCTTTTCTACAATTTCGGCATATTCAATGGCTCGCAATTTGACACCGTCGGATGTATCGCAGTCCGCGCCCATCAAAAACATGGACAGTAGCAATGGAGTGGAGACGGTCTCCAAGTTGAAGGTAGATTTCAAGACGATGCGAGACCGTGGGCGCACTATTCGCTCGAAGTACGCTTCAATGTAGTCACCCACCTTGTGCTCTGCGAAGAATTCCTGCGCGTTATCAGGGCTAGGGGCTGCTTCATACTTGCCATTCATAGCTCTCGATCTGATAATGCAATCAACCATTCTGGAAGAGGCTATCTGGCGTTGATCTAGGTCTTCCAGCCCTAGTGGTAGTGGTGAGCTTTGAGTTTGTCCATCAATCTTGAAAGAACCAAAGAACATGTTCCAAGAATCCCCGAAGAAGAGATGAGCCTGATCAGCTTCGACGCCAAGGCTTGGTAGGGCAGAGTCCAGACTTTCATCAACGGATTCCGCAGTCGAGAACAGAGAGAGAACGCGATTGACATCTCCGGAGCTGTGGTTCCCCGGTGCAGAATAATTTAGCAGAAATGGTAAAGACGTCTTCTCCGGACTTCGCTCGTCTGGGTTGGTTGCACTGCGCAAGCTTTGGCGACGAGTTGACATGCCAGGGGCTAACAAAAGCTCACGGGACTCCTGCGGAAGGGTGTGAAGACGTTGATAAGTACAAGAAATCCCATTAGCTTGGCAAGCACTGCAAGAAAGGCCTCCATCGCAATTGATTCGTTGTTCGGCGCAACTATCGCATGCCTTGCGTCGACGGCCGGGCCGAGCAGGCCCGGGCTTGGGCTGGGCTCCAATCCTGGGGCAGCTCTTATAATGCCTCCTGAGTGCGTCGCTATACAAGTAAGTAACGAGAGCAGTTTGCGGATTCAGACATTCTCACTTCCTTGAATATTTGCGATCACAAAATTCACACCTTCTCGGAGACTGGGAAGTATCTGAGAGGAAATGTCAACCTCGCGTCTCTCAGGGGCTTCAACATGACTTACGTGACGACTCGTGTCGTCGTAGGTGATTTTTGCTTGAGAAGAGTCGGTGGCAGGTAGCACACTTGTAGCCTGGACCTGACATGGCTTGGGCTTATTTGACCAACTGGACCTTGCAGTGAAAGAACGGCACAGAGTGCCGTGGCGAAAAGGTGTCGGCGGTGAGATCCCGTATTCCCTACACAAGCCTACAGAGGCTCGACCCAAAACGAGTGTACAGAGGGGCCTTTCATGAAGCTTTTTCACGCATATATGAGAACTTGGCTTTGACGCAGAAGATAAAGTGTGTCAAGAACCCGGGGTATGAGTGCCGATACTTGATTGAGGTTTGTGTATTGGCACTGACTCTGACGGTCTAAAGGTATCAAACTGATTTATTTCAATCCTAGCGACTGCATTAAATCTAGAAAACATGAATCTTTTGAATAAATCCGCAGGATGATCTCTTAACATGGCAGACAGAGATATCCTCAACCCATTGACATATCCGAGTGCGCATCGGTTTTCAAGGCATTCATGCAAACCCCAAAGGAGATGCTTCTGCAACTTTAATGGCCCATCGATTACATCAATGTGAGCTCCACTTAATTAGTTCAAGCGTCATTATGGATAATCATGATCAGACCTTGGAATAATTCCTCCTTCATAGATGTTGCCCTTTAGCAGAACATAACTCTCTGGCTGTGTCTCATACTGCCACCCACATTCTTATGCATGGCCACCCTTCGAGCTGATCCATGGTGCTGCACCGTTACACCTCCAACTCTAAGCTACAGCCACTCTCCCACCGAATATATGGGGCTGGTGCAAGGGGCTCCTGTGCAATGCATCCCTGTCGGCGCTGCTGTTCCGTCTGACACACCAATTCTCGGACTAGCTATTGGTTGGCATGTAGGATGAAGCTTAGTCTGCCAATTATTAACATGTGAGGTAATCCACATCAGCTCAAATGGGTGTTTAGCCACATTCCATTGTCTGCGACTGATATGCAAGCGTGAGATATTGGCTCTACACCATAATTCTGCGGCATGACTCGGTTTAGAGAGAGCCAGCCTGGTCAAGTGCCTTGGATAGAGTTTCCTTTGGGGCTCTTGGGCTATATAAATTTGATATATCCTTTCCTGGCCCCGACAATGCTGATCTGACCATTTCTGTCCACCTACTGAGAATTTGCTTTTCAAATTATGGGATCTGAAACTTTCAAGAAAGTTCTTGGCTTACAAGATCCTCCCAATCTACCAGATAAAAATGCACCACATTACGAATCTGATCCAACTGTGCTGGAATGGCTAAGTGGCGTGTTCCCTTCCGGAAAGCAACTTGGACTATACTTTGCCAGACTGCTTCCTTTCACGCAATGGATCAGACACTATAATTTTCAATGGTTTTTTGGTGATTTGGTTGCAGGTATGAATTAATTGATGCTCGTTGTAGCGCTTGCTAACCGCAGTAGGGACTACTGTTGGGGCTGTTGTAGTTCCTCAAAGTATGGGATATGCAAAATTAGCCAATCTTCCAGTACAATACGGACTTTATACCTCCTTTATGGGAGTGTTGATCTATTGGTTCTTTGCAACATCCAAAGACATTACCATAGGGGTAAGCTTTCAGCTATTACATGGCACTTGCATGTGCTAACTTATCAGCCCGTCGCTGTGATGTCTACAGTGGTTGGCAGCATCATACTTGATGTTCAAAGCATCTACCCAGACATTCCTGGGCCACAAATTGCCCTTTCAATCGCCATAATCTCTGGGAGTATCATCGTATTTATGGGTCTGGCACGACTTGGCTTTATTGTTGATTTTATTCCCTTTCCTGCAATTACAGCATTCATGGTTGGCTCTTCTATAACAATCTGCTCCGGGCAGGTCAAAGGGCTACTCGGCGAAACAGCCAACTTCAGTACCAATGCACCGGCATACCAAATCATCATTGACACGCTCAAGTCCCTACCCACGGCGCAGGGATACGATGCCGCTATGGGTGTCACCGCATTATTCACTCTATATTCTCTCCGTGGAGCCTGCAATTACGGTGCTCGCAAGCACCCAAGCTTTTCCAAGCTCTTCTTCTTCCTAGGTGCTCTACGGACCGTGTTTGTCATTGTTTTCTTCGCTGTGATCAGCTTTGCGGTCAATTTCCATCGCCATGCCAATCCTGCTTTTGCTTTAGTCGGGAATGTGTCTCGAGGCTTCGAACATGCCGGTGTTCCAGTACTTACAGGAGACGTTATTAAGCTTTTTCTCCCTAAGCTACCAGCTTGTGTGATCGTGCTACTCATTGAGCATATTGCAGTCTCCAAATCCTTTGGACGAGTCAACAACTACACAATTGATTCCTCGCAAGAACTCATTGCTATCGGTGTCACAAATCTCCTAGGCCCTTTCGTCGGTGCCTATCCAGCAACAGGATCTTTCTCTCGCTCCGCAATTCAATCAAAATCCGGCGCCCGATCTCCGTTTGCTGGCATCATAACTGCCTGTGTGGTTTTGATTGCCATGTATGCATTGACTCCTGGACTATATTATATTCCCAAAGCATCATTATCAGGAGTGATCATCCACGCAGTGGGAGACCTAATCGTGCCCCCCAACACGATCTACCAATTTTGGCTTATCTCACCATTGGACGCGGTGATTTTTGCTGTCGGCCTAATTGTTGCGATTGTGAACACGATCCCAAACAGCATCTACGCAACGGTTTGCCTCTCAGTAGCAGTCCTCCTATTCCGTCACGCAAAAGCCCCAGGACACTTCCTAGGACAAACCTGGGTAAACGACAAAGACGCCCAACGCCCTCTCTTTCTCCCTCTCGACGATTCAGATGCAAATCCAGCTATTAAATTCGAGAACCCTCGACCAGGTGTCTTTCTCTACCGTTTTTCCGAAGGCTTCAACTACCCTAATGCGAATCACTATTCCGACACCCTTGTTCAAATGATATCCAAGAACACCCGCCAAACAAATGTAGAGGTTTATGCAAAGAAGGGAGACCGTCCATGGAATGACCCGGTCTCTTCCAATACAGATGATCTGCATCTACCCATTCTCCGGGCAATCATTCTTGACTTCTCGGCTGTCAATAACGTGGATGTGACATGTGTACAGAATCTGATGGATGTGCGCAAACAGTTGGATCGTCGCTCTGCGCCTGTTGCTGTACAGTGGCATTTTGCTAATGTCAAGAATCGGTGGACAAAGCGTGCACTTTGCGCTGCTGGTTTTGGGACTTCGCCTTCAACGGGAAACCAGGAGATGGCTTCGACCGATGTGAATGGTCAAATCCCCAATCATAATCGGGAGGGACCGTCTGATATTGAGATGGCTGGGACCACTGGGGAATCTCTACCTTCGAACCCGTGTGATAATACGTTAGAGGCGAAAGAAAAACAGTCTGGTGCTTCGAGTTCGAAGTCTTCTATATTTGAAAACCGGACTCGGCCATTCTTTCATGTTGACTTGGTGGGTGCATTGCACAGCGTTGATGTATACTTAGCTGCAAATCCTGAGGCATAGAAATAACACTAAGATGTTTTCGATGAACCCTTCACTGTGGTTAGTATTCCTGGTCTGTTACTAGACATCCAAAGTAAGATTTGAGTCATAAACAATCAATCCATATTTCGGTCTTGTACAAAGTGAGAGAATAACGTTATCATCCAGGTCATTAGACCAACGCCAGCCGGGAATATTGAAAAAAAAACCGGATGCAGTCCTGTGCAAGTGTAAAACAAAAGAAGAAACAAACAAATCATAAAATAACAACCATATCCAGAACCCATCAATAGATCAATGCATCAATAGCCAAGTATCATAAGGCACACCTCGAGGCTGCGTTTTCCCATCACGGGAAGTCGAAAACAAGACCGGCTCGAAATCACAAGCAGCAGCATACTGTCGCACCAACTGACGCCAGTAGCACGACTCCGCAGCAGGGGTGAGGTACCGATCACGGAAAGTGCGCACAGCATTATTAGCAATGCGCTCGGCAACCTCGGGGTTATCAATGAGATACTCCATCTTGCGCGGCAAATCGGCGAAGTCACGGTCAACCTCAACGTAGTTGGCATCTGGGCCGGAGGATACAAGCGCAGCATGATGAGCCTCACGCCACTCAAGCGCATGCGAAATGACGACAGAGCGGCAGTTCAGTAGGTACTTGCCACGACCAGAGAAGCTTCGGCCTTCCGCATGTGCCAGGAACATATACCGGCAGTGATCCTCGATAGGCAGAAGATTGAACCGGATGTCATTCTCATTATCCCAGTCAATAACCCGCACACTAGCCCAGCTGTGATCCAACGCAGACTTAAGCAGCTTAGCTCGCACGGGCGGGTTCGTCGCCAGACTACCGCGCCACACGAGCTGCTTCTTCTTCTCTTGAAACTGCAAGCCAGGAACATATGCGCCGTCTCCTTGGAATTCGCCATCGTCGATAGCCGCAATGCGACGGCGGACTTCGTGGTATGGGCCGATTTGGACCTCGGGCCAGGCCCAGTATCCGAAGTCGGGCATCAGCCAGACAGCCTCGTCAGAGTCGCGCTTGGAATAGGCCCATACGGGTCCGCTTCCATTTGGATCTCCGGCGAAGTCTTCTGTTGTGAAGGTGAATTCGATGCTGGGGAGGAGGTGTCGGTCTGGAAAGGCTGTTAGGGCGCGGTGGAGGGAGTTGAGTGTTGCGCGTGCCCGAGTTGCTGTGGCAGGCATTGGGGCATAGTCGACGATATACAACTAGATGGTTAGACGTCAGAATCAATGGCACTTATAGTAATGTCAATCTAGTCCGGTGTTTACTAACCTCTCCGCGATCAATGATACCACGGACCATACCATCATCCACAGTGCGCGAATCAAACTCTTTGTATGTGAAATGACGGTCATCTCGCAAAGCGGAAGACTTGTCAAGTTCGTTATAAAGCTTGGGAAATGCAGTGCGACATTGACCCTCCGACAGCCCGTGGTTATTTCCATCACGCTCCACGACAAAATCCCAGGTTCGATTTCCCGAGAAACTCGAGGCCGGACAGGGTCGTGAAGGCGCCTTGAGAATATATTTCGATGAGAGTTCGCGGGGCGTGCCAGT